AATTTTATTCATACGGACATCATCCGGATGTCACTGCGTGAGAAATAAAAATAATGTCGTGATTTTTTATACCATTGCTGTTTGCGATTGACCGATGGCACAAAAAATCATGTCGTGATTTTTTATGCCAACGGTGTTTGGATAATCATTTTTGCGCCACGTTCGTACAGTAAGAGAAAAATTATGTTGAATCAGCAGTTTTTGCGGTTAAATACATTTAATATTTTCTTGGATTTAAATTAACTATGTATAATTAATTTAAATCCAATAAAATATTAAATGTTAAACTGTTGACTCAATTGTTAACATACTTTTTCTTTCAATGTACGAATGTGTCGCAAAAATGAATATCCAAACACCGATGGCATAAAAAATCATGTCGTGATTTTTTATGCCCAAACACCGACAGCATAAAAAATCATGTCGTGTTTTTTATGCCATCGGTGTTATTTTTGCGCCACATTCGTAAATTGAGAGAAAAAGTATACCTACATATATGTATATTGAATCAACAGTTTTTGTGGTTAAATATATTCAATATTTTTTTGGATTTAAATTAATGGTTAATTTACATCCAAGAAAATATTAAATATATTTAACCACAAAAACTGTTAATTCAATTGTTAACATACATTTTCTCACAATGTACGAATGTGGCGCAAAAATAAATATCCAAACATGTTGGTGCACCGATGGCATAAAAAATCATGTCGTAATTTTTTATGCCCAAACACCGACAGCATAAAAAATCATGTCGTGTTTTTTATGCCATCGGTGTTTGGATATTTATTTTTGTGCCACATTCGTACATTGAGAGAAATGTACCTACATATATGTATATTGAATCAACAGTTTTTGTGGTTAAATATATTCAATATTTTTTTCGATTTAAATTAATAGTTAATTTAATTCCAAGAAAATATTAAATGTATTTAACCGCAAAAACTGTTGATTCAACATAATTTTCCTCTTAGTATACGAACGTGGCGCAAAAATGATTATCCAAACACCGTTGGCATAAAAAATCACGACATGATTTTCATTTCTTACGCAGTGACATCCGGATGATGTCCGTATGAATAAAATTTGTGAAAATCACGACGTGACGTTCGTATGATTTTCATGTATCACGCGGTGACTTCCGTATGATATCAGTATGAATAAAATTTGTGAAAATCACGACATGATGTTTGTATGAATATCACGAATGTTGTCCGGGAATCTGTGATAATGATGTCAGTGTCAATTGAAAATAGTGTGTTTTGAAATTTTCGATCCTTTTTTTTTTCTTTCCAGGGGAGTCCGTTATGGGCCGGTATGTCCGTAGGGGGTTAGAAATAAAAATGTATAGGAACTTGTCATATTATTTTTATGTGTTATATCTAAATCCGGTAGATTGCCCACATATTCTGGGACACCATGTATATAATATATATATATAATAATTATTCCTATTATTATAATTAAGTAAGAATCTTCCACCGGGTCGCAAAAAAACAAATTCGGTGCTATCCACAGGTCTGTGGTGCTATCGTTATTTGACACATCGATTTATAAAATTATAATTTTGTAATTTAACTTTATAAATCATTCATTATTTTGTAAATGGTTATTTTCAATGGACCACCGACAGAATATTTTACGTTTACGTTTATATTCTGAAATCAATTCAGTACAATTCAATGTTTAGTTTTTTTCTGTAATAAATTTATTATCCTATTTTTTAAATTAAAATAATGTTGTTGATTGCTTTGTATATTTTCAGAATTTTTTTTATAAAAAGACAAATTTTTCCAGTTAAGACAATTTTTCCGAGGCCTGAGAAAAAAACGAAACAAAAAAAACAGTTTTTTTCCCAAATTTTTTCGATTTTCTGTAATTAATATTATACATACGTATGTCCTAAAATATAAAATATAATACCCACATTTAAATTTGGTATGCAGTTATACAGGGTCCTGCAACAGTGCGTCGGGCTTTTCTAGTGCCTTTACAGTGAGGGATAGAAAAAAAAGTTTCCTACAAAAAATTGTTGGTTTGAAAATCTTTATGCCGAGAAATTATTTTCAACAATACAGGGTGTTCCATTTTTGCGGTATAACAAAAACATACATTTTTTTAAATGGAACACACTGTATTTATTTAAGTTTTCCGATAACATCTTTCAACCTCTACATTGTTGTCCATTTACTTTTTGATTTAAATACAGTGTTGTCAACTTACAATTTTTTTCCAAAAAATCTTGCAAAAGCAAGCTGACCTTTAAAGAATCGTAGCGACCTGTTTTTAAAGGTAAGAATAAGTTTTAGCAACAATCCCAGTGCAGTTAATAAGCATCATTTTGATTATGAGCAATTTAAATTTAGTAATACAGGGTGTTCAGAAATAAATGCCAAACTTTGCAAACTTCAGAGTGGTTTAACTAATTTTTTTCAAATGGAGTGCCCCATATTTTATGTCATCATTCGATAGGTCTTTTTCTCCTCTTTAATGTGATATGCCATATCTTATTTGTAAACCTCATAGTTGTTGAGATATTCAATATTTTTCGCAAAAGTAACCATTTCATTACATTTTTAAGTAGAAAGTGTTGGGACAAAACAACTGTCAAAATGTAAGAGTCAAAATGACTTCTAATAACAAATAATACTAATACTAATAAGATTAATTATTTTATTCAAAAACCATGCAAGGTAAAAAAATTGATAATACATAGTAAAAACGTTACTATAGTTATTGTTCAAAATGTCTTCCATTTTCATTCAGGCACAAATTAATTCGCTGCTGAAAAGACCTTTGCACTCTTCCTAACATTTCAGGTGAAATACTTGCAAAAGCGTTTACAATCCGTTGTTGCATATTCATAAGTGTGGTAGGTGGTTCGTTAAAAACAATTCCCTTTACATACCCCCACAAGAAAAAATCAGGTATTGTCAGATCCGGAGATCTAGCAGGCCATCTGGAGGGTCCATTTCTACCAATCCACTGGTTGGGGAAAATACCATCAAGATATGCCCTCACGTCTCGCGAAAAATGCGCAGGTGCCCCGTCTTGTTGAAACCACATCCTGTTTCTTGTATGTTGAGGTACATTAGCTAATAATCCAGGTAAAACATTCAAATACATAGGCCCATTGAGATGACCATCGAAGAAATGTGGACCTACCACATATCCTCCAACAATTCCTCCCCAGACATTCAAAGACCATCGATGCTGATGATCAACTTGTTTCATAACATGCGGATTTTCAGTTGAATAATAATGAAAATTGTGCCTGTTTACAGATCCGCTTTTATGAAATGTCGCCTCATCAGTGAATAAAACATACTGAAAAAACGCAGTATTTTCAGCCTTGCCCAGGTGCAAAATTCGGAACGATATTGAAAATCAGCATTGCTAAGTTCTTGATGCAACTGAATATGGTACGCATGATATCGATTCTTCTTTAGAATCCGTTGTACTGATCTCTCGGTTATGCCGGTTGCTTCACCGATGTCTTTTTGGCTAATGTTGGGATGCTCAGTTGCTGTTAATAGCACTGAAAATTCGTTTTCCTCATTGACAACAGGTTTTGTTCTTTCTTGTTTTTTATAATGTACCTACACTTCCTGTTTCAATAAATCTATTGAGTAGTTTCCTGAAGCTTTTCTCATCCGGGTGTCTTTTTTCTGGATAACGCATCGCGTAAATTCTAGCCGCCAATAAACAAGTTCGATCAGTCTCCCCCAATACAAAAATCATATCGACTAGTTCGTCTTTTTCAAAATTCATGTATTCATGTATGTATGTATTCATAAGTTGCGGTCTACTTTTACGACAAAACAGAGAGAAGCACTTTTATGATACAAAAACAGCAACGTTTTTTCTAGTTTTTTTAAAAGTTTTTTTACAAGGTCAGTTTTTAATATTTAATACAAACTAATTAATAGAGACCGGACATTTAGGCATTTTAAGAGAGGCAAACAAGGCAAAAATGATTTTGGATTAAACTTCACTAAAAATGCCCAAAACTTATTTTGCATGAAGAATTATAATGTCCCATTAAAATTGACGAAAGGTATTTTGAAGAAAATTTTATCAAATGTTACATTGACAATTACTTACATTTTGCTTCAGCACGGCCTACTTCAGTGCATAGAAATTTAATTAAATGGTTACTTTTGTGAAAAATATTGAATATCTCAACAACTATGAGGTTTACAAATAAGATATGGCATATCACATTAAAGAGGAGAAAAAGACCTATCGAATGATGACATAAAATATGGGGCACTCCATTTGAAAAAAATTAGTTAAACCACTCTGAAGTTTGCAAAGTTTGGCATTTATTTCTGAACACCCTGTATTACTAAATTTAAATTGCTCATAATCAAAATGATGCTTATTAACTGCACTGGGATTGTTGCTAAAACTTATTCTTACCTTTAAAAACTGAGGTCGCTACGATTCTTTAAAGTTCAGCTTGCTTTTGCAAGATTTTTTGAAAAAAAAATTGTAAGTTGACAACACTGTATTTAAATCAAAAAGTAAATGGACAACAATGTAGAGGTTGAAAGATGTTATCGGAAAACTTAAATAAATACAGTGTGTTCCATTTTAAAAAAAATGTATGTTTTTGTTATACCGCAAAAATGGAACACCCTGTATTGTTGAAAATAATTTCTCGGCATAAAGATTTTCAAACCAACAATTTTTTGTAGGAAACTTTTTTTTCTATCCCTCACTGTAAAGGCACTAGGAAAGCCCGACGCACTGTTGCAGGACCCTGTATATAAAGAAAATACATTTATGGTTTTATTATTCCTGGTGACTATTTGTTTCTGACCTACCCTTTTAGATCTGGCCAACCGCAACCTATGCGCGATGTGTTTGTTCATATATTTATAATCTATAATCTATTGATCGTCGGTCATGAAAAATAAATCAGGAAATCAAATTTCTATGCGCTTTTTTCCAAAACCTACATGTAGGTATACAACGACCAACTAATTTTTTTACAGGATCATCAGCAACAAAACAAACAAATTCCTTCACAAAGAACTTCCGAATCAGAGAAAAAAGTCCAGTTTGATGAAGCTAAATCTCCACAAAATAAAGAACATGGGGGTAACAGAAACAGGGAGAATTTTAGAGGTAGATCTGGAAGTTTTAGAGGTAGAGGGGCGGGAAGAGGTAGAAGCAACGAAAGAGGAGGAGGAAGAAGCAAAAGCAGTGATAGAGCATATCCGAAATCTTCAATATCCACTGAAGCTATCAAAAATCCTGTTAATATAAAAGTTGAGTTTACAACTGACACAGGCAAAAGGAATTGCGTTTTGGAGGAAGACAAGAAGATTGCTGATATCAAACATGTTCCAGATCATAAATATGGAAATGAGAGAAGAGGTGGTTCTCAAGGTAAAAGTCTATATTTTTATTTTACTTGTTCTGCAGTACTTTTGCGTTATAGGTAAAGGAAGGGGCAGAGGAGGTAGAGGTAGAGGGCGTGGTAGAGATTTTTCACGAAAACAAAAACCTCAAACAAATGAACAAAATGTAGCAAACGAAGAAGAAAATGTTGAAACCCCTGAAAAAAAACCATCTGAAGAACAACAGGAAGCTACCAGTGAAGATCAAACTCAAAATGAAGATAACTACACAGAGGAAAATCAAAACGAAGAATACTATGAAGACGAATTAGAAGATAATGCAGCTGATAATGTTGAAGAAAAATTTGAACCTGATGCTCAAAGAAAAATTGAGGTAATTAATGAAAACACTTTAAAGGTAAATATAGATAATATAAACAGTGGAAACCCTGAAAATACAAACGGCTCAAATAATAATGATTTCATCGAAAATAAAAGTGATAATAGTGCACAAGATCAAAATAAGAATATTACTGAATAAGCTTTGTATTATTTCTTAGTTTAATGGCTGCTTTATTTTAAATGAATTGCCTAATCAGTATTCTTTTTAGGTTTGTTTTTAATGCAATAATTGTTTTATTATATTCCTTTCATACAAAAAGAATATAAATGAAAATGTATACTTCATAAGACTGATTTTAGTCAATTTAAATTATATATTTTTGAAAACCTAAAGGGGATATACAATTTAAAGTTATTAACTTATTTAAAGTAAGTTATATTTAAATGCATTTTTTTGGAGTTTTCGCAAATAATTAGTAGTAATAAATTTTATTATTACAAAAATTAATAAAAAACAGCATTTTATTCAATTATTTAATAATAATAATTATTTATTTTATTTATTTATTAAATCAATTTATATGAAATTATAGGTTTATATTATGAATACCTTAATTATTTAATCAAACATGTGAGTTCGTGGGGGCTTTAATAAATTGTTATTTTATTAGTTTGACTATAAGATACAAGGTGCTATTGTAATGCTTTATATTAAATTAATGTTTTTATAAACAATTTAGTTCATACTAATTAATATTTATATGTAACAAATAAAATCATATTCTTTTACTATATTTTTACACTATAGGATAAAAGAAAATAACTAAATGGTTACTTTTAGCTGGAATTTTAAAAAATTTACAAAATAATTGTAAACATGTGTGTTTAATAAAATTGAATTTTAAATAAGTACAAAAGAAAACACTTGTCTTTTTTATAACATTATAAATACATATTAGTCACAACTCATTTTCAAATGATCACTTTGGGATTTGATTTCTTGTAATATATCAGGATCGTCCAGTTTATTCTAGAATAAGAATTTTTAGATTATATGTTGGTCAAGTACAGTTATATGGACACTGGGCATGCGAACAAACCTAATATATTCGCAAAGCTTTTATACAGAAAACATTTTTATGAGAATGTGGCCAACAGATTTGTCTCAAATACCTTAATAGCTTGTCGATAGCAAAATTCGGCTTCGATAAACCTCCCCAATTTTAAATTAACTAAACATAGATAACCCCAAGTTTCAGATAACTGTGGATTAATCCTATTGGACTCCGAAAAACATTCTTCGGCGCTCAAAAAGTCTTGTTGCTAAAATAAAAATACTTAAAATAACGTTTTAAATGTAGCATAAACCTTACCATATAAAAATATTTGCCAGCTAGTAACCATGTAAATGGAGTTGCTGCTACTTTGCAAGCCAAAAGAATGTATTTTCTAGCCTGCTGAAAGTCGCCCATCATGTCCATTGCTTTGGAATAATTAACGTAGATTAAATAGTCCTCTGGCGCTTTATAACCGTCCAGGGTGTAATCGAATTCCTCCTTTGCTTGTTCTGGTTTATCTAATGCCACCAGAATAAATCCAGTCAAGCCGGCAATCGTGTAATCCTATGTAGTAAGGGTTTATATATATTTATATATACAGTTTATATATATTTATATATACAGTTTATATATATTTATATATACAGTTTATATATACAGTGTGGCCCATTTAAAATGAAAACACCCCCGTAACTTTTTATTTGTTACTCGATTTTAATGAACATAAGCTCAAAAGATAGAGAATAAAAAACTATCTAAGCTATAAAAAATATCTTCAATGTCACTTGACAGATGCCTACTATAACATTTTTTCTATGTCAAAATTCGGAAAAAATTATTAGGGTCGTTTTTTCGAAAAAAATAAGTACTGAATGAGGAATGCTTCAAAATGGGTATAAACCAAATTTCATTAAAAAAACTATTAATAACTATTTTTAAATATTTATAACGAAAAATAAAATACATTTAGGAGGTTTAGGAGAAAAATAAATACGTTACTAAACGCGGCATACTTCAGAATGGGTACAAACTTAATTTCATCAAAAATTAAATATTAATCTATTTTGGTACGTAGAATCTGCTGTTAGTATTGCACGCTAATTATAGGGCACCCTGTATATATATATATATATATATATATATATATATATATACTCTATTTCAATTTAACAGATGTATTTAGAGATTTTATTATTTTTATAATGGTGATATTCATAAAGTAAACAGGGTGCTCCAGTTTTTATCATCATAATTTACTCAGCCAGACTATGTGAAATTTTGATTCCCACACACAGCCATCGACACTCCTGTCATAACTTGATTTTTTTTCTATGGGAATACCTAAAGGGACGTGTGTACGAAAATAAGCCTCATAAGTCAACAAATCAATGGCATAAACAGAAACCTAGTGGAGATAGTAGACACCAATTTCCGAGAACGGTTTGTCAATGTGTTGATGTTATTGGGCATCATATGCCAGATTTAATTTTTTTCACAAAGTGTACATATGTTAAATGCTATGTTCCAACGAATAATATTCTTGCAATTAATTACAGTTTTTGTAATTATTTTAAAACCATGACCCTGTATATATAGTGTGTATTAAAACGAATAGATACACTTAAATAAAACAAGTGCCAAACCCCGCCCACTGTGGTAGGGATTGAAATGCTGTTTAACGTGCGCAGGAATTTTTATGATAGGTTAGGGTTACCCTAATAGGGTATTGTTTAATGTTAAAGTTTAAAATATGCTTACAACGCCCAAATAATATTTGGCTTCCTTAATATGTTCTAGAGCGTGATCATAGTATTTTTTATATACACACATTGCTGCCAATAGGTAGTGAACTTCCCCATAGTTCTTGGATGTTTCGTATGTTAAAGCCATTTCTACCCACTATAAATATAATATTATTAGGTATGTACAACGTTTATTAATAATTAAAATTAAAAATATAGGATCTTCAAAATATTTTTCCTCACATCATACATCCGCAACTTAAGCAAATAAACAGCAGTTCGTAAAAACAAAGATTTAACATTTGGTCGTTTTTGCCAAAGGATATCGGCACTATCGAAAAATTCGTCGTATTCATTAGCCTCATCAAGAGTTTTTATCATTTCCTGTATCACGTTCATATTTAGATTATCGTTGAATTTTTCGTAAAATAAATAAATAATTCCGTAAACTAAAAACAAAATAACTATTATATGTCTTAACAACCCCCACAGCAACTCTGAGTTCAGATTTTTCTTAGTTTGCCTCACGCCGTGATTTCTCATGCATTTTGTTCATTTGTGTATCACCTGAGCCTATAGGCGTATAGGCATATATGGCGTGAAAAAGAAATCATTTCGGCGCGTTTAAAGCCTCATTCAGAACCTCGTAATTAGTAGAAAAAATTAGTGGTTTCAATTAAAAAAAATTTTTCTTATGAATATACACAGTGTTGTTCACAACCAAAAAATTGGTGGTAGAACTATTCAATTAGTGGAAAAAGTTTGCAAACTTCTAAATTTTACCACTAATTATAATTGCAAAGCGGCTTTGCGCATGTGCGCAAGTCAAAAACAAAAAGTTTGAAGATTTGCCAGTGAAGGAAAGGTTATATATAAATATTATTAAAATGGTTGTAAAAAATATTATTTTAATATAATATAGGTAATATTGTTTCTGTCAGGTTAAGAAGAATTTTAGTAAGTTCCCTTAATTTTATATGTTAATTTTTCCAATCGTTTTGTGTTAATTATAGGTAAAATTGAAACCACTAATTTTGTCGATCAATTACGAGGTTCTGAATGAGCAAATTGGTGGCATTTTTTGTTCTGATTAAAATGGCAAAGCCTCATTCAATGAGGCTTTGCCATTTTAATCAGAACAAAAAATGCCACCAATTTGCTAATTTAACCGACGTTGTAGCTTCAATAACAAAGAAATTAGCAATGGTGAGCAGATAACTTTGGACACCCTGAATATTCATTAATAACCAGTTTAGTCAACAAGGAACCAACCAATAAATTTACCTATTTTTTCGGACAAAAATATTGTGAGAAATAAAGTAGGTACCTACGAAATTTAAAAATAAAATTAAAACGTGAAACCAAAAACATTTTCGGAAGCTGGCAAAAGTGCGAGTTGTTGCATAACACCATTTAATTACTACTGCGCGCACATTCTACGCATGCGCAATTAAACTTTTGCTTTCAGATCTCACTTTGCGCTCATTTAATATGCGGCGGCACGTGACGTGAGGTATAATTCATAAAAAATAAAAAATGAGCTTATATTGCTGTGCGGGAATTGTAATATTTGACAAACTATACATTCCATGGTCGAGTCGTTTTGAATTATAGATAGGAGGCATAGTTCTGCATCTACTTTTCTACCTTCATCGGCCAATAATAAGCCATATAATAGTAAACTACAATTAAATTTGTTTAAATAGTGATCTAAGTGCACTTCCTTAGACAAGGAAATGTAGTATTTTCAGACAGGTGCACCTAGGTGAATTCTGTGGGTAAAAGGCATAAGGAGGTAAGTCAAAAAAAGCAATTTTTCAATAGAGCCTTTAACGTGTTCGCATTAATTCAGGAAATATATTTATGTATAGCGGATATACGCTTTTGTTAGCATATTACATGGGCTAACAAAAATGTATACCCGCTAACCATAAATATGTTTCCTGAATTAATGCGAATAAGTTGAAGGCTCTACTGAAAAATTGCTTTTTTTGACTTTTCCCCTTATGCCTTTTACCCACAGAATTTTTCAAATATTGAATCCAAATAAAAAACCTTTTCTTATGTGAATAATTTTTTGAAAGTGCTTCACGCAAAACTTGAAAAGCCATGTCCTTTTCTTGTATCTCCATTAAAAATATGGCATAATCAAACCAAATATCAGGGTTGTCTTCATCAAGGCAAATGCGCTGTAAGTAAAGTTAAAAATTTATAAACCTTTCATATTTTTATGTATGTATATTAGGGTGTCCCTTATTTTTTTTTTCACGCATACCCCCTAATTATATTTATTACGTGTTTATATACTCAAAAAATTTTTTAGCTCATTCTATAAACGGGAACCCGTGCCGACTTGCATCTGAACCCTCCGTTAGCCAACGTCAGGCGCGCGGTATTTTGTAACACGGTTGGTCGCGAGGTCTTCGATCGTAAGTCATTTTGTGTTTGTTATTATGTGACCCTTATATTATAAATTATTGACAAATGTTAAAATATAGTTTTATTCATGTGTATACTTTGATAAAAATGTATATTTTCACAGGGAGTAGCTAGTTACAGGGAAGGGTCTATTGAATAGGCCGTAAACTCTGAAATTGATAAACTTAATGGGTTTTACTCTAAATAACTAAAAGAGTCTATTGTGGGAGATGACTACCGAAAACTTATTGAACTGTCTGAAATATTTTTGGGAGGACATCAAGAAAAGAAATGCTTATAAAAAGCTGAAATTTCATATAACAGTATATTTTAGCAATACTAATTAGTATATTAATATATTTAAGGGATAAAATCAACTAAATTAGTGAAACAAATGATAGAAACAAAAGCAATAATATTAATTAGTAATCATATTTAATGAAATCATTAGAAAAATACAGTCAGGAAGTATATCTTCTTTTTAAAGTGTTTCGTGTTACAAAATACCGCGCGCGCCTAACGTTGGCTAACGGAGGGTTTAGATGCAAGTCTGCACGGGTTCCCGTTTATAGAATGAGCTAAAATTTTTTTTGGGAGTATATAAACACGTAATAAATATAATTAGGGGGTATGCGTGAAAAAAAAATAAGGGACACCCTAATGTATATATATAAAAACCTCTAAATAATATTTTTCAGCAATAGTGATATTTTCTCTGACAGTGGCATCTTTAGCGTAAAATAGCAATGTTTTCATAGCTTGGGCTTGTTTATTTTGCTGAGGTTGCAAATCAGTACCCATTAGTTGGTTTAAGGTAACGTGCATTTCCGATACCAAGGTGCTAAAAACCTACAAATAAATTTATGTTATAAGTTAAATTTGAATTATCCAAACAGTGCTTGATTAAAGCTTTATTTTTTTCAATATCATATCGTGTCGCTTCTTAAAGTTTAAGACTTAAACCATAGTTTGTAAACTAAACTATATTTCTAACATTATAATAATAAAGTTGTACGCAAAATATTTGTAAAACAAAATAACATAAGACTACCGGTCTCAAAACAAAATTGCTGTAACTTATTTCGCAAACAGTCTAAAATATATGTTATTACCTCTCCCATAAACTTGACATACTCGTTGCTTTTCTTGTGAGTATTATCGAAAAGTTCAAATTTATTTGTCACATATAAAGCTGCAGCTTCAGTTAAGGTAGTTATGTAGTGTTCGTAGGTGCCGTTGATTTTTAAGTATTCCTCAAAGTTGTTAACATCGTTGGCATCTAAAAGTAACGAGGTGTCCTTGAATGTGTGCAGAACCCCTATAGCTTCGCTACAAATAATTACCGTCCTCCGTATATTCGACAAACTTGGTACCAATATCTTCTGTTATCAAATTAATAGCTTCCGCGTAATAATTCTTCATGGTGCATGTCGGTAAAATTATTCTGTTTTCATCTATTTGCTCATTATCTACTAGTTGTTGAATTCTAAAGAAACCGTTTAATTAGTTACAAAGTTACAAAATGGTTTTCACTACTGTTGGTGGTTTAAAAACATTTTTTTTAATTAATTATGATGGTATTTTAAAAACTAACAGAAAAACCAAGCGCAAACTATTTTTTTTTTAAATTTTATATTTAAAGCTTACTTTTCACTAAAATCTTCTAAATCCGGTTTTGGTTTTATACTTTCAGATAATTCTATTTCAAATACAATAAAACAAGGATCTCCTTCTTCAGAAAACACTTTCATGCTTGGTTCCGGCTCTGGTTCAGGTTCCCTTTCCTTTGGCAGATACTATAAAACAAGTTTAAAAAATATTTTTAAAATCCAATTGTAATGCAAAAATGATTTTTGAGATTATTAATATTTTAAGTAGAAGGGTAAACAATATTTTGAAAGGTCCATATGTAATTATCCGAATAGAATTTGTTGATCTAAAAAATTCAAATTGCTATTAATTTATTTTGAAGTCGAGAGTTACTATACAAACGCCTATGCCACGCGAACTTCATTCGCCTCTTCTATAAAATTTTACTTTTGTAAGCTAAGTAGGTCCCTTTTTTGAACCTGTATCCTTTTAAAATCAAAACTTGGTAACTTACACATTTCAGATTGTTAGCCTCATTATCCACTTTTCCTTTTTTACTGCCTTTGCTCTTTTTACTTCCTTTAGATTTTTTGCTTCCTTTAGTTTTTTTGCTTCCTTTACTTTTTTTACTTCCTTTAGTTTTTTTAGTGCCTTTGCTTCCCTTGCTTCCTTTAGACGATTTATCCTTCTTACCTCCTTTCTTACCTTTTTTACCCTTACTTGCTGCGTCAGGTTTTTCGACTTTTGGAGGCTTGGGTCTAAAATAAGAATCTTCCAAACCAGCAAACTTATTCGCTTCTATGTCTTGAAATGTTGTCAAAGGGCTCGCGATACGAGCTCTAAAAACTATAATAAATCAAATTAGTTTTGCGCCACTCTTGAGTAATTTTATACTGTTTGGGTTAAGTAGATACGATACATCCAAGATTGTCATTAGGTGTAAAAACTCAAAATTGTCAAGTTTTGCTTGACTTTTCAAAGTTGCTTTACTTGTTTTGCTACTCTTGTCGCTTTTGCTTTTTTTCTTTAGGGATCCTTTAGATCCTTTTGAACCCTTTGCTTTCGAAGGGCCCTCCTATAGGGAAATATTTTTTTGAATATAATAAGGAGAATAAAAAAAAGAGTAACCATTTAAGGAATTGATTAGTTATATCTTTTTCACCTAAATTATTTAATAGAAAATCTATGCTTTTTAACTATATTTACTTACCGGTACTATAGGTACTTACCGGTCCTTTTTCTTTCATATAAATCTCAACAGCAATTTTATTGTATTTAGCAATATGATCAATAAATGCTTCCCAATCCGTTCTACCAATGACTGTTCTTTTAATGTAGTTCAATTGTATTCTACTTTTTTCATTCGACATTGCTGGCTCTAATTCTATGTTTGCTCTGTTTTTAATATCATTTATGGTCAGGGGAAGCCTTACAAAATAAATTAAGGAAATAACAATATAGAACACTTTTAAAATTAACCTACTTGTATTTAGTTGTATTAGCATTAAATCCCAGTTTCTTTATCCCAGGCCAGCATTTCATCTGCTCCTCCTGTATTTTTTCTGTTAAGGTTGCATTGGTAAACAGTATAGGCCATTTTTGCTGTTAAACAGATTTAAATTAAATATATAAAGCTAAGTAAATGGTGTAAATGGGTAAATGGGTATTTATGTCAGACTCAGTGCGCAATAGCATCAGCGCAGATAAGTGATATTGACTTAGAGAATATTGTATGAGAATTTTAGCGCAATCTAGTATTTTTTACCGAATAAAGAGGTAATAGCATGCACACTTCAAAATTCATATCTTCATTCGCCATCACATCAGGTAGGTTGTAAATTGATTCCACGGTCATATTGATGGTTACCGCTTTTCCATCGATCTCTTCGAGAAGATCTTCGCTGGATACGGATACCACCATTTTTGGTATATTTTTGTAGCTTGTCATTCGTTCGTCATCGTACATTTCTAGAGGTTTGATTGGTAGACTTTCTGTGAATTCGAAGGTGCCTACGGAAATTTATTAACTAAGTAAAATAAGTAACGGTAATCAAATTTAACGATGCATTCAAAACAAATGTTAGCACTACTCTAAAGTAATCATTTCAACGTTAACGTTAGAGTAAAACTATATAGAGAGAGCACGCAATTAAGTTTTTATATTTACCATTAAATAAAGGTAATAAATCAAGGGTACACATTCCATATATTACTGGAGGATTTTCTGGGGCTTTTAGCTTTTTCCTAGACGCTTTGGATGATTTAGAACCTTTAGAACTCTTGGACCTTTTGGATGTTTTGGAACCTATAAACATGCTTTTATTATTGAAAAAATGCAAGTACTTTATATCAAATATGTATAAATAAATAGGTATATTTAAAAATAAAAACCTTTTTTGCCAACTGACTTTTTCTTTTTTGAATCCCTTTTGCCCTTTTTCCCTTTCTTTTCTTTAAAACTAATTTTGGGTTCGGCATCGCCAGTAAAAGCTTCATATAAACTAACAATACTCTCATAAGTTTTTATACCCTCCTCTGGAAAATGAGCTTTTTGGTTGTAAACCTCTGGTTCTAAAGCTCCATTAGTTTGAATTACTGTAACTGTTTAAAAAATAAATCTATTATAAAAAAATTATTCAAGGTAAGTTTTACATGTTATGGGGTTTGATATTAAATCATTTAACTCTTTGAAAGATGATATATCACAGTGAATTGTAAATTCTTCCATAGATTCTAATGATATATCACTTTTAACTGGAAGGGTCTGTGTTTCTCCAGATACACTTTCAAGAAACTTATATTCCGTTTTTATATCACTGCATTCGTATACTCCAATCTAAAATACCCAATTTAAATGTTGCGCATGTGCAAAAACTATTTTAATTTGTGGTTTTTACCACATTTTCATAACTTCTAATGGTAATAGTAATATTTTTAATGATCTTTGGCTTTGGTTCGGGCTCAGGTTCAACATTAACAAGTGTGGACGCCTAAAATCCTAAATAACTACAGTATTTTACTTTTACTATAAACCATTTTTACGTTAGTTCCAGTCCCACCACTTTTTTTGCCTTTACTTTTCTTATCTTTACTTTTTTTATCTTTGGCCATGTTTTAATATTAGTTATTTAATGTCAATTAGTGTCTCTAATGTCAATCAACCTAAAACAGGTGGTTTTTGTTGTTTAGTTTATGCAGGGTGTTGAGGGTATGAGTATATATACGATGAGTATACTCATCGCTTCTGTGTTATAACGCAGAAGCGATGAGAGCGGCGAAACAAATTCCCTGCTGCTTACAGCTAGGTACATACAATTGTATGTATACCTAGGTACCTACATACAAATAGCTGTAAGCAGCAGGGATTTTGTTATATACAAATAGCTAAATTATTCCTTAACGAAACTAAAGTGTATTCAAATTCAACGCGAACTAAATGAACAAAATCCTCCGAATCGACCAATAAGAACACACAATATTGTCGGATATCCGAGTCACGCCATCAGAATCGCCCAATAAGAACGAGTTATCACCTGGGTGGGCGTTTGTGTTTGGTTGGGCTTTAATTTGTATACACTATATAGAGGCCCAAAAAAATGAACAGTCAGTCCTGCTGTCACGTGGTACCATGGGCGGATTTAGGCATGGGCATTATGGGCTGCAGCCCAGGGCCCCGTCCGATCGAGGGCCCCCTACGCGATGCAATTTTTTTTTAAATATAAAACACTCTTATTATTTTATAATAAATCTACTTGTTAAAAAGTTATTCAAGCTTAACATTACAGTAAATTTAAAGTTTTTCTTACTTTTTCGCTAAAACTATCAGACAATTGTAACAAAAAGTTATATAAAAATTGTAATTGTAATTTTATAATTTTAAAACTTATAGTCCTACAGTTACTGATTTTACAATTTAATAATTCTGATTATAATACTAATTAATTTCAAAAAAATATCAATTTTATTGCAAAAAATATTTTTATTTTACTGATTATTTCCTTCATTATAATATGAACCAATCAAAAGCCTTGAATTTTCGAATAAATTTCGTTTAAATAAGCGATTAAATCACTAGAACTATTTAACAGCGATTAAATTTTAGCCTCCATATTGGATTTTTTTTATGGTGTTATTTATAAGTTTTAACAAACATTTTTTAAAAAACAATAAAAAATAAGTTATCTAGTTTACGAAATATCAATTATTACTTATTACATACCTTAAATTAATGGAATTTTCTTTTAAAAAATATTTATAAATTTTGACACATACGTCAGATTTTATGAATTGTCAAATATGTATACATAAACTATAGTTTCCTTTAATTCGAGAAATAATCTAGACCTATAAATTTAATCTGTCAAACTATGCTCAGTAAGTTTTTTATTTTATTTTTCTTTTTGGAAAATAGTTAACTATTTCATGCAAAATAATTAAAAATAAAACCCCTCGACCGCTACGCGGTCTCGTGATTTTATTAAATTATTTTGCATTCAACATTTTCCAACAAAAACCAAACAAAAAACTACTGAGCCTAGTTTAACCGATTAAATTCATAGTTCTCGTGATATAATATATGATTAAAACCAGTAAATCATAATTAAAACCTTAAAAAAAATAATGATATTTTTATAGAAAATAAAATGACCTACAAAAAATGTATGATCATTAATGGTTTTACCGGGAAAGTAAGAAAAACTTAAAATTTTCTATGAATTTGTCTTAAGTATTGAATACCTTTTTAACGACTAAATTTATCTTAAAATAATAAGTAAACTTTATTTTAATTCTCTAAACAATTTTTTTAATATCCTTATGAACTTGTTAAAATATTACCCATTAATATATATTAATGGGTAATATTTTAATAATATTATTGGTTGCTAATCGCGATTTTACTTTATTTTAATTCTCTTAGAAAAGTTTTTTTTCTATAAAATTTAATAGCCTTATAAGCCTGTTAAAATATCACCCTTTAATATTATTGGTTGCTAATCGCGATTTTACTTTATTATATTTAATACAAGTTATAATCATTTTAGTCATTAATCCCTTAACGAGTTATATAATTTCAAAATAAAAAATATCTCATGTACCTACTCAATTTAAAAGTAAAATCGATTAACAACCAATAATATTAATGGGTGATATTTTAACAGCTCATAAGGCTGTTAAATTTTATAGAAAAAAAACTTTTTTAAGAGAATTAAAATAAAGTAAAATCGCGATTAGCAACCAATAATATATATTAATATTAATTGGTAATATTTTAACAAGCTCATTAGGCTATTAAAAAAATTGTTTAGAGAATTAAAATAAAGTTTACTTATTATTTTAAGATAAATTTAGTCGTTAAAAAGATATTTAATACTTAAGACAAATTCGAATTTGTCTTAAGTATGATGATCATAGAAAATTTTAAGTTTTTCTTACTTACTAGTCGATTTTTGTTAATCAGTTATTGCATGCAGTATAAAATAATCTTTTTTACATACTTTCAAGCTAAACAAAGCAATTTTTATTTAGGTAAGTTGGGTTAAGTCAAATAATAGGGATGGGAAAACTATCGATAACTATCGATAGTTATCGATAAGTCGTGGAATCGGTAACTATCGATAGTTTTTGACGTTACCGATAACTATCGATAGTTTTAAAATGTCAAAATTGCAATTCAGCTTTTTACCCTTCTAAGTTTGTGTCTGTTTGTTGGATAGCATCATAGAAAAAAAATAATATTTAATTATTATTAATAGTCAAGGATTTTACAAAATCCTTGATTAATAGTACCCATTTTGTAGGAAATTCCCTAAACTAGGGAAATGTAAATGTACTTTTTAAAATAAAGATATTTTGAAATGTTATTAAACGCATTTTTTTATAGTTAGTTTAAATTTCCCGCCCTAGAATAAGGGTGGGGGAAATTACCGATGTTTATCGATAGTTATCGATAGTTTTTGGTAAACTATCGATAACTATCGATAGTTTTTCTTAGCGATTTTTCCCATCCCTATCAAATAATTTTAAACCAAGAAATATGTGGCCTTGCATTGTACAGGTCTTCTGGGGACACCTTGTATAAATGCTAGAATGTTTTATTTTTTTATTTATGTTATTCATTTATTTTATTATAATAATTCTTATAAGAATATTCACTTATATAAGTGTTATTTTTTCTTGTTTTTTTATTATTAATTATTGATAGGCCCCCAAAGAGTTTTAGCCCAGGGCCCCCAAAGTCAACGGTCCGCCCCTGCGTGGTACTTTCAAATAAATTCTTTAACAAAATTTGCCTTTTTTATGATTTTAAGCTAATTACGTACGTACGTTGCGTATTAAATGTGGTTAACATTTAATACATTTTAATATTCAGGGTATACCCTATACGTATACGCACTTAATTACCAAACACCCTGTATATTTAAACAATAATTAATTTTGGACAACCCTGTTCCAATAAATGTTATACGAGTTTGGTCAGCCCTGGTCGACAAGTTCGCAACTGTCAAATCTGTCATTTTTGGAATAGGATTCGTGTTGGGAGCATCTTTTCGTAGTTTTTTCCTTTCAAATGAAGTTTTATCTTTTTAGTGGCTGATAATTCTCATTAAATAATGACAATTATCGTATTTCTAATCGATACTTCTGCCTCCATGTTTCAAAGGTATTTATTTTCGATCAACAAGAGAGGTTATGTGTCATTTTATACTGCCCAACCTAAACTTTGTTGTAAGAGTTTTGTGAAAATAATTTAAAAAATTGTTAAACTTAGTTTTTGAGTGTTGTGATTTATTTGTGTTTTAGGACATACATTGGAGGCAGAACTACCATGTTAGATGTGGCCAAAAACGCTGTGGAAACATTTGTTAAGATTCGACAAAGAAGTATAGACAGCAGAATAGATCGGTACATGCTGTTAACATTTGAAGAGACACCAAATAATATTAAAGCAGGATGGAAGGAGAACTTGGCCACATTTATGAATGAATTAAAAAATTTACAGTGCAATTCTATGACAACCATGGGTGTTGCGGTGAAGCAAGCCTTTGATATTTTAAATATTAATCGAATGACTTCTGGTATTGATACTTATGGACAGGGAAGGTGTCCTTTTTATCTAGAAACTTCTGTTATTGTTTTAATTACTGATGGAGGGAAATTAACTACAAGTAAGTAATGTAATTTTAAACTAAACCACAAAAAAGGCATTCCAGAGTTTAACATTTTCTTAATTAGCTAAATAACCTTCGTTTCCTAATGGATTTTAATAAGGCCCTTAATTGTAATATTTTTAAGTTTAGTCTTCTCAAGAGGTTTTAAAATATTAAAATCATTTTCCAGCCAACAAAACATATAGCTAATATCTCAGACAGTCAATTAAATGAATAAAATTATTAGTATTAAATTTAAGTAGAAAGATCAGGTCACACAATATGGAAAAACTTGTTAAAATCCATTTACAAATGAAGGTTACCTATATGCCAATTAAAACAAGGTTGTACAATAATTTTGTTGCTGAATTTATTTTTAAACACATCAAAAATATATACTTTTTTTTTTAAGTAAATGGGGTCCAAGAAGAATTTAATTTGCCCATGCATTCTCCAATACCTGGGTCTGAAATGACAAGGGAACCGTTTAGGTGGGACCAAAGGCTTTTTGCTTTAGTATTAAGACTTGCTGGTAAGTTTTATCATGGGTTTAAAGACATTTCTGGACAATAATTTATAATTTTTAAGGCACCCCTGCTGCTGAAAGAGACAGTGGTTTGGTACCAAGTGATAGTTCACCTATTGATGCTATGTGTGAAGTAACAGGTAAATTTAATTATAAGTAAATAATTTATTTTAAAAAAATGCAGAACATTTTTGCATTTAAATACAACAATATAATATATTAAATATTATAATACATGTTGATTCAGATAACATTTGCTGAGCTGTTCTTATTTAAAAAGAACATAAAGCATGCTTTGATATTGATTTATTATTATTATTTATTTAAAATGCCTAGCAATTGTAATGAAATTTGATTTAAAAAATGTACCTACTTAGATATTAACATATCAAGTTACTAAAAGTACATTTGTATTAAATTACATAACTAAAATAAAAAATAATCCAAAGTTATAAAGGGGCCTGGCTCTAAGCAGTATTGTATCATCTAAATTACCTACTTGTTTACAGTCTAAAAACAATTTTGAAATAAAAAATTCTGATGTCTTTTTTTAACCCTGCCTAAATTTTAATGTCATCATTTTACGCTCTACAAAAAAAGGCTTAATATTTTTTTCGTAAAACTTTAGATAGATATTTCGAAAACTTGTTGTCAGCCATGGGGGCTATTGTTATCATCAGAACAGAATGTGTATTATATTATGTATTATATATAATATTATGTTGCGATGAATTCCCCGGACAACAATCGAGATTTCCTGGTGAAGTCATGATGATATCACAACGTGATTTTTTTTATCACGCTGTGATATCCTGAGTGCATACACATGCTTCATCACAGTGATATCATGTAGAACTCACGGTGTAATATTTACAAAATTTGCGCATGCGTATGAGCCCTGTGAATTGCGAATTTAAAACCTAGTTTGTTATTCACATTACACCGTTATAATTTTTAAATCGTTGTTTGACTATCACAAATGTTGTCCGGGTTCAATTAAAAAAGATATTCCAATGTTTAACAAATTGGAATATCTTTTTTAATTCAACCCGGACAACATTCTTGATATTCATACGAACATCATGTCGTGATTTTCACAAATTTTATTCATACTGATATTATACGGAAGTCACAGCGTGATAAATGAAAATTATACGAACGTCACGTCGTGATTTTCACAAATTTTATTCATACAGACATCATCCGGTTGTCACTGCGTGAGAAATGAAAATCATGTCGTGATTTTTTATGCCATCACTGTTTGCGATTGACCGATGGCCTAAAAAATCACGACATGATTTTTTATGCTATCGGTGTTTGGGCATAAAAAATCACGACATGATTGTTTATGCCATCGGTGCACCGACATGTTTGGATATTTATTTTTGCGCCACATTCGTACATTGAAAGAAAAAGTATGTTAACAATTGAATTACCAGTTTTTGCGGTCAAATACATTTAATATTTTCTTGGATGTAAATTAACTAATAATTTTAATCCAAAAAAATATTGAATGTATTTAACCACAGGGCTCCCACGGCTAAATTACAAATTTTATTTAGGAATTTAGGAGTTTTTTTGTAAAATTTTAGGATAAATAAAGTACGGAAATTAATTTCTTTAATTAAATAAAAACAACTCTTTACTACTTAAAAAATAAGACAAAAATTAATACTTCTTTTGTAAAAATAAGTTATATTGACTAGTTTTTTAGAAAAAATGGTTGACGAGTTTTTTTTAAATAAAATTAAAAGTGAAGTAAAATTAAAACTTTCGTATACAAGTATAAATTTCACCACACTTTTAATTTTATTTAAAAAAAATGCGTCGATAGATTTGGCTAAAAAACTAGGCCAAAATCAAATGATGATTTATATTTTAATATAATTTAATATAACTAACAGTAATTGAATCGGTAAGATTAAGAATAGTACAAGTCCAAAAGTAAAATTTTTGATAAAATATTTCAAAAATCAGTTTTATAATTCTAAATGCATTTTTGTTAGAATATTTTAATTATTTTATGAAATATATTATTCATATTCTGTAAAATAATTTATTTCTTCTCATAAAAATGTTTTTTAAACTTTAAAATTGATTTTAGAAAATAAATGGTCAAAATTAAATTTTTGGACTTGTACTGTTCTTATTCTCACCGATTCAATTGTAATGTGGATATTATTACTTAAAAATCTCATAAAAAAATACGAAGTTTGCAAAATCCAGCAAAACATTCTTTAGATTGTTCACTATTTCAGCTGTCATTTAAAAGAAAATTAAAAATCCTTTTGTTTGATATATAACAAACGAAATATGGCTAAAAATGACAATTTTGTAAAAGTTTTTTTTTTTGTTTTTTAAGAAAAATTTTGGTTGTGATATTATATCATTTTAGCACGACAACTACCTTAATTAAACGCAGTCAGGTTGGCTTATTTAAATTTAATTTTTAGGATTTTAGGAGATTGAATACAATTTTAGGAGAATTTTAGGAATTTTCAAGATTTAAGCCAAATTTTAGGAATTTTATGAGTTTTAGGAGGTGTGGGAGCCCTGTAACCATAAAAACAATTGATTCAATATATATGTAGGTATACTTTTTCTCTCAATGTACGAATGTGGTGCAAAAATAAATATCCAAACACCGGTGGCATAAAAAATTATGACATGATTTTTTTATGCCATCGGTGTTTGGCACATACTTCTCTAAGTATGTGGTGTTTGGTCATAAAAAATCACGACATGATTTTTTATGCCATTGGTGTTTGGATCTTAATTTTTGCGACACATTCGTACATTAAAAGAAAAAGTATGTTAACAATTGAATCAACAGTTTAACATTCAAGAAAATATATTTTCTTGGATTTAAATTAACTATACACTGTTAATTTAAATCCAAGAAAATATTGAATGTATTTAACCGCAAAAACTGTTGATTCAACATAATTTTTCTCTTAGTGTACGAACGTAGCGCAAAAATGATTATCCAAACACCGTTGGCATAAAAAATCACGACATGATTTTTTGTGCTATCGGTCAATCCCAAACAGCGATGGCATAAAAAATCACGACATGATTTTCGTTTCTCACGCAGTGACATCCGGATGATGTCCGTAGGAATAAAATTTTTGAAAATCACGACGTGACATTCGTATGAATATCACGAATGTTGTCCGGGTCGTAGATATATTTTGTCGTTTACTATTTTTAAATGCACCTGTAGGCGCTTTTTTAGAGGACTCGAATATAAAAATGTTTGATTTTAAGGTTATGTTTCTACAACTATGATTTTTGTAAGATTTCTTAAAAATGTCCAAATTTAAATATAAATTATATTAGGTAAAGTTATCATCAGTACATTCAGCACCAACAAAAATTAGTAGGTACCAAATTGGATACTTTGGTAAAATATGAAAATGAAACGATTTCTTCTTGAATAACATTTACAATGTCTTTAAAGTTTAAACTTTAAACACAAGAATTCACAATAATTATTATTAACTTACTTATTATAATTAATGTCATTGTTGTAAACTAACATGAAGACGTGATTAAAAACGGTAACCTGGTAATTTTTCTGCTCTATACGCAAATGTCTGCTTTTGCATCTCAAGCTAGATTACTGCTTTGAATGACTGTTTGTGGTTCTGATACGCTTTATATGATTGTATGTCTATTAGCAACTTATAACTTTTTTATGTCATTTAGTCATCAGTGAAAAAGCCAACTTGCTGAAATGCATACAAAAATCTATATAAATTTAAAATTTGTATTTGTTCAAAAATCATAGATGAGCTAAACATGTAAGCAGCATTTTTATAAATTAGGACTTAACATGAAATGGTTTTAAAATGTTTGTTAAATTCATTGAAAACATTTGTGTTCATAAGTGGATAAAAAATTAGTTTAAGGTGTATAATTTGGGGAATACATTTAAATGATTTTTATTAAATTTAAATTAAATCTAAGACGATTTTTAGTGATACACTTTACGAACCTGACTCCAAGGCTAAAAGTTAAAATCCAACTCTTTAATGCTTTTAAAACACTTGGCATACTGAATTTATAACAAAATTGTAATACATGTATTCACTTTATAAAACATTAGTAAATAAAGAGTTATATTATTAATTGTTTCGACCTTTACTTGATGAAACTCCATATTAACTATGTAGATATAAAAACAATTTTGTTGTAAAGTTTCACGAAATTTATTAAATTTTGACAGCTGTTTCGCTACACAGTAGCTTCTTCTGAAGAAGCTACTGTGTAGCGAAACAGCTGTCAAAATTTAATAAATTTCGTGAAACTTTACAACAAAATTGTTTTTATATCTACATAAAGAGTTATATACAAATAAATAACTTTACTAAATACTAATTAATAATAAGTTTTATCGGGTTTTATATAATTTGTCATATTAAAAACGGGTAAAATACAAATAAAATTGTAACATGAAATTTACATACATTTTATAACAAATGTTTAATTAAAAAATCAAATATGTGTGAAAAAATGAGCTATCGACCAAAGACGCGCCTAATTTTTAAGCAATAGAAATCGTACTTTTAATCGATCGGGTATTTTCTTAATCAACAACACATATTTTGAATAAAATAGAATTTAAATTTTAGGTGGAAGATCCTATTGCATAACATCCCACAGAATGTTAAACCAATGCATAGACAGTTTGGTACAGAAGGTGAGATTAAACCCCTTAAAACATGAAACATTTTGATTTAAAATAAATTGTTTTAGGTTCAAAACGGTGTAGTGATAAACTTTGAAAAGATCGGGCCGGATCCTCCGCCCGCCGACAAAGACGAGAAGGAAGACGGAAATTCGCGAGACGGCGACGAAATGGCCACTGCGCCACCTCTCAACACTTCTTGGCATAACTGCCGGAAAATGATATATGTGCCTAAAGGCGGCAAAGCATATACGTTTGGTAAATTAATTTTTTTTTTAAATTATTGACTCATAGAGACATTTTGTGTAACAGATTAAATTCAATCCAAATTTACAAGCAGGTTTTTGGCCTATTCCCGAATCGTTTTGGCCGGAAATAACCGCGTCGGCGCTTCCACCAAGAACTGCACATCCGAACGTGAAATTCGCTTGTTCCAACGCAGAACCGATGGTCATAGAAAATTTACCGTTTGATAAATACGAATTGGAACCTTCGCCATTAACGCAGTACATTTTATCTCGAAAACAGCCTAAAACTTGCTGGCAGGTAAGATTTTATTAAAACGTTTCGCTTTTTGTCATATATATGTTACGGCTAATGTGCAAACTTGGATTGTTTATAAACTAGCTGGATAGTTTATAAACTAGCCAAACTGTCAGCTATTTTAATTGAAAATGTATTTTCAACTAAATTAGCGGCTAGTTTACAAAATAACCAAGGATCTTGGCTAATTTACTTGAAATTATTAGGGAAACTAAAATAGCTGGATAGTTTGTATACTATCCAATTCAATTTGGCTAATATGAAAACCTATGTACAAATATGGCGATTTTTGCTCCAAAAATCCAGTATATCAAGATCTACACTTTAAAACAAATCCGGTTAAAATCGCACAATAAATAAAGATTTTACAGGGGTGAGTCGCAAACAAATGAGTCACACTGTATATATATATATATTTTTTAATGCAATTGGATCTTTTCATCTCAAATCGACCAGGCAAAAAGGGGTAGGTCGTTATTTTTCAACAAATTTTTTTTTACAGTTTCTCTGCCGAAATCAATGAGACCCGTATTTTTCTTTTTGCTTAAATTTGTTTTGTTCACCCATAGGAAATTTTTGAAAAATGGACAGAAACATCGATTTTTCTCTTTTTAAAAGTGAAATTTTTTCTTGAAAATGCGATAACTTGGCCAAAAATGTTTCGATCGTTACAATTTTTTTTAAATTGTAGGTTAATGTTTACTACATACCAAAAAAAATATTGTGAATTCACTCACTTTTTTTAATTGTTTTTTCTATAAAAGGCAATTTCCACATTTTTTTACTTCATATTAAATTTTCACTTTTAATTTTTTATATATTTTTGTATGTAGTAAACATTTACCTACAATTTACTTTTTTATTAACCATAATATAAGTATATTGACATTTAAAACATGGTGTTTGTTTTTAGACATGAATTACACAGTAGGGAGGTGAAAATATCACAGCTAAACGCTCAGACACTTAAACTTAATTTTTGGTCGTAGATTACAAATCAGTGCTTGGTTTAGCTGTATCAGGTCAAAATTCATAGATATTAAAAACACCCTGTATAAATTAAATTAATAAATTAATTTGTCTGGATCCACAACAAATAAGATCAAAATTTAAAAAAAAAAACAAATTATTGCAAAATTAATTAATCAAAAGGAGTTTTTTATAGATAATTTAGGAAATTCAAAATGTTTTTTTTTATTGAGTATAATTAAGGATATTATGTTTAAGTGTCCGAGAGTTTAGCTGTGATATTTCAAGAGTTGAAAATTTACCTACAGTGTTAATAACAACAGTACAGTTTTATACCTAATAAACTATGTCCCATTAATATTATTTAGATATGTATATCTATGTATAATAATTTTTAAATACTTACTAAAATTCATATTTTTAAGGTATTTGTGGCAAACAGTTATAAAAATTCCGAAGTAGGACATCCTTTTGGTTACCTAAAAGCATCAACAAACCTAAACTGCGTCAATTTATTCGTTATGCCTTACAATTACCCTGTTTTACTACCGTTACTCGAAGAATTATTTAAGGTAAGTAAACTTAAAAACGTAAATTTAATCGATACCAACATTTGCTGTATTTAGATCCACAGGTTAAAACCTAGCAACGAGTGGCGCACGCAGTTCCAAAACTACCTGCGCACACTGCCAGCCTACTACGCGGCTCCGCTGCGCAGAGCACTCACGCGCATGGGTACACCTGTTGCCTTGGCAACCACTTTAATCTCGGAGAGTAGCGAGAATTGCCTCAGCTATTCAGTGAATAACTATTTGAAAAGACTTAAAAATCAAGCCAAGGTCGAGTACGATAAGCTGTGCAGCGAGATTATACAACGACAAAGTAACGTAAGTAACAAAATTTTACAAATTTGTAGGTTATGGCAAACCTTTTAATCGCGATTTCATCGAGAAATTTCAAAAATTAAATTAAATTAAAACCTTAAGGTTCGTCCTTTACCAATTTTCAAAATAAAAATAATAATAATAATTATATGGGGCTTTCCATGTCAAACCGGCCGCGAAAGACGGACATGTATCCGATTTGCTTTTAATATTGAGGGTCTATAGTGGAACTAAAAAAATTGAAATATAAAATTTTAGTACTTTACAATAATAAGAAGTTTTAGAATATTTCCAAAATTAAACTGTAAAATTTTGAAAAAATGTACACATACTTTGTTTCAAGCTGCCTTTTGAAAAAAAATCAAATTTTGTTATTGCAAAAAAATAGACAAAAAAATAAAAATTAAAAAATATTAAATTTAATTTTAATATAAAAAAATATAAAAATTTTAATTTTTTTTCCAAAAGGCAGTTTCAAACAGGATATGGGTGATTCTACAAAAGTTGGGCAACTTTTGACCTCATTTTGTTTATATAGTTTTTGGAGAAAATTAAACAGTATTTTGTTATGAGAACATAGATAATATAATAAATACTGTTCCAGACAGGGCCAGTCACTTTTTCAAAGATCATTGTTTTGCCTTCGCAGATGATACAACTACCATTAATAGTCAAAAGAGCCTGGACGGAGCTCTTCAGCTTAGTCTAAAAAGTGAAATTAAAGCACGAGACTGGTTTTCTCTAAATAATCTTAAAATGAACACCACAAAGACCCAGAGACTCACCTTTTCCACAGGGATTACTCTAGAGAATCGCAAGAGAGTGCAATTATTGGGCATCACTCTTGACAACAGACTGGACTGGTCTTGCCATGTAAAGCAGCTATGCAAAAAGTTGTCTTCCACAGTTTTTATTCTAAGACAAATAAAAAAGTCTGTCTCGTTTAGCATCTTAAAAATGACATATTTCTCTCTATTTCATTCGCATTTAAGTTATGCGACGATTCTCTGGGGAAACTCCAGCTATGCTGTTGCAGCCTTCCGTCTTCAAAAGAGGGCTATTAGACTATTATGTAATGTGGGAAACAGAGAAAAATGTCAACAGCTTTTTATAAAAATAGGCGTAATGCCCTTACCAACACTTTACATATATTTGACATTATTAAAAATACATAGAGAAAAGGATCAATTTACTTGCGGCGGAGATATTCACAGTCACGATACTAGGGGCAAATCACAAATCAGAATTCCAAAATATAGACTCTCCAAAGTGTCGAGAAACTCACTAAACATTAAATTATACAACCTATTACCCTCAAGATGCAAGGCTCTCAACTATATAAAATTTAAAGCAACCATAAAGGAAACCTTGCTCACTTACTGTTTTTATTCTGTAGACGAATATGTCATGAAAATGGGTCTTTCAGACTTTCATCAGCGTTTCTCTCTCAATTAAACTCTGTGATAATATGTATATGTAATGTGTATGCTGTAACTTGTATGTTGTATGCCTTATGTTATTTACATATTTATGTATATATGATATATTTATGTTATATTTATTTTATCTTGACTTGCCAAAAATGTTAAATGTAAACATAATGTGGCCAAATAAATGATTTGATTTGATTGATTTGATTTGAAACAGTTTCTCAAATATCTGTGTTTTCTAAATTTGAATGCAAGGAAAATGACGAGTATACCAGGGTACTAATTAAATACATGATTTATTGGAAAATATAAGATTTATTGCAACTTTAAGCATATTATACATTAAATATCTTAAAATCAAATAATACCACACATCTGTGGTGGCTGGTGGATTTTGGGTATACCGATATCTCAATTATTAGATATGGGACCCACATCAAACTTATATGAGTTTATAATGACAAGTTCTGCGCAAGCAGAATTTAAATTTGCGTTTAAGTTTGCGAAAAAAAGATAACCCAAACATCGAACATGGAACTGACGACACGGTACTGATGAATGGAATACAAATTTGAGATTATAATTCGAAATTAAGTATTTTACTGATATTTTTTATTAGTGGATGCTACTTATCAAAAAATCACATATAGCCTTACATAAATTACAATGAAATATATATGCATTGCATTGTTTTCAAGATGACTGTCGTGCAAAGGGCGGGCTCTGTAGGTAATTTTTTACCAACACTTAAGTTAAAACGAGGAATTGACGTTTAAACTTCAATATTTCGCAGGAATATTGAATTTTAACATTAGACACAGAACTGACGGGTAAAAGTGAGTACAAAGATAATCAATTTTTTTTTAAATTGCTATTATTCGAATTTATGATAAAATATTTTAAAAACATTATTTAATGTATTATAGTTTGTAGTGAAATTGAAAAATTTAAGATAAATGAAATATATTTTAAAATAAAATCACTCAAATATTTGATTCAGGAGTTGTGACACGCCAAGGTACTGATGTTTTGAATATTTATTATGTTTTTCTACAAACGTGCTTTTGAAAAATACATTAACATTGGGTGGACAAGTTAAAAAAACCTGGATCTTTTGTAATACACTAAAATATTTACAAAAAATATTAAAATACCTAATCTATTGACTGATGACATCAAGTTGTCCAACTTTTGTAGAATCACCCATATATGTAAACTTTTTAAAAATTTTACACTGTTTAATTTCGGAAATATTCTAAAAAAAGAAATTCACTACTTTTTTCGCAAAAATTACTAAAAAATGCTAAAATTTTAGATTTTTTCATTTCTTGGGTTCCACTATAGACCCTCAAAGATCGTGCAAAAAAAGCAATTTTTCAATATTAAGTAAATTAATCATTCTGTACAAAGGATTCATAGTTGTTCCATTATTGAGCAACTAGGCAAGATATAGCACTTTGTAGTAGGCCGAAATATTAATTTTTATTTTTTTATATTACAAGAGTATAGGGTATCAAACATTTTATTTTTAAATTAATAAAATCTTAAAAACTTTTGGCGAATATTGTAATTAAAATTAAACAAAAACATATATTTTAGGCAAATGGTTTAAAGACAAACTTTAACAACCCAGAGCAAATTAGGGTACTGCCTCGAGTTACTGTTAAAAAAGAATTAATAACCCATCCACTGTTGACTGATAAATTTAAGGATCAAATCCAGGAACCGCCAAACGTATTTGTCAGCACCCTTGACAAGGAAAGGGTGTCTGTAAGCTTTAAAAATCCATTTGATATTCCTAGACACAGACTTATACAACAGGTACTTATTCATTTCAAATTAATTGTGTTTTATTAATATTTTGGTGTTTTTTCTTAAGGTTGTTAGAATGCGTAATAATTTCCTGCAACCCGATTGGATATCTCTGGACCAAGATGCCGCCCATTCGTTGCCCATATCCCAAATGGGCAACTACCAAGATTATCTTAAAAAACAAACTCCCCAACTGAGAGAAATCGAGTCTGCACCGGTTAGGCAACACATGTTTGGAAATCCGTTTAAGATCGACAAACGAATGATGGTAAACAATTATTTATTTTTCTTAAGTAAAAAAAATAATTTTTGATATTCTTTAGGTTGATGAAGCTGATATAGATCTGGTGGGTTCTCCGGGCACCAAAACTAACAATAAACGACCAAATCAAAACCAAGATGCGGCAAGACTGCCCTGCAAAAGGAAACCTGGTCCGTTGCCCAAGAATTTCAGCATTAAAAGGCCCAGTTTGGACGTAACGCCGCCTGCAAGTCCGATAATATCGCCACAACCTTCTCCTATACCATGGTAAGAAAAATATTTTGTTTAGTTATTTTAAAAATATTTCATTAAACAGGACATGTTATACATTATTGTATACAGCTAAATATCAAAAAATCAACTTAGAGCTTTTGTGTCTAAGAGAGGCGTGGATAGACAATGCAATGTTGCCATATTAATATTTAATTTGTCTTTATTATAAAAAAACCACTTGCGTTAAAATAATATTATACTTGATAATTTAACAATAAAATTACTAACCATATTAATATCAATATACGCTACATTAAGCTAAACTTTAAAACATTATAATAATTAATTATTACAAAAAATTATGTTTCATCAAACTATAAAAATCCAAATAACTCGAAAAGCGATTTTTACAAGAATGCTTTTTTGTTTAAAAAGTATAGAAAATCATTCTTCATTATTCTTTATTTTTATTAAAAAAAAACAACAATTACACTGAGAAAAAAGTTATGGTTATTTTAATCCATAAAAGTACATTTCAGAGCACCCTCTAGTGGCTACAGTAAAACTGTCCATAGTATGTTGTATTATACCATTTTTTCTACTCCTATTACAGAATATGACAATTCTAATATCACTTTTTAATTTGGAATGACATATATTACTTAAAGTATTACAGAATTAATTATTCTATCATCGGATGACGGAATAAACACTGGTGGCGACATCTCTGTGTTTAATATCTAAAAAAATTTAGACCGATCCAACCTCACTTTCTCCCAATTAAATTATTTTTCTATGGTATTTTTTGGAAACGTAGAAAAAGTATAATCTGAAACACGTTTGGAATTGCATATTCCGCTCTCGTGAAACCGTAAAACTCGCCCTCGGCTCGTGTGACAAACTTTTCACTCGAGCGGAATCTGCCTTATTCCAAACTTGTTACAGAATATACTATTTTAATGGAATACGTTTTTTACAATTTAAAAAAAAAATTTACAATTTAAAAAAAAACTAATCGTTTGACCTACTTATGTTTATTAGGGTGTCCGTTATTTCCCAAGTTGATTTTGTTACTTGGGTATTATCTAAATTATTTATTTACAGTCTAAAAACAATTTTGAAAAAAAATGTTTTTCCAATGACGCAGGAACAAATTTATAACTCACTAATAAATAGACATACAACAATGTATAAGACATATTTTTGTAGGGAATTGTACGCTTTAAAAAAAAGGTATTGACGTCAAAAATTTAAATAAATCAAAATGAAAAGTATTGTCAATATCTTTTTTCTGAGTTTATAAGTGCCTTTTTTTACTTGGGTATCAAAAAAAAATATGTCTTTATATATTGTTTAAATAAATGACACTTTTAATTTTTTATTTTATAAATTACAACTTTGAGCTCCAATATCATTTAAATGGATGGTTTTACAAAAAAAACGTAAAATGCCTTTTTGTAGAGCGTAAAATTTCCTACAAAAATTTGTCTTGTGTATTGTGACATGTCCATTAATAAGCGAGTTTTTGTAATGTAAAAAAACAATGAAATTGAAAATTTAAAGCATCATCATTTAGGCAGGGTTAAACAACACAAGAAAAAATATTTTTGTTTCAAAATTGTTTTTAAACTGTAAACAAATAATTTAGATTAAACTCAAGTAAAAAAAAGACAAATTAAAGCCAACTTTTGAAATTCAGAAAAAAAAATATATTTTTTATTTATTTCAAACATTATTTTCCGATATTATTTAAATTGATGGTTTTACAAACAAATCGTAAAAGACCTTTTTTGTAAAGCGAAAAATGTCCTACAAGAATACGTCTTTTATATTGTTTCATGTCTATTAATTACCGAGTTATGAATATTTTCTTATTTCATTAAAATGTCATTTAGGCAGGGTTAAACAAATCAGAAAAAACATATTTTTTTAAATTCTTTTATACTTTAAAGTTTAAACAATTAATTTAGATGATATCCAAGTAAAAAATAAATTTGAAAAAAAAAATAGGTACGTTTTTTTCATATTATGAAAAAAACTTCGTATCAATTAAAAAAGCGTTTGGTTTTTTATGAAAAAAATAAACACAATTTAAAAGTGTCGCCATCTAAAGTGTCTTAAAGACACCATAGTAGCATATGAACTCCAAGGTTGTACCAAAATATTTTCCAATACAAGAAAAATGGGAGATTTCTATAAAAAATCGCCGTTCGACAGCTTAGCTGCACTGTTTTAGTTTTTAGTACTTATGTTCCCACCAAAACAATGTTCTTTTCCGCAAGATAAATTTAAAACGCACGACAAAGTAAAGTACAGCATTTTCTGCCGTCATCTGCCCGGCAGATTCTGCCGCAACTATTTCCGGGGAATACCCTTTTCTTACGAATACCATATGCAATTACCTAAGTATAATAAGCAACAGATCGCTGTGATATCGATGCGTTAAAACTGTTAACTTAACAGTCATACTGCGTGCAATAATATAAAGTAGAGAATCTCTAAAAAAACAAATTTCTGAAAGAAAAAAACGCTTTTTTCAGTCGAAATATCCAATTAGTAATATTACAGTCACAATTATTGTGTTCAATTATTTATCTGCTCCCAGTATCTTAACTAGGCTATTATTTTATATCAGCTAAGTTACATTTATTGTGAAAGGCTGGTTGTTATTGACGACGGAAACTGAGATACTTACCTCCCATGGGTAAACAACGTCTTAATAAGGACAAAATCATAGAGTTATTCGAATTTTCTGTTTTTTTTTTTTTTAATTTTATGGTACAATTAGCAGACAGGTGAAAGGTGGCAAAACAATGCAGCGGGGGGGCAAAATGGGGTACCCAAAAAATTTTGTAGAAAATTTTTTTTAGATTGTTTTTTTCGGTTTCTAAATTATTTGAAAATTGACCCACAAGTTCACGCTTTTAATCGAGCCTGTAGAGCGAGAAAAAGGATGGTACAATTTTGGAAAACTTTTCATATGCTCATTTTTTGGGTACCCCATTTTTGCCCCCCCCGCTGCCTTGTTTGGCCCCCTTCACCTCCTGTCTGCTACCATAAAATTAAAAAAAAAACAGAAAATTTGATGTTATCAAACTTTGACCTCGAATAACTCTAGAAGAAATTAATTTATCGAAAAATAATAAGAGAGCTTTTTTGTAGTGTTACATTTTATATAAGAATCTGCAATGATCATTGCCATAAGTTACTTTGATACAGAGGTATAAAATTCCAAACATAAAGTTATTTTTCCCATGTTAATTAAATGGGAAACTAAAATAAAAACAGCGACCTCTTAGAGTTGAGCTGAGACGCCCATATTTGGTGAGGATTTTTTTATATTAAATAGAAACATTTGAGAGGGTAAGACCGAAAAAAAAATTAAATTTTATTTTTTGAAGCACCCTAATACTTAGTGTATGTGTCAAAATAAATTGCATAAAAAAAGTATTTTTATTACATGAAATCTAGCTGTGGGAGTAGATAAAACGTTATACACACGCAGGAGGTAAGTTTTGACCGGTCTCGGTATTGTCAGCCCTCGCACGCTCGGGTGCAATAAAATCTACTTACCTTCTTAGTGTAATGTAGTGTAATTAGGGATGGGACAGTTGAAATTTTCAAATGAAAATTTCAACTTTGAAAGTTTCAAAGTGGAAATATTTCATTTAGTTGGAAAAGTGAAATTTTTGAAAATTTCAAATGAAATTTTCAATCCGAAAATTTCAACATTGCCTGTGAAAGTTTCAGAAATTTCATTGAAAGTTTCGCAATTTACTGAAAATTTCGCATAAATTTCACATGCGGCCTCCCCTGGGATCTTTAATAATAATTTACAACAGATTCCAAATCGACCAATAAGAACGAGTTATCAAGCGTCTGGGCGTTTTTGTTTAGTTCGGCTTGGATTTGAATACACTATAAGTAGTTATTGTTACTTATATGCATAAATTAATTTAAATAATTTAATTCAGTTACCAATTTAATTTGTAAATTAAATCAGACTTTAAATTTTTTGCTATAATTGCATCGGAAAACGGATAAAAAATGCCTTTGGCTCATAAAATTTTGATGAAGTTTTTTCAATTTTCGTAAAATTTCAGTAAAATATTTAAAAATAATAAATATTTATAAATATAAAACATTGAAAGTGGCACAATCTCATTAGCTTACTAAAAAGTGCTATATATCTCTTTGTTTTAGTAATTTTAAAAATATTTTAAAAGGAAATCTCAAGAAATTTTTGGTAAACATAGGTATTTACTATTTATATTATTGGTGCAGGGGCCCACAGAGGGGTAGGAGGTAAGAGGCAATTTGCCATGGTCCCCGTGTGGGCTTATTTCAATATTAATATATTACACTTAAAGTGATTGAAATTTATTGAAAGTTTCAATAAATTTCATGAAATTTCAGAAATTTAGGAAATTTTAATAAATTTCATAAATGTCATGAAAATTTCAAGTGAAATTTCAAGTACAAGCAAAAAGTGAAATTTTCCCAACCCTGTAATACAGTATTAATTTAAATTGCACGGCAACCCTACAAATATCCCTTATAATTGTTTTCCAGGTTGAACGCCATTGAGCAAGACATCCCGACGTTCGAGGCGGCCCCACCTATAATCGTGAACGGCGTGGACAGCCCGTGCTCGAGCGACCGGTCCCGATCGCCCTCTCCAACGCTCGAGCTCCCCGTGTTCGTGGACGCCCCCCCGCCGCCCGCCGCCGCCCCGGCGGCACCTGCGGAGCCAGTCCAAGCGATAAACAACCACTCTGCGTCCGTACCGCGCAGCTGCGCGATCGCGCCGACTCCGCCCCCGCCGATCCACAGCTACTCGATCTCGATCGCGGCCGAGGCCAACTCGACGGCGCCTGCGAACGTCGCGTACGCGTCGCCGGTGATCGCAAACGACAAGGATCGCGAGATCTCGCAGATTTTGCGCGAGACGAACCACCACGCGTTCGCCGTCGCGCACTCGAACGCTCTCACGAACAACAGTGTCGCCGCTAGTAACGTTGTCACGAACAATAACAGCCATCCTGCGGTTGCGGCGGCGAAGTCCCCGGTCAGCGATATTGTGGTCAAGGAGGAAGAGGTAAGAAACGTTTTTTTTTAAATTTTGTGACTTGGTCGAAGTTCTGTGTAAATTCCAATTTATACTTTTTCAGGGCTCCCACACCTCCTAAAACTTATAAAAATCCTAAAATTTGGCTTAAATCTTGAAATCTAAAATTCTCCTAAAATTTCCATCAATCTCCTAAAACTCCTAAAAATTAAATACACTGCGCGTCAAAATTAAAAAAAGGAAGTGTTTTGAAGTAAATAAAAAACATGCTGTGAAAGACCGTATTTTTGTTAGTATACCCTGAAAATGTTGTACAAATCAAACGAACAGTAACGAAAATACAGCGCTTCAAAGTCGTCAAAAATGACCACTTTTCAGCAAAATAATCAAAAAGGGGTCATTTTTACCGACTTTGAAGCGCTGAATCTTCGTTACTGTTCGTTTGATTTGTACAACATTTTCAGGGTATACTAACAAAAATACGGTCTATGCTATTTTATCTATTTTGCAAAAATTCCATAAAAAAAAATAATTTTATACCTTATATTTAATTTGGTCGAATTTTACTTTTGATAGTACAGTGACAGTCATTGGTTTGACAGTTAATGTCAAAATCGATTCGGCATGGCGTCCTTAATTTACCTATTTACAATAAGCGGCTGTTAATGTTAAAGAAGAATAAAATGATTTTCTTTGGTGTTAATCAAAATTTATTGCCAGAAAAGTCTCGTAAGTACTAGAAAAATCATAAAAATATTATAATCAATATGCAAAATATTATTTTACTGGTATGCTGTTTAAACTATAGCCAACCTATAAAATCAAAATTTTGGGTGGGTCAAAGTATCTCATTACAGCGCCAAAAGCGGTGTTATATTATTTATTTAATAATAAAAAAACGTTTTTTTATTATTAAATAAAAGGGCTTTAAAATATTTTTTCGAAAAACCGTCGAACACGTAAACTAGGATATAAGTTATATATATACAGGGTGAGTTTTAAGTTGACGCGTTCCTTTTAACAGCGTGTAGAAATCAGATAGACAAATAAATATTTTAAGTAACTTTTTTATCAAAACTCAAAAATAAGATTGTTAGTCCTTCAAAATTTAATTAAATTTTGAGCCGGTCCTGGCTATTGTTAACAAAAAACATAACCATAAAAATAAAAATAACAAAATAAACAATGCACAATGTCATCTATGACAACAAACATAACCATTTAAACCAAAATGACACATTTTTAACAATAATTGAGGCCCAAAAAAAACTTAAGTAAATGACATTTTTTAAAGTAAATTTAAAAAATTAAATTTTTAGGTTCTAGTTCATTAAATTCTTTTTAAAATGATACATCACAATCTACATTTTTCTTAAAAAAACACAACAAAATATACGTAAAAACAAAATCCGTATAAAAGATCCTATACTTGTACAAATTTGTTATTTTTAGCCATATTTCGTTTGTTTTTGACAAAAATATATTTTAAATGATAGTTAAAATAGTAAATAATCTAAAGAATGTTTTGCTGTATTTTGCAAACTTCAATTTTTTTTTATCATGAAATTTAAGTATTATTATTATTAAGTATTATTAATTATTGTTAGATATTAACTAAACAGTTAAACATTTTTTCTCAAAATATATACAGGGTGTTTCATAATATATGCGCAGGACTTCAGGATGTGATAGCTCATCCAAAAAGATGAAAAAAGTCGCTATTAAGTTACGCTCTAAAATGCACAATTTTCGAGATACAGGGTGTTGAAATTTTAGAAAAAAATTCGTTTTTTTTTCGAATATCTCGGGAACCGTTTATCGTACAAAAAACAGCTTTTGTAAGCATTTTCTACTCAAAATAAGCTATGTTTTGTGCTAGAAAAAAATTTTTTTTCCTCATAATTGGTGGAGATTTTGAAGGGGTAGCGGGTGTTTTTCTCCTCAACTTCTACGCCCCTGAAAGAAGTACGGTTTTGAGAGGCCCATTCGAACCGCCAATGTTTTCTACACAAAAAAGGTACTCCTGGTCATAAGCTCTAAAGTTGACCGTTTTCGAGAAAAATCAACTTTTATGTTTAAAAACATGGTCAATTTAAAAAAAAAATATTTTTTTTTTACTAATTAAACAAAATTTATTTTAACGTTAGGACAAGTAACAAAACCAAACCATAATTGCAAAATAAAAAATGATTTAAAAGTTGTCTTTGCTTAATTCTCCAAACCATAAAGGTAACGCATTTCGCACATTTCAGCATTTGAGTAAAAAATCATTTTTTATTTTTTTTTTAATTTTGCAATTATCGTTTGTTTTTGTTACTTTTTCTAACGTTAAAATAAATTTTGTTTAATTAGTAATAAATTTTTTTTTCAAAAAATTGACCATGTTTTTAAACATAAAAGTTGATTTTTCTCGAAAACGGTCAACTTTAGAGCTTATGACCAGGAGTACCTTTTTTCTGTAGAAAACATTGGCGGTTCGAATGGGCCTCTCAAAACCGTACTTTTTTCAGGGGCGTTGAAGTTGAGGAGAAAAACACCCGCTACCCCTTCAAAATCTCCACCAATTATGAGTAAAAAAATTTTTTTTCTGGCACAAAACATAGCTTATTATGAGTAGAAAATGCTTACAAAAGCTGTTTTTTGTACGATAAACGGTTCCAGAGATAATCTAAAAAAACGATTTTTTTTCTAAAATTTCAACACCCTGTATCTCGAAAATTGTGCATTTTAGAGGGTAAGTTAATAGCGACTTTTTTCATCTTTTTGGATGAGCTATCACATCCTGAAGTCCTGCGCATATATTATGAAACACCCTGTATATATAACACCATTTGACTTTAGCTTAGTTTTTTAGCCAAATCTATAGAAGCATTTGTTAAAATAAAATTAGTGCTTTGAGCACCAAGCACCAAGCCCTTTGGAAAAGTAATTGCCAGCACCAAGCATCAAGCACTTTGAAAACTTTAAGTGCTTGCAATTACCAATTACCGAGAAAAGTAATTGAAAAATTCAATTACCAAGCACCAATTACTCAAAAAGTGCTTGCAAGCACTTTTTTCTTAAATAAATTACCAATTACCAAGCACTTTTTAGTTTTCCAATTGCTTCCTACCCAATTAATTAACATCTTTATTTTAAAAATAAGAAACATTTTTGGATGATCGTTATATTAAAATAACCAAACCAAGTTTTTTGTTTTTAATTTATTAGTCCACACAACATGACGCAAAACAATTAAAGTGAAGAAATCATCAAAAAATAAGTACAAATTATCTGCAAGAAGGAGAAAGGTACTGGCCAAGTCGGCCTTCAACCAACCAATCACATTAAAGCTTATGCTGCACCGCACACCGCATTAGATGATGATGAAACCACAGGGTTGTTACTAAGGGCATTTCCCTCTAGAGCCTAAAGTGCTCGGGAACACTTTAAATGCTTGCAAGCCCTCAAATCTGATAGTGCTTGCAAGCCCTTTAGTGCTTGCAAGCCCTTTAAAGTGCTTGCAAGCCTTTTAAGTGCTTGCAAGCACTCAAATGGCTTGAAATGCGAAATTCAATTACCAATTACCAAGCACTTTTTATAAAGGGCTTCAATTACCAATTACCAAGCACTGTATTTTAAAAGTGCTTGCAAGCACTATTGTGCTTGAAGCACTTTTTCAAGCACTTTCAAGTCAATTACTGCCCAGCTCTGATTCTACTGCATCCTTTAAGGATGAATTTGAAAAAAGTAAAATATTGCCTAATTTTGAAACACCCCAATATAACACTTGCCTAATTAAAATCCGTGATTAAAATTAGACTTTGTACATAATATACTATTAATAATAATCATGTTTTAACGCCAAACTAATTTATGTTTAATTTAATTAACACAGGTCCACAAAATTTAAACAAAAACTACTAGGTTTTTGACAAGCTGAATCCTAATTTGACCCAAAAAATATTCTTTTTTTTCTAGGCTGTGGAAAATAACATAGAAGAAATAGTGGCAGAAAACTTCGAAATTCGGAAAAACCTGAACAAATTGGTGCGAAAACCGGGTAAAAACTTTGAAGAATTGTTAGACCGTGTAAAAACGTTGAAAGGCGATAGTGATATGCAAATAAAAATAATAAAAATGGTAATCAAAGAGTCTCTTAGGTTTAAACGGCAATATTTAGCAACTGTGTTAGAGAATCATATGAAATCACTTATGAATGGTGCCCATAAATGATTGGAATTTCACTGCAGGGCATACAAATTTAATTAATTTTATTGTTTTAATGTTGCCCTGTATTTCCTTGATTTTAAATTCTTAATATTAAGAAAAAAGTGTAAATTGTTGTTTAATTATTATTTCAATTGTTTTTTTACCTCCTTGAATTACTTAAGATGTAAATAGAGTATTAATTGAAACATTTTTAATTTTATAATGTTTTGTCATCCCATTTTTGTAAATTTTTCACCACATTGTAATTAAATTATTTTATATATGACAGGACTATTTTTTTGCTAAACGTTTTACAGTAGAAGAAGAAGACTTTTCACGTAAAAATTTAATTTTTACTCCAGGTGAAAGCCCCACTATTTAGCAACATACTTAATAATAATAATAATAAGGTTTTTGACTTTTATCAAATCTTCCAAAAGACTCATAGACAGGGGCATGGAAAAAACAAAACTTCAAAATTTATGCAGTAAAAAAATGAATACACTCTATACAACAAAATATTAAAAGTTTTCCTGTTTACATTATTTGCATGTAAAAAACAGATGTATTCTTATACCATGCCTTTTTTGAATTTATTGTTGATTATTGATATTTGTTAATAAGGGCAAGTAATAATGCAGTAACTTGGAAAAAATATGTTTAATGGTATAAATATACAAATATCAAAAGTTTACTAGCTACCTACTTAGTACTTAACAGGTTTTGATCATTTCATAAGAATAATTTCAATCACTGATATGAAATAATACATCTAAATACACAAAACATCAAAACATTTTGTATACAATTCTTAACTTAACTTCGTGATTACACTTAACCCTAGGAAAATTTGGTAATTTCAAAATATACAAAACACTTCAGGACGGAAACAAAAATGAATAAATAATTTTTAAATAAAAAAACCCAGGAAATACACAATACAATCAAAATTTTAACATTCAAAACTACGAAAAGTTATCAAAGATGGTTTCAGTCATATGTATTTCCTGGGCCTTATCCTAGAATCTATCCTTCGATGATAGTAAATCGTTGTCATTTAAAATTTGCATTTCCTGGAGCTGAATGAATTTATCCTGGTCTCGAATGTGTGCATAATTGGCAGACAAACACATCAAATAGTGAATCTGAAATAAATGAATAATCAGAAACAACCTATAATATAAATTATTATAAATTAGAATACTACATAATTTATAATGCATTAAAATCACAAAAAATATATAAACTAAATAAATTATTATAATGTAAAAACATTTAATATTATTTATTTAGATTATTATATATTTTTTGTGATTTTAATGTATTATACTTTAAGTATGTATTTCTAATGATGCCAATACAAAAATAAACTAAAGCGTTTTTGAGTAAAAGAAGTTCATAAACATTTTAAACCATTTAAAAGATTTTTAAACAAAATGATGAAATTTAGACAAAAATCAATACAATAATTTTGGGGCCGATTTTGCCGTTTCCGGCCTAAAAAATGATCAAGACACATAAAAAATTGTTGTGTAAAATTTTCGCAAAATCAATTAACATTAACATGTGCCGCAAAGCACTTGAAATTTTTAATGGGAAATACATGTATTTTTACAGCCTTTAATTCAAACTTTACATAAAAGTATAAAAATTATAATTATATTTAATTAAAAAAACTGCTCAGTAAAAAAAGTAAAAATAATTATTAGTATTGCACCTCCCCTTACAAGCTGCCACTGCTTTTAGGTCTTCAAACACAAAATACCCATAAAAGTATAATAATTATACACAGACAGATTCTGTTTTAAAAAGTCCACTATTTTTTCTTTCAGAAAGTATATTCAAAATATTTATTAGAATTTCATTAAAATGATCCTGTCAATATTTAATACACTGCGCGTCAAAATTAACGCATAATAAGTAAAAAAATTTCAACTCTAAAATGTCTTTACTAATCTTTAGGAAATTTTGTATAAAAATACTTCAGCTTATATCTCAGTTTACGTGTTCAAGGGTTATTTCAGAAAATATTTTTTATTTAATAATAAAAAACGTTTGAAAAATAACTTTTAGGGAATTTTTTTTTAAGTAAATAAAAATAAGCTGTTAAAGACCGTATTTTTGTTAGTATACCCTGAAAATTTTGTCAAAATCAAATGAACAGTAACGAAGATACAGAGCTTCAAAGTCGGTAAAAATGACCCCTTTTTGTTTATTTTGCTGAAAAGTGGTCATTTTTGAAGACTTTAAAGCGCCGTATTTTCGTTACTGTTTGTTTGATTTGTACAACATTTTCAGGGTATACTTACAAAATTACGGTATTTCACAGTATATTTTTTATTTACCTACTTAAAAAAAATTCCCTATAAGTTTTTTTCGAGCGTTTTTTTTATTATTAAATAAAAGGGCTTTAAGGATATTTTCTTGAAAAACCCTTGAACACGTAAACTGAGATATAAGTTAAAGTATTTTTTTACTTATTATGCGTTAATTTTGAGTTGCACTAAGAATTTCTATTTACCATTGAAATACCATGGGACATTTTTTACTTTGTAATTTTATAACTCATCATCACAAAGACCAACACGTATTTTTCTATAAAAATGAACGCAATACAAAAAAGGTCTCTTATCATTTCATGATAATGATATGATATGATTTTATGATATTTGTGTTTGTCAGTGTGTGTTAAAAGCACATTAAAATATTTAAAAAAAATCACTCTTTAAAAGTTATTCAAGGTCAAAGTGCAGTAAATTTTAAGATTTTCGTAATATTCCCCTGAATCTATCAAACTTATTGCCAAATTTCACAGTATTACAACCTTTTTTGTATGGCGTTTCATTTCCCTTAATAGTATATTAAAGTACAAGTTGCAGAAGGCCACATATTCTCGCACGAATTCGAAATTTGGCCTCGAGCGACGAAGGAGCGAGTGGACGAACGAATGAGTGCCAGAATAGCCTTCTGCAACGTGTGATTTATACTATTTTCTCGATTTTAACTTTTATTTAGGTTTTTTTAATTGTTTTGTGGTCGTTGTTAGTTAGGGGATTTTTCTCGCAAAATGGCAGTTGGCAACACAAAATGACAATATTTGTTATCCTGCACAAGTACAACCTGAACTGCACTTTTTTACATTAAACTTAAAATTTTGCATTAAAATGCATTGTTGGAGCAAACTTAATATTACAAAACAATAATAAAGGCTTCATTTTCAATAAAAGTAATGAATTTGAGGTTATTAATCAGTTTGACATTTTGGGGGTACCAATACTTAAAAACTAAATGTTACCAAAAATCGTTTAAGAATGAGCTTCATTCTTCAACGATTTTGCGTGCGAGAATATGACATTCTTACATAAAAATCGAGAAATTATTTTTACAAAGTTTCTAAAAGATCTTCACTTATTTGCATTTATCTAAACGGTAAAATATATTGTATTAAATGAAATTAGTAATTCCCTGACTCTGGGAAAATTTCCCCTATATTTTCCCGTTTTCCAGATATAATGTAAGCTCTATTTCCCCCACCTCTTTGGTTTATGGTCCACAAAAATGATTGTACTTACCAAACTTAAGATGATCAAAATTGAAGAAACTGTTGCCAAAATAAGCATAACTTCGATTTTTTCAACATAATCCTTGCAGAAAGTTTTAATTTGTACTTCACCAGTTATTTTCAGGTGATCTTGCCTCATACCGCTGGGAAACATAAAATCTAAAAAAAAGTTAAATTAAAAATTATATAAATTATTATTAATAATGTTTACTACTTACAAAATTGTGTCAAGTCAATTGAAGTTCTTAGCTGCTGAACATCAGGGTTATCACACATTTTCCAAAACACAGTAAATATAAATGTAACAATCACCAAGAAACAGAATATCAAAATCCAGCAGATTTGTAGAATGTAAGTAATACACAAAAACTAAAAAATAACTTAATCAATCAATGTACATTTTTAAATTTGTGAGAATGCTGCGACGATTTTGTCATTAAACATATTACAAGTACTTACGGTAGCACAACTAATTCTACCACCAACTCGGCTACCCCAACCCCTGTAAATCTTATGTCTTGTTGCACCAGTCGCCAAAAATCCAACAAATAAAATCATTAAGCCAAGAGCACCCATACAGGCCCCAATTAGAACAAAAGTCATTTTAACAGCATCAACCCTAAAAAATAACAATTGAATACCTTTAGGTTGAATGTTTCAATCAAATTACTAAAAAATAAGAATTGGATACAGCTAAGTACAACATTTTAACTTAGAAAAGTACTAAAAGCCTAATGGTAGGGTTGCCAGAAATTCAAATGTCGTAAATATGATTAACTAGAAAAAGATATTACAAAAAATATATAGAACTTAATAAATTTATTTATAAAATAATATAAACTGAACATTGCAAACTAAACTTTTTTATTCTAAATTGCTAAAATATAAAAGATTTTGCTTCTATATTTAGGATCAACATTTTTATTTGTTAAACTATACCTACATAATACCTACAATTATAATAATAAATGTAAATCTGACAGTTATCCTAATTTAGAACACAAAAAATACAAAATTTAAATACAAATAACTGTTAGTTTAATGCTCGGTTTAATGCTATTTTTTTGTTATATTCTTAAAATAATACAATATGTATTGTATTATTTTCAGAAAATAAGAAAAAAAATAGTATTAAACTAACAGTTATTAGTATTTATTTAAATTTTAAAGTGCGAGTTTTGGGTGTGGAGGATAGTACATTAAGTTCGTTTTTTTTATTTGGATTTTGACACATCGTCACCTGAGAATTATAGTGTTCTATCTGTATTTTCTTTTTTTTATTCAGGTTAGTCTTGTTTTAAGTATTAAAGATGCATATTGTTCTATCTCTATATAATTGGGGTAGAAATTGTACAGTTTAAGCCTTAAACTTTACAATTTTTACCCCAATTATATATAGATAGATCAATATCATATTTAAGACTTAAAACAAGACTAACCTGAATAACAAAAGAAAATGTAGATAGAACACTATAATTCTCAGGTGACGACATGTTGGTATTCTATGTTAATATACTTTGGTATTTTTAATATTTAAAATTGGTACTCCTGTTTAAGCCCTTAATTTTAAATACTTTGACATTTTTCATTTAACTGTCAGAATTATAATAAGATCTAGATTGGAATATGGATGTTTTCTGTTCAATTCATGTACAAAAGCACTTTTAACAAAGTAAGACAGGGTACAATATTTAGCTCTGAGAAGCTGTTAGGGGATGAAGAAGTCCTCTACCACTAATTTCCTTCAGATCGAAGCTGGAGATCCCCCATTAAATTTAAGAAGGCAATTTTTATCTGATAAGTTCATATTAAGAAAACTATAAAACTTATAAGTAGGGAAAATGACCCTGTCATTACAGGGCTTCTTACAATTAAAGACAAAGGTCTCAAAAATTGTAATGCAAAATACTTCAAAAATCATTGTTTATTTAAATCACTGGAAATGTATGAAGATAAGCTTGAACTGTTTTCCTTAAATATAAGATTACCTATATTCTGTTATAATTACTTTACGCAAATATCGAAAATTCCCGTAATTTTGGATTGGGGAATAGATAAAAGCACACACCCATTAATTATAAATAAATTGTTTAATAACAAACTGACTAGAGACTGGGAAAATTGTGTTCATACATACACAGATGGCTCTTTCCAAAAAAATTTAGATAGCACTTCATTTGGCATATAAATGATTTAAAATAGTCCACTATGCCTTTATTTTTTTTGCAGAAGAGATGACAATTTTTTTGCGCTTAAAATATGTTTAAAAGATAAAATTAAAAAATTTATTATATTCTCAGACTGACTAAGCGTCCTTACACAAATCAAAAATAATCCATGGAATGGAAAGGCTAATAATCTTTCTTTAAATATTAAACAGATGAGATGAGTAATAATTCAGGTACACTAAACTATTTTAAAAATTGCTTGTATAATTGTTTTAATGACTATATATTTATTGATCACTATTTATATGAATATTCATATAAAATAACTAATTAATAATTAATTTGTTTACATAACAACATTTTTTGGATGTGGAGTTTTTATTATTTATATTAACAACATTGATTAAGATGCTTTTCACTAAACGTTAACACTGTGTATAAATATAACAGCACTTACCAGAACAATTGTATGCTGAACACATCAGTAAACATCATAACTGAAAGGGTTGCACCTCTGTACATTGTACCACAAAAAATTACCACCCCTAAAGCACACATAATTGTGGCTATCAGAGTGGCATATGGAATCCTTGTCATGCATGAATCAAAGCCACCTGCAAAAACAAAAGCAATTCAGTTAGCTAATATTAATGCATTAAGTGTTTTTAGTTATAATAACTACTTCTTTCATCATATTCAGACTCCAAAACAGTATAAACACTCTCAGTGGATCTGTGAATAACATTGTTGTCAAAACTAGTTTCTTGATATCGTAAAGGTCTGTTCAATTCCCCCATTTTTAAATTAGAAGTTTTTAACACATGTTTCCTTTAATTAAACTATTTAAAGTGACTAATAATCGCAATAAATAATCAGAATCACCTACCACACCTTATCAGATAACAAGTTTTATGGATATAAACTACATAAAAGATAACTCACCCATGATAACGATTTTGTGTTTAAAATGTTCTATGCAGTAATTTTGTTGATAAATTTAATGAATTATTTCATTTTTCATCAAGGTTGTTGACTCGTTTACTAACCGTTCTCTTCATAAACAAAACGGAACAAATCTAGTGACTTTCTGGGGATTTTTTCTTCGCGATGTTTCTTAACTTGTTGCGCAACACCTTGACTTTTAAATACTTGTTGATTGTTTAATGAGATAATCCTTTTTATTTCCCCTTCTTTAGTTTTTTAAAGAATTCTTAAGTAGAGCAAATCTAATCAGGAATTATTATGCTTTATTACAGTCAAAAGGTTATTTAAGTTAAAAATGCTATTTTCCATTGTTGAAATCCGCGTTTATAAAAGGATAAATATTTAATAAAAATATATTTGTAAGAAATTTAAAATATTTTTTTTCCTCTTTGTAACCCCATCCGTGAACATGCTGTATATAATAATAAATCAGTTAAAAATGTTTGTGTATATTTCAAAATATATAATTATTGTAAAAATTTGTGAGTATTAGGTATTGTTAAAAAAATCGTTATAACGCGGTTAAAATCAAGTTTTTAAAATAAAAGTAACTTACTTATTTTAGTTTATTTCATTTATTTTACTTTTTATTTTTTTTAATACATTATCACATTCTTCAAGCAAAAAATCCTCATGATTTTTTTCACCATAGTTGCAACTTTCAATATTCACATCATTATCTTTATTGTTTTTTTCTGAAGTTATTGTTTCAATTTTTTTTCGCTTCCTTCTATCTGTTTTAATTAAATTTAGTTTGGGTGCAGCTTTATTTTTTTCTGAATTAATGATTGTAAAATGTTCCTTATTGGATATTTCCAAACCAGATAATTTTGAAGCCATAGCTTTTCTTTTAGTGCCTTTATCAAATCTTGGTTTTCTTGGTAAATTTGCCTTAATTTTTTTGTGATGTACTTTTTCAATGTGCAGTTTCAAGTTTCTCTACAATTAAAAAATAAGTTAAATTTTACAATTATATAATTATATATACATCTATTGAGATTCCATAACTTTGGAGCTTGGTCTATAAATTTCTGACTCATACTAGTATGAGTTAAAATTTGCTTATGACCCTGTTAATTTTAATTGCTATTTACCTTGCTACAAAGCACCATTCTGCAATCAGGGTATGTGCAGGGAAGTTCTTCCTTTTCTTTTAAATGATATCTTCTTATATGGTACAATAAGTTCTTCTTGTAATCATAACTTCTGTTACAATTTTCATATTCACAAACAAATTTTTCCTTATTACTTTCTTCCAAATGAGATTTGTAGTGAGTTTTTAAGTTAGATGGTTGTTTAAAAGTTTGATCACAAATTATACATTTATTAACTAAAATATACATTAATAAGTAAATTTAAGAAATATATATATATATATATATATATATATATATATATTTATTTAGGAAGTTTGTTTAGTTTTGTTTCAAAACACCCTGTATATTATACTAACCAGGTATGCAAACTTCTCTTCTATGGGCACATATTAATGTCCATTTATTAAAAGTTTGTCCACAGTCACATGTATAAATTTTATGGACTCTTTTGTGATTCGTAAATTCTCTACTACATGAAAACTCCTTATTACATTCTTTACACCTAAAAATTTATAAATCAAACAAAATTTAAATTTAAAATTAAATTTTTCTCACAAGAAGGCTTTTGTATGCTTCAAATTGTGTTGATTGAGCAACTTTTTTCTCTCAAATGTTTCACCACATTCCTTACAGCTATAACTTTTAGATGTTTTGTGTACATGATTTATATGCTTTTTCAAAGCATACTTATTATTTAAAACTTTCCCGCAGTTTTCTTCCTCGCATTTCACTTGTTCAGACTTTTCGTGAACCAAACATTTATGTCTTCGTAAATGAGCTGAATTTGTGTATGTTTTCTTACAACCATCTAGGTCACATACAAATGGCCTCTAACAGAATTTTGAATCACTTTTAAAATAATCATAATTTCTTCTAATTACCTCTCCAGTGTGTTTTCTGGTATGGACAACCAACTTCCATTGCTTCGAAAATGCCGCTTTACACCAACTTAAACTGCATTTAAATGATTTTTTGCTGTCTGTTGCATCCGAACAAGAATCGGAAAATTCTGTAGATATGTCCATAATGAATTTTTACCATTCTTCGTTAAACAACACCGTGTTTTTGTTTAAGTAGGGTTAGAAATCACAGATTATAAAGGTTAGAAATCTCTTTAAACTTTTAGAAGAAGACGACCAGAGCTAAAATGTATATAAGATGTTTAATAAGAAGAAGAAGTATTTGATACATTTGATCTACTTTTCATAAATAAATGAGGTTATAAATTTTTGACGTTTGTTTTGTTATTGTTGGGTTTTTAATTTTAAGCAAAAATGGAGGAAGTGGATAATATAATAATAGATTCTTTAAGACATATGGATTGGTAAGGGATTTATTGGTCCTGTGTTAAAAGTTTTGAAATTATCTGTGTATTTTAGTAACATTGACTCAAGTATAGACAGCTTAAAACAATTTGATGCAGAGATGGTAGTTGAGGCAGTCTCCACTTGTTTGGAAGCTATATTGCCTGGGCAAAAATTTACCAAAAAATTACCCCCCTCAATGAGTTTTAAACTAAAAATAGCATCTAGTTTAGCAGAACAAATTAAAGAACTGGGGTTTAGAGGTGATATGGGTTACCAGACTATTTTGTATTGTAATGAAGTGGAAATTCGTCGGGTTTTAATGTTTTTGATTGAACGTTTACCCAGAGATACAAATAAAGCAACTCAAATAGAGCAAACTGGTTATGTGCCAAAATTGGTTAAAAGAATTGAAGATAGTTTACGATTATCTTTTAAACAAACTTGGCTGCCAAGTTCCCTATTTAATAATGGTGTAAGGCATTGTGAAGATGATGTTATTGTTCAAACTTTAGGAAATTGTGCTCCTTTAAAAGCAGTAAATTTACAAATACCTGACACTCAGAATAATTTAGATGAAGGTAAGATATAAATATATATGTATATATACTTAAGAAATGGGATATGTAGAAAATGTAGGAATTATGTTTTTTTCTTTTAGTTTTGAAAGAATATTGGATTAGAGATGTAAATGATGTTACTAGACAATGTGATAGAGAAAAATTGATACCCTCACTTTTGTATAATGATTGTGAGTTTAGCAGTGAAGAAAGTATTGTTAAAATGATTTTACAAAATAGTTCACATAAATCAAATATTGTCAACTTAGTAAATGCTGATTTAAATGTGATGGTGAAAGAAAACACATTACAAGGATGTTTTAAAACTACTGAAACTGAAAATGAGTGTGAAGTAAAAATTAAAAATTTAGTTAAAGATATTGACGAAGACAAAATTAAATACAAAGAACTTCAAGAAGAAGCTAATAAGTTGGAATTAAGTTTATCACAGGTTTTATCAATGAAAAACCAGGAACAAGACCTGCTCAAAGACTCAGCAAACAAAGTAAAATTAAAAACCAAAACAATAGCAATAATTTCCAAGGAAGAAAATTTGCAAAAACTAAGATACCTTGTAGAAAATGGTACTGATAGATTAGTGGATTTGGCAAACCAGTGGAATGAAGTCAGGACCCCTCTACTGGAGGAATTTAAAAGTTTACAAAATACTCTGACAAGTGAAGAAATTAAACAACAGGAGGATACATCTAAGCTGAATTACTTGAAGGAAAGCTACAAAAACCTTGCCAAAGATTTTAAAGAGAAGGAAGAATTGGAACAGAATTTAATCGAAAAAATTAAACAAGTTTCCAAAAATAACAACAGAGTTTCCTATACTAGAAGAATCCTTGAAATTGTTTCAAACATTAAAAAACAAAATGTGGAAATTCAAAAAGTTTTAAAGGATACCAGGGAAGTCCAAAAAGAAATTAACACCCTATCTGGACAAGTGGAAAGATCTTTTACTCTATCTGATGAATTAATTTTCCAGGTAAACATTTTAAAACTAAAAAAATTGTTTCAATATTTTTATGATTTTTTAGGATGCAAAAGAAGATGAAACAGCCAGAAAGGCTTACAAGTTATTGGCAGCTCTTAGAGATGAATGCAGTGGTATTTTAAAAGCTGTAGAAGACTTAGGACTGTCTGAAAGAGAGTCCAGAAATCTTCAAGAACAAGTTGAAACTGAAAAAGTAAAGGATATTGGCAAAAAACTGGAAAGAGTCAACCAAGATTTGGAACAAATGAAAAAAGAAACCAATATTCTTTTAAAAGGTAATCAATAAAAAGTTAAGATTGGAATATGCAGTGCTTTAAAATATAAATTAAAACCATTCCTAATAGATTTAGGAAAGTTATATAAAATATTATGTATTATGCTTTAAGGTTAAAATAAAATTTATATATTTTAACATTTATTTATTTACAAAATATTGTACAAACTAACTTTCTTGTCTGGATCGAATTTCAGGAGGAACATATCCTTCATCAATTTTTCTGGGCTTCTTCTTCTTACCAAACCATTTTTTGGGATAAAAGACTCTTTTAGCCATAATATCCAATTCAATTTGTTCTTCATTCTCAAAGAACCACAATTTGGTTTCCTTTTCTTTGATTGCTTCCTTAAGATCCTTAACTGTTTCAAGGCGTCTTTGTGTTTCATATCTTTTCTGTTGTTCATTTAAAGCCTCAATTCTTTTCTGCTCCCATTGTGAGAATACCTCACATTGCTTTGCAATGTCTGTTTCAGAAGAAGTGTTTATATTTTTTTCTACTTCACTTATAAGCAATTTTTCCACTTCCAAACTTTCTGTCTTGATGTCCAGTTTATTATCTTCAGGTAGTAATGATATAACTTCTTTACACAATGGTTTTTCATAGGAAGAAGCAACCTTGGCAGCCTCTTCATTTTTTCCAAATAGTGCCAAACCCAAAACATTAAATGATTTACTTAAAACATCATCTTTACCTTTAGTCAAAAATACCAAAGTTTTCCCAATAATTTTATTAGAATCTCTTAAGTCAAAATGATCATCATCATAAGGATTCCTCAGGTATTTAACCCTTACTTTAACTTCATCTTCAGGCTCAGCAACAGTTTCATATTTAGGCCATTCTGAAGGTTTCTCCAAATATTTGTAACAATGCAATAAACACAAACTATCTGTTAGTGGTACTCCAAAATCTTCCTGCAACATAATCTGACTTGCTACTCTAGCACCTTGCAAATAATCCCTTTCCTTCCAAAAAGTATCCAACAAAAGATTTGCTGTGTATGAATCCAAGAATAAACCATAGTTAAGTCTGTCATCAATGGCATCAACTAAATCAGACTTATTTCCATAATTCATTAGGGTTCTTATTACTGCATGTGATGTAGAATCCAATGCATTGTAAGCATCTGCACTTAGGCGAAGTTTGTGCACCAAATCAAGGATTTCGCCATTAAATTGGTTATTGTTAACAGAATTGGTGAATATGTCAACGTCCACTGCACTTATCTGCTTCAGTTTTTGATACCTTTGGTCTACATCATTATATAAATCTTCAGGGTTTACTTTTTGAAGCACTGGTGAGTTTAGTCTATGTTCCCATACCTCGTTGCAATAATATGCGGGCGATAAAAATGTTCTTAACTGAGAAAAAGTGTAAATACTTTTAGGTTTTCGAGTTTTGCTACAAAACGTGATTATTTTTAACATTTTTTCAGATTAAAACGACATAACGATTAAAATATAACCTCAAAAATTCATTCACTTTTATTGTAAATTACAATTTGTAATACCAACTTAAAAACTTCTTCTTCTTCTTCCCCATTCAAGCCAGCTGGAGACTTAAAAACTTCCGTAGAAGAAGATTCGAACGTATGTCTTGTACTATTTTTAACCAACATGAAAATAAAATTATTTAGAGGTGTCTACAATATTTTGAAGAAGAAGACTGATATTCTTAGGTTATGTCAAGAATGTACTAGGAAATACGAAAATGGCATCAAAAAACGTTCGAAGTCTATTAAGCAGTTCAAAACTACTTCAGCCAATATTAATTGGTGTGAGAAGTAATAGTTTTCACACAAGTACACCTGCTTTAGCCTGGAAAAGTGATCATTCCCCTAAGAAATGGTTAACGTACAATGACAAAGTTTACCCACCACAGAAGCCAGGGGAAGAACCCAGACCAGCAGTGGGATATTTTTATATAATGCTTGTTTATTTTTTCCATTATTGTTGTTTTAGTTTGTATGTCATCAACGATCAAATATTAAATACAGTCCATGGAAGATGTGGTATATAGCCAGTATGATTAGAGGGATGCCAGTGGACGAAGCTATTAAACAGTTAAAATTTGTGGTTCTTAAGGGTGCTAAAGATGCAAGGGAGGTTTTGGAGGAAGCTAAACATTTGGCTGTTACAGATCACAATGTTGAATTCCCTAGTAATATGTGGGTTGGTAAGTAATTTGCAATTTTGTACTATTTGTGATATTAATGGGCTATATTTTAGCTGAATCATTTGTGGGTAAAGGTCAAGTAATTAAAGGTATGAGGAGACATGGACGTTCAAGGTTTGGAATAGTGGAATACTTTCACTGTCACTATTTTGTAAGATTAGAAGAAGGTAAACCTCCAAAAGATTATTATGTTAGAAATCCTAAAGAAGCTCATGAACAGTTGGAAGATTGGCTTGCAAGTATGAGGAAAAGAAAGATTATTAATTCTTTATAAGTAAAATATTTATATATGTATAGTTAAAAATAGTTTTTTATTAAATAGAAATATTTAAGAGAACGTACCTATGTGAGCTCTGTAATTTCCCTTGGTTATATAACTTTTTCCTTGTTTCTGATTTGAGGTGGTTGATAACTACTTACGTATGTAGACAAACAAAAAAAGAAACATGGTAATTTTCCTTTGCTATTTGTTAAAATTCGCAAAATTGCAGGAGTTATAATTACGTTTTATTTCCACCTTCTTTAGTAAATGACATTTTGATTGCAAATGTAGCTTTAGTGTGTCTATAGTGTTTAGAGAACACTGTACTGTTTAATATCAACACCTTAGTGCAGGGTGGAACCCTGCCTTAGTGTTTGGAGCAGAGGTCGGCAAAAAGATTTTTTTTTTAAATATGTTTATTTTTAATTTTTTTCAATAATTAAATTTTAACTTGATAAAATTTTTCATTACCATAAAATTTTTCATTACCATAAAACAATTATTATAAACATTGTGAAATAAAGATAAAATTTAAAATTTTTGTTCTTAATAATTACCTTTTGTATAAATTTTGATTATTATAAAAATATTATTTTCATTAGAGATAATTTTAAAGTTTCGAAAAAATTGAAACATAATTTGATGAAATTATATTATAATTAAGTATACCAACATTATATTTTTTTAAAAATTTAAATAAAAAAATTAAATTTTAATTTGCCGACCTTTGGTTCGGAGAAAGATGCATGGAACAAAAAAATACATTTTTAAAATATTTTTTGACTTTTTATAATAATAAATAAATATAAAGTGTTACAAAATATGACATTTTTAGTAATTCTTACTTCCAGGTGCACTATAAAACACTATTATATGTACATTTCAACACTATAGACACACTACAGAACACTTCTGACACTATAGAACATTTCTGATATAGAAAATATTATAGAACATTATAGAGTAGTGCTTTTCAATAGTGTTCTAAAGCAGCGGTTCTCAAACTGTGGTATGCGTACCACAAGTGGTACGTGAGGCATCGAAAGGTGGTACGCGAATAGATAATAGATGTACTTGCCTTCAAATAAAATTATCGTTGGCTCAATTTTATTGAAAATCTATCATTTCCCACATTTTATATTGTAAATGGCAACACTGTTGTTGGTGTTTATTAAACGGTTAATCCCCTGCTCGTTTTAAAATCGTGACGAGTCATGCGTATTTTGTTTTGTTCTGACAAATTGTTTTAATCCTTTTTCTATGGTTTTAACACTATGAAAATTGGTTCTGTTTCACGGTTATCAATATTTCTTATTAAACTACAAGTTCAATAAATACGTACACGCAGCACAACTTGTTTTATTTAGTTCGGTGGTACTCGATTAATCCACATTGCACAAAAATGGTACGCGAAAAAAAATGTTTGAGAACCGCTGTTCTAAAGTGTCTTTTATGGTAAAATCAGGGTGGAACCTGGGTAAAATATAAAAATATTAGCTTATGTTCTGTGAATATTAGCCTGTAAAGGACCCTTGCCATGGCATGAAAGACCTTATCACGACGCATGCTTTTTATCAAAATTAATATTTTTATTATCATTCCTGTAAAGGCCCAGTACAAGGAAAGGTTTGGATAAAAATGCCACTTCTAAGCCATAAAAATATGTAATCGCCCATTACATAATCAAACTTATGTGTGCTGGGATTTTACATAAACATTAAAGTTTGTGATGAAATCTTTAATTTCGAAAAACGATACCTCAAATGCCAAGAACGCGTTCTTATTAGATTTAAGCCAAAACCGCAACAAAAAAAATGAATTTTCAAATTTTATCACTTTTACATTTGTTTTTTAATACAGCAACAATAACCAACCACTGGTTTTGAAATATATAATTATTAAATTATAATTATAAAAGCTAGATAAATTGCTAGAATACTTGGTTGAAAATAGCATTCAACATACACATGTGCGAAAAATGACTTTTTTACGATAAATATACTTATATGCGTTCCACTAGTCTTACCCAAAATTATATTCTTTAGAAGTCAAATTATTTAAATTGATCCTCCAGGTAACAATCCTTTCGCTTACTTTCTAAATTGTGTAACGTTATAGTACATACAAAACGTTTCTTAATTGAAAATATGAAGAAAACCCAATTAGGCAAAATATGTGCCTTAATATTTTTTTATTCATGATTAGTATAAAATTATTAATAACTGTGTACAAATGTACAATAGAGGACTTAAAATAAAAACAATCATATTCAGATGCCATATAATTTTATTTTCCAAAGTTATATTAAAATAAGAGACTAAAGGAATACAGTAAAGCCAAATTGATATTAAAATAATCCAATAACTTGGATTAGATTAAAGCCCTAAATAGAATTAAATAATGTTGACTTATTTTATTATAACCTCAACTATAACATTGGTTTATACAGTTTTCCAGGATGTTTTAGTCTCTATCTAGAACTCGACTTATACTGACAAATGTACAAAAAATCAAATCTTTCAACAGAAATAATTGTTAATTCTTATTTTACCCATCAAAATTAATAAATTGTGCTTTTACCCTTCAACACTCTAAAGAATTGTTTTATTGTGAGGAATGCTTTAAAAGTGAGTCCACAAAAACTTGGAATTTAAAGCATTCCAATATTAATTCAGTAGACGAGTTTAAATTTAAAATTTTGATGATGCATTTTGATAATACATGCCAGGAAAAGATCAACTTAATTTAAAAAAAAGGAATCGAGAGAAAGTTAGATTAATGCCTATTTTGAGGTTTAGAGTTTCCGTTCCTGTTGCTCTGCCTGGACCGTTGGTTGTAATTGTCCTTGTAGTCTTTGTTGTTGTAGTTGTCCTTGGGGTAGCCGTTGTTTTGGTAGTAGTTCTGGTTCCTCTGGTGAGGCGGGTACTTCTGGTTGCCGTTGTGCTGCGCAACGTCGCTCTGGCTGTCGTCCCGCTCCTCGATCATGTTGCCGTTCTTCTGCATGCTGATCGCGACGGGGGTCGGCTGCTGCGCGGGCGCCTGCTGCTGCTGCTGCTGCTGGAGCGGCGGCTGCATGCCCATCGCGGGCGGCATGTTGCCGACGTGGGGCGGTTGCTGAAAGTGTTGCGGCATCTGGAGTGGCGGCGGCATGTGCATGCCAGGCACGAATTGCTGCTGGTTGGTGTACGTTTGCGTCGGGATTTGCTGCTGCTGCTGCTGCTGTTGTTCCTGAGGGTCGATTTCGGACTCCTAAGGCAATATAATGGGTTGGTTAACACATACATAGGAAAAGCATAAATCCTTGGGGTTGCAACTTTTCTTGAAAAGTTAAAATTTTTGAAAAGTTGGGTTTTATTTTTCGGAAAAGTTGGAAAAGATGGAAAAGTTGAGTTTTTTGTAATTTAAACGTATAAAACATAAATAATGCTTCTCAATGTATTAAAATAATTAATTTTTTATGTATATGTACATACGTAACAAGTTGTTAATAACAACATAACAGAAAAAAATCAAACAAAATAAAATGAACAGACAACATAGGTTGTGTTCCGTAATTTACTGCCATTACTATCAGTAGCGAAAAAAGACCATTCCGTAATTTATTCAGTACTGACGCAATAGTAAAATTGGAACGCGCCTCAGTAGCAGCAGAAAGTGACAATGGTTACGCAAGGTTATGATTTGTGATTTACTGACAATTGACAAACTTTACTGTGTCGAAAAAAAACGGAAAAAACCCGTAGGTTTTGAAATTTCTGGAAAAATTGAGCCGGCAGAAAAAAAAAAAATTAAATGACAATTTTTTTAAAATTTACAAATATGTGTAGGTACATTGAAATAAAAAAAAAAAGTGAATTTTCGAGTCTGATTATAATTATACAGGGTGTCCCAGAATATGTGGGCAATCTCCCGGATTTAAATATAACACATAAAAATAATATGAAAGATTCCTGTAATGTACTTTTGAAGTACAAGGTGGAATTGAATAATTTTTAAATATATTGTTAACTAGGAAAGTTTCCTTAAAATGGGCACTTTTAACATTTGGCTTATTTAGTTTGCCAGGGACGGACTAGCTCTAACAGAGCAATGCTATTTTTTTTAACACCCTGTACTATAAAGGCACAACAATAATATGTTTAATCAGCTTAAACCTTAAACTAAAAAAAGGTAATCTTGATCGACATCGATAAAATGTACTGCTTACGACATTTACCGGTTTAAATAATGATGTCAGTTTTAGTTAAAAATAGTGTTTTGAAATTTTCGATCTTTTTTCTTCTTTCCAGGGGCGTCCGTTATGGGGAGGGACCGTAGGAAAAAAAATGTATAGGAACTTGTCATATTATTTTTGTGTTATCGGGAGATTGCCCACATATTATGGGACACCCTGTATAATCAAACCACGAAAATTCTGTCTATACATTTTTGTTGATTTTTTGGAAAATAAGTATTTATACTTAATTATAATTAAATATAGTAAATACACATTTTTCGAAATTATTATTTTTTGTATCTTATAATTTTACAACATTTAATATAAAAATTGATAACAATAATTCGATAAAATTTGTTTTGATAGTTATAAAATGATTATTTTTCAAGATGAATATATAATAAATAATATTTGCAATAGGCTTACAATTGCAGTGAAAATGTTATAAAATGTACTCTGCCTTCGGATTTTTACAGTTGGTATCACATTTTTTTTCTTACGCTTTACGCTGTAAGTGTATGACAATTTTTTTTTTGGAACAGGAATTTGCTGGTATTTATTAAGTTTTAAATTTATTGTTTTAAGGGGGTGCGCATGCGCAGATTTTTACAAATATCACATGTGCATGCACTTTTGATATCGCGCGTGATATCATGAGTTCATCAGGTCCCGATTGTTGTCCGGGCAACGCCCGGCTGGCATATATGATTTTCTTATGATGAAACTAACAAATAATTGGAAATCAAATTTTTTAGAGACAGTCAATTTTGGAAAATAATAAATAATGTGCGATATTAATATTAATTGTGCGATTTTAATGTAGATTATCCCGTACTCTCTGAGGCAAAAGTTGTTGACATGTCACCTGGATTCTTTAAAAGAAAAAATGTTACCTATTAGTACATACAAAATATTGGGCAAAATTATTGTCACGGAAAATGCCCTGATTCCAACTCTTAAGTGACAAAACTGTAGTATTATATTTTGTAAAAAAAAAGTTATCAGAACGAGTTTGAAAAATCGTATAAAGAATTATGATGCAAATATTTTAATAGTTTATAAGAATTTGATGATATAAATAAGGCGAAAATGTCGCAACCTTTTGCGTTGTAGTTTCAAACTGTATTTTCTCTTTCTCTTTTATGATTGCTGTTTTGCGTGTCTTTTTAATGTTCATTGATTTACTTGTAATAATAATAATAATGTAAGGGTATGATATATGTTTTGACAATCAACGTGAATTTTTTTTGTAATATAATTTTTCTCCTTAACCGATTTTTTTTAATGTAGATCTTGATGAACTCTGCAAAAAGCACTATAATTTAAAAAATATATATATTAACTGAAAAATTAGTATTATTTAAAAAAAAACAAAGCGTTTTTTTCAGAAACATTGTATGTCTTCAAAACAGATTTTGTTCTATTCTATATAATTGCATGCAGCATGACTGTTAACGCACTGATATAAAAGCGATCTGTTACTTAATATACCTACTTATTCGTAAGAAAAGGGTATTCCCCGAAAATAGTTGCGGCAGAAGACGCTGTAGTCCTGCTTTTTAAATTTATCTCGTGGAAGGAAATTTTTTTTTCTGGGAGCTCAAAATCCTGTCTTTTCCGAAAGTTAACAGTACTAAAAACTAAAACTGTGCAGCTAAGCTGTCGAACGATAATTTCTAATAAAAATCTCCCATTTTTCTAGCGTCGGGTATTTTGGTCCAACCTTGGAGTTTGTATGCTACTATGGTGTCTTTAAGACGGCAAGATGGCAAAAGTAGTCCTTGTAAAAAATTGTTTTTTATTTTTTGCTTAAGAAACAAACATTTTATTTTCGAAAAAAAAAACATATTCTTTTAAAATTGAAAAAAATGTTTTTTTACATCACTACAAAAATCAAAGGCCTACAATGTGAGTTTTCCCTGTAATCCCCTAATTTCACCAACTTTCCCTGACCACCTTGAGCTTTCCTGATTTTCCAGATAGGGGACACCCTGGTAAAATTTTAAAATTTCATTTAAATACACAAACCTGCAAAAAGAAGAAGCTTCCAGTGCCAAGCATCTCAGTGATGGGCCTTGGTGGTTGTTGCTGCACAACCTGCAGAGGAGGCACCTGCTGCTGATGGTACATCTCTTGTTGCGGATGCTGCGCCAACTGCTCCATCTGCACCTGAGGCGGCGCACTTGGTGGCGGCTGCTGCTCCATCACCTGTTCCCAAAAAATATTTAATTTAATAATGTTCACTTAAGTAGTGAACTTGACGCTTTTGCTTTGTTGCGCGAAAATCGGATAAGATATTCAAAAACTGGTTGGGAGATCACAAATGGATTATCTCAACTTTAATTTTTGACCAAAAAAGTGTTTTTGAAACTATATTTTAAAAGTTAACTTTTTTTTATAATTGGATGTGTGACATATTGTTTTAGTGAGGCACAGGCAAGGTTTTGTCCTCATTTAAGGGCGGCAATTTTTTTTTAAACCCATTTTTTTTAAAAACCTAACGTAGCAGATCGCACATATTAACAAAAACACAACTAGGTTTACCAAGATTAATTAATGAATTACTGGACGAGGGACACCAAATTCCTTAACAAACATTTTAACATCGAAATAAAGACGAATAAATGCTAAATTCAAAAGTAAATCAAAATTTTCGGTACAATTTAAATTAAAAAATTACTAAAATCAGTCACAGTGCGGTTTTGTACATTTAAATAAAACAATATAAAAAACATATTTTATAGTATAATTTACAATTAAAGGGGCAAGTGGATAAGGAGTCAAATAACAATTTTGATAATAAAGAACAAAAAATATTGTAATTGTATGTAAAAATAAATTTGTTGCTGCAATAACAATATTATTTGTTTGAGGTTGTCATTTTAAATTTATGTAAGTTGAAAAGGAACAAAAAATATTGTGGTTGTAAATAAAAATAAATTTGGTATTGCAATAACAATATTTTTTGTCCTTTATTTATGAAAATTCCATCCACTAACAAAAAAATTCTCTTTAAAAAAGTTATGAATGGCTGTACTAAAAAAAAATGTGTAAGGCACTTTGGGCGTATACGCGTATATATAGCCTACAAAATTCAAAAGTAAATTATATAAAACCCGAGGGGTAAACAACCGACGTAATAGGCGTACAAATAGGATGTAATCTATTACACTTCATTGTAATACCAAGTAACATTTTGTAATAAAACCTAATATCACGTAATAGCAAGTAATATTAGGTAATATCACGTGATAGTTAAGTTTTGCGAAATACCACGTAATACTTTGAGTAATACGTAATATGCACATTTTACGCGTAACGGTGCGCGTCATCTATTATTTGAATACCGCGGTATAACGGTAGATTTAATTTGACCGAAAATTCGCCTTTTATTCCATTTTTTTAATTAATTTAATCATAGTTATTTCCTAAAAATTTTACCATTATACATTTTTAATAGTTTTGATGATAAGTATATTTATGATACTTTTAACGCAAATTGTACCACTTCAAGTTTTAAACATGCCATAAATAAGACAAAAATGCAGATATATTTAAAAAAATATTCAAATTAAGTGGCTGTGATCACCTGTTGTCCTTTAAGGACCTTAAAAACTTTTGTATTGAAATATGCGTGCAAAGCCCTTATGTCATTTTTAAATGAGTCCCCTTTATACAAATATTGAAGGGGAAAAATTGTCCCCAGAACAATTGCAAGATTATTTTGGAATATATGGAAGAAGTTAATTATTGGTTAAAAGTGATAATAGAATTAAAGTTACTGATTCAAATTTATTTTTACTTACGTTCATAGTTTTTTTATCAAATTTTTTCGAAAAATACAATGATTAAATTGAATGTACATAATTCAACTATGATTTTTGCTGTTAATATGATTTTTTCAATCAAAATTGTAAATTATGTTTTTTGTATTTTTTTAATTGTGGGTATATATTATATGTATTTTAATTTAAATTCATATTTTATTAGCTGATATATCAATTTTATAAACAATGCAAATATAAAATTTTGTACTTTTGCTGCCAATAATAAAAAGTTGCTCCTGAAATACAGACAGTGGTAAAAGTAATAAAATATACAACAAATTAAATTTTAAAAAATAAAGACTTACAGTCTTTATCTTATGTACAGTACATGTAATGAAAAACCCCAATGAAGGGTGTTTTCATTCCACATCGCATATACTCTAGATGCTATAGTTTCATTTCATTACCTGGTGCTGCGGTTGGTGTGGGGGGGCGGCGTGAACGGCTTGCGGCGGCATTTGCTGCTGCACGGGCACTTGCTGCTCGATGCTCAGAGATTCGATGGGGATCTGGTGGGCGAGGTCAGCGTGGGGTGGCATGGGTTGTTCGGCGGCGACGGAATCGAGCGGCTGTCCTTCGGGCTGCTGTTCCATCTCCGCGGCGGGCTCCTCATAACATTCATACACCTAAAGGAAAATTTTCATTATGTATGTTTAAAGGCATATGTTTTGGCTGTGCAATTTTAAAACCTAGTGACCATAGGCTAGCAACTGACATTTCTATAAAACTGGGGGTTAAACGATAATGAGCATTTAATACTCAAAGACAACACATTAAATACCTTTTATTTGTTAAACATATTAGGTATTTAATGTATTATTGTTGTCAATAAAGATAAATAGTATAGTACGAAAATTCTCAATAATTCCCAAAATTACCGGAATTTTCACTTTTTAATGAGTCATTAATCTTAATAATAATAGGTACAATGAATTTTGTCTTTATTGTAATTTTGACTTCCTTAAAAGTTGTATTCTAATAAAAAAAAGAATTTAACCTAAATTCAACATAACTTCATTGAATTAACCTAAAATAAAGAATTATTATGTACTATGCACCAAGATACATACACCTTAAGATAGGATGGTGCGCATGTTGGGCGGGGCTTAAATACGTCACTTGATGAGTGTTTTTAAATCTTTAACGTGCTTTTTAATTATCTGCTGCTAAAATTCTTGTTTTTGCGATACTTTTGGATGTTAACTTGCTCTATTTTTTGTTTAACTTATTGTTTTTGTGTTCGGTAAGGTTTGAATTACTTTTCAGTGTTCAAATTATTGTTATTGCGTTGTGTTAACCTGTTCTGTTTGTTTATTATTGTTTTTGAGTTGCGTTAACTTGTTTTGTTTGTGTTTTAGTTTGTGTCGTGCCATTTGCATTTATTATAATGCGGTGTGACATATTTGGATGCAATTCGAACAACCAGTCCAAGAAAAACCCTTTAAATAAAAACATTTAATTTAATCGATTCCCGAAAAAGTTTGATTTGTGGGAACAATGTTTAAATGCCACAAAAAGAATAGACAATATTAACGTTAAGACCGCTTCTGTTTCCTATAAACATTTTCTGGACAGTGAATTTAAAACACCAACGCTTAAACTACAGCCCTAAATGTTATCAAGGAATGTGTTGAGGTTTAGTGGACTGTATCTATTACAAAAAAAAACTGGCTGATGTTTGCCTATTGGCTGGTTTGTAAGATAAAGCTGATTTTGGAGAGAGATGTTGTTATATTTAACGTGTTTATGAGCAAACTTACCAATAGTGTAGAATCGTTCGTTTGCGGGGCCCCTTTTCTTGATTGATATCCATAAAGCACGTTTTCAAACACTTGATAGCGAGCACCGTATCATCCTTGCTCGACGAAGACTAATTTTCTACTATTACCTGTTCGCTCAACAAACTCTGCGCGCGCAAATTTTTAATACACGCGAAATAACTAACAATTTATTTGCTCCCAATCCCAGCTTAAAAAATATAAACAAATACCCGAGAAACTAAATTAAATAAATTTACCAATATTCAAAAATAAACAAAAAAACAATATGCGATTACGCAACAGACTGAAAGCATCTATTATCCATATTATAACACTTTCTTCAATATTGAGTTTAATAAAAACGCACTATGTCCAGATATTTCTCTATTTTCTTTGATAATATTACTATTATTCGTGTATTCTCATGGCAACTACTCATCAAGTGACGTCATGCGCGGGACGAACCAAAACTCGTACACGGGAGCATCCAGCCCTGACTATGCACAATCCACACAACAAGGTCTATTCTACCTCGTTTTTCGCATGTTTACAATTATTGTGATCTTGGTTTATACAGATTAATAATCTTTTAAACGTTGTGTTTTTTATAGAGGCACTTGTAAACCTTAAATGAATCCTAGTGCTTAGAACAACCATTTTACTCCTCTTTTGGTAAAAATTTTTTACTAAAAATAAAACTTTCTATCAGGGCTGTCATCAAACTGTCAAATTTCAATTTTAAGGTTAATTTAACATAACTCACAAAGCCGAGCTCACTCCCCCCTTCCTTTTCAGACCTTAAAATTAGTTGCGGATAGGATCGACTATAGCGCTGAAGCAGCAGAATTTAAATAACACGCTTTTTTAGGTGGCATCTTTGTCAATTTGACAATTTGTCAATTTTTCGTTTAAACTTTAGAGACCCCATTATTTTTGTGTTCATAGATGACCGAAGGTTTTGTTCTAGACAAACAAGTTTTCCTTTTGTGTGATCTTGTTAGTTTGACTTTTTTACAATGGTGTTTAAATGTGCTGTTGTTAATTGTAGAAATACAAGTAACGAGGCAGTATTATACTCGTTTCCTAAGGATCCTGACGTAAGTTAGTTAACTATAGAAATAACCAATACAATATATAAAAAAAATGCCTTATAAATAGGTAAAAAATGAGTCCAAGAAGAAGGAGGCTATTAAAAATTTAAAAAAGATTGTTAACTAAATTAATAATTTTTTTTGGTTTAGACATTAATGCTTATTTGCTTTGTTTTATAATTGTAAACTTTATTTTTATATTATTATATTTGCTTTGTTTTATACTCGTAAACTTTATATTTATATACTTCATTAAAAAAATATCTAAAATCATAATTTGTTTGTTTTATTACATTTTCCTAATTCAAGGATTTTTCAAACTCATTATTAATTAATACATTTATTGTATATCGCCTCCTGTAATCTACAATGTTACATTTAGTGATTAATATGAGAACTTTTAAATGGCCTTAAATTTTGTGAGAAGTTTGTTTAAAATACAAATCTGATTAGTATGAAACTTACCAATAAGTATTAATATTGGATTTGATAGAATTTATTATAATAAAACCAACATAAGCATGAAAACTTCAAGCCTTAGTAATATTATATTAAATTTTGTTTTCTTTTAAAATGGGTGAATTTTATAATAAAGCTTACCAAATCTTATTGGACATCTGAAAATACAACATATTTAAATATGTTTGTTTAAAATTTCTAGACAATGGTTTTAATATTAAATTTTTTTATAAGGACTCATTGTCTCACAATATAATAATTAATTTCTGAAAGTCTTTAATAAAAATTAACCGATTTAAATATATTTGTTAGTCAGTTTCATTCGAGCCAGATTTGTATTTACAACAAAATTTTTACGGTTTACAATTTTAAAATTCAAGGAGATTTAAGTTAGTACAGATATCACACACTAGATGTCGCACTTTAGATTCCAGGCGGTTAAAACGGTTAATAAAGCCCTTGGGCAATAGATGTCGCTATCTAGAATGGATCTGCTTGCAGCGCCACGGGCGGTGATATCCGCTGTTAAATTAACTTTGTTTCGATTTTCTAGACCAGGGTAGATAATTTTTGAAACCAAAAAAAATAACAGTAGGATGAAACCCATTGGAAAAGGAGAAGAATATAATAAAAATGAAAGGAAAAATAAATTACGGGCGATCTGACTTCGGGAAGTGGGAGGGGAGGGGTTAAGGGTAAAAAATGGTTTATCTCGATTTCCGGCAAAACTACAAGTCCTATGGAAAAAAGTTAAATGGCAAAGTTGTAGGTAATAAAAGGATCTACAACTTTTGTAATTACAATTTTTTTACATAACCTCAAAATTTATGTGAAAATTTCAAAAAACCAAGTTTTTGGTTTTTTATTTTTATCTTTTTCAAAAAAAAAATTTTTTCCACGAAATTTGGTGAAAACTTACCTTTTTATGTCCCAAATACAATGTAATTTATTTGATTTGAAATATTTATTATTTCGCCTTATTTTGACTTAATTTCAAAAAAGCACCCTAATTTTCAATCGAAAATTCTCGCGTCAAAATATCAGCTTTTTTCAAAAAGTCGGGGTGCTTTTTGTTCGTTGAAATCTCTACTTTCTGATGGTGTAAAAAATATATACATTACTATGGTAAATGTTCTCAGAAAATGCAAAAAATATTATTAAATTATATTAAAAAAATGTGATTGTTGCAATTTTTTTTAATTAAAAAGTTTATTTATTAAATTCTAATCAGAAAATCTGACTGAATTTAGATACTTTATTCTGATTACGTTATTCATTATAATATTTTTTGTATTTTCTGAGAACATTTACCATAGTAATGTATATATTTTTTTACACCATTAGAAAGTAGAGAGTTCATCGAACAAAAAGCACACCGACTTTTTGAAAAAAGCTGATATTTTGACGCGAGAATTTTCGATTGAAAATTAGGGTGCTTTTTTGGTCAAAATAAGGCGAATTAATAAATATTTCAAATCAAATAAATTACAGTGTATTTGGGACATAAAAAGGTAAGTTTTCACCAAATTTCGTGGAAACAATTTTTTTTTGAAAAAGATAAAAATAAAAAACCAAAAACTTGGTTTTTTGAATTTTTCACATAAATTTTGAGGTTATGTGAAAAAATTGTAAATACAAAAGTTGTAGATCTTTTTATTACCTACAACTTTGACATTTAACTTTTTTCCATAGGACTTGTAGTTTTGCCGGAAATCGAGATAAACCATTTTTTACCCTTAAAACCCCCCTCCCACTTCCCGAACTCAGATCGCCCGTAATTTATTTTTCCTTTAATTTTTATTATATTCCCCTCCTTTTCCAATGGGTTTCATCCTACTGTTATTTTTTTTCTCTTTTTACCATTTTTAAAGGCTTCTGCACTGGTCTAACGAGAGTCGGCTATCTATACCTTCGGTCATCTATGGCTCAGTGTTCGCAGCCGAGGCTGCAGATCTGGGCGAGGAAGTTAATATGCTTTCTCCGCCGTGTTGTATATACTATTTTTTTAAGCATTTAATAATTCTGCACTTACATTGAAATTATTATGTTTGCGACATTTTATCAGGTTTACCGTTTGACATATGCTATATTATACGTTAGCCACAGTTTTTATTTGGAATTTGACGTAAAAATTTAAGGGGTTTAGTTGGCAAATTCTAGGGACCCTTAATTTATAATTAAGTAGAACAAACTATTTTCTGGAGAATATAATTTTGGTTATGTTATAATTATAAGAATGTTTATAAATTTTGAAATGTCAAATATAAGTTTAAAAAAATGCAATACAGGGCATACAAATACACATGTATGTTTATTATAATTTTGATAGTCAAATGACATGTCAAAGTATTTAAATTAAAATTAAGGGCTTAAACAGGAGTACCAATTTTAAATATTAAAAATACCAAAGTATATTAACGGCCATTTCAAGCGGATGGACGGGACAAATCACAAAACTTTTTATTAAAAAAAATGTAGGTAATTTATTATATATTATTTTTGCATCAAAATTGTCAAATTTAATTCTTCTATTATTACGCTATACATTAAATAAAAAAAATCGCAAGAAATATTTTATAAAAGTAGAGATAATTTCAATAATTGACGGGTGGACGGGATAAGATAAATCTTTTTTTTGTCACCTTTGTAACCTAATAAAAGAAGAATATTTTTGACAATTTTGATGCCAAAATATTATACAAGGTGTCCCTAAACTTAGTGGCATAAATTTAGGAGCAGATTAAGCAAGTCAAAATAAGACGAAAATCTAAATAAATATTTTTCCTAATTACGTATGTTTAAAAGTTACAGGGTGATAAAGTGTTACTTATCATATCAGTTTTTTTAATATAACTTCTACTATGGTAGACTTGGAAAGGTGATATTTTGCGAACAGTCACTTACTACCAAAACACATATTCACACATAATTACAATTGTTTGAGTGAACACAGTGTCGTAGATACGGGGGTTGCTTTAAGCTTATTGTCCCATACAAACTTTAAGGTTAGGTTTTTGTAACATTTGATGCAATTTATCGATTAAACAGTTCGGCTACCATTAAAAAGGTGTACCTCTCAAACTTCGATAAAATAAACCGTTTCCGAGATATTTGAGATTACAATAATTGTTTTATCGCATTATTTAAAAGGATTAAAAGGTATATGATAACAAATTTTATTTTTTAATTGAAAAAACTAAAAAGGGCATTCCATGAGCGTCGGGACTTTTTGCCCTGACCGTCAGATTAAAAAAAATGTAGTTTTTTCAATTAAATTTTTTTTATCATATAACTTTTAGTCCTTTAATGCGATATAACAATTATTGCAATCTCGAATATCTCGAGAACGGTTAATTTTATCGAAGTTTGAGAGGTACACCTTTTTAATAGTAGCCGAACTGAGTAATCGAAAAATTGCAAGAAATGGTATAAAAACCTAACCTCAAAGTTTGTATGGGACAATAAGATTAAGCAACCCCTGTTTCTACGACACTGTGTTCACTCAAACAATTGTAATTATGTGTGAATATGTGTTTTGGTAGTAAGTGACTGTTCGCAAAATATCACCTTTCCAAGTCTACCATAGTAGAAGTTATATTAAAAAAACTGGTATGATAAGTAACACTTTATCACCCTGTATCTTTTAAACATACGTAATTAGGAAAAAATATTTATTTAGATTTTCGTCTTATTTTGACTTGCTTAATCTGCTCCTAAATTTATGCCACTAAGTTTAGGGACACCTTGTATAATAAATAATCTACAATTTTTTTTATAAAAACAGTTATGTAATTCGTGCGTTTCGCGCGCTTGAAATGGCCGTTAACATACAATACAAACATAATCAAATGTGTCATATTCCAAATAAAAATATAAATTTATTCTACTAAACGCGATGGATGAAACCACTTTTCCTATGTAATTTCAGTAGTATTTTCATTATTGTATGGCGGTGTATTCTAATTTAAGTTTTGAACTGCGTACAAATATAAAGTCTTTCTATATAGGCTTATAAGTGTTATGATATGAGAATTGGTATAAGCTTAAAAAAAATATATGTATTGTATTATTTTTAGAAAATAAGACGAAATAACCTTGACATTGACAAAAAATACCCTAAATTATTTTTTTAGTCACTTGGTTTTTTTAATGTATTTATTAAACCCTAAAAGATTTTATTAATATAAAAAATGGACGTAACTACTGCCACGCCGCGTCGTCTCTTTTAACCAAGGATATATAGACAGGATAGTCGACTTCCTATACTTGTTTTACTTGTTATAAAAACAGCGTATTTTAGACTAAAATTTTTAGTATATCAAGTATCCTTATATATATATGTCTTAAATTATTTGAAAAAAAAAAACTGAAAACCTGTCAAAACCAAAAAACGTTATACTCGTATCTTCGTAATTTCTAGGAATTTTGAAAAAGTAAGTTTTACATTTTTATCGAACTTGTGGTTTTTTTAATGATGGTAACGCAAAGGAATTTGATGAAAATGTAGATTAATGCACAGGAATAATATAGTTATAAAGATTTTTGTTTTTTTTAATTGTTTTTTTTTCAAATATTTTGGGAACTGCTGGCTTTTTTTCCAATTTAAAAATTTTATTTTAATAATCTTGTAATTAAGCACCTTTTTTAAATTTAACTGACCTTGTAGCACAAAAAAATACCAAAAAAGTATACACATATACTTCACCAAGTAGGTATCCTATGTAGTCAAAACGCTACTGCTTCATTAAAAATTGTTTGAGAAACGTATACGTGTATAGAAAAAAATTTAATAAAAAACGTGTATGCGTATATTAAGAATATGCAATACAAAAATTGCACGTCCCAACCCCATTCATTTTGGTACCAAACCACATCAAACCATTTCGACAGCTGACAACAGACCAAATATCCGATAAGGCTACAAATTTGTATATACATTTCAGAAATAGTGCCAACAGAACAAAAAATGGCGTAAATAGGAATAATACAAGCAAGGGAACAAAAAAATTCCCGTTACACTCTATAAAATGATTTAATTCTTTTTAATATATGTGTAATAAATTAAAACTTAAATACCCTTAAAGAAATTAACAAACCACCGCTGAAAATAAATATGTAATTACAAAAAAAAAACTATTTTACCTGGGCTTGATCAAAGTATCCGCTCTCGTGAATTTTGCCGAGCACTTCTTTGATTTGACAGTAGGTGCCGCCAAATATTTCCTTCGGTTTGCCGTCGACGACGGCGAGCAAATGCTCGGCCGCCGCTTGCACTTCGTTCGTAAATGCGGTCGGGTTGCCTGCCTCGTGTTTCGGTGTCACAGCCGGGTACAAGTCGTCCAACAATCTGAAATTGTTATGTATATTTTTAAGAAATAACAATTTAACGACGTTGATACTGCAAAATGTAGTATGTAACTTTTTAGGAGGATAAAAAACGTAACTGTGTATTTTTGTAAAGAACCTAAAAGTATAAAGAAAAATATAGTAAAAAACAATTGTTACGCACCTAGGTTTAAAATACACTAACTTTTTTGTCCTTCTAAAAAGTTATATAAAACATTTTGCAGTATCAAGGAGGAAAAACAATATGTAAAAATAATAGATATTCTCAATAACTTTTTAACGTTAAGAAAAATGTGTAACTAAATATACAGGGTGTCCTGTAATAAATATTAAAATTTGATGCAACCAATTCCATTAATTTAATTTCCATTTATTAAGCAATTATAACTGGAAAAAGAGGCAACACTCAGGCTTCACAGCGGCACTGAACTTTAAAATAGGGACAATAGGGCCTTAACTTTTTAAAAATAGGGCCCTATATGGAAGTTAGAAACATTTAAAAAAAAACTTTATTTAACTATGTTTAGTCATTACAATGAAATAAAAAAATAACAAAAAACTGTATTTCTCTTTTAAAATAAACTTATTTCTATCTTTGGTATTAAATAAAAAATAATACATGTGGTTCTTACTTCTATTTGATGAGAAAAGATTTTTATGAAAAAAGCTCGGACACGTAAACTTTGTTTTTTTATTTAAAATCTTATAATTGTTATTTTTTTGCCCCCACATTTATCTTAAATAAAAAACTACTTTTTTATCGTAAATTGATAGGACACCTTTTTCTGAGTATAACGATACCCTATAAGTACTAGTTATTAAGTAGATTAAGTAGGGTTTTTAGAGAATATAAGAAACAGAATAACTGAAGAAATTAGAAACATAAGTTACTTAACTGTCAGGAAGTGATTTTTGAACATTTATAAGATTGAAGAATAGTTTATTTTTCATTTATTGTTTAATTTTTATTTTTAATCTGTCATTCTACATTCCACCCTGTATTGCAAACTATGTTAACTAGACTCTACTTATCGTTGTATTCAGAAAAAAAGTGTGCTATTAATTTTCGATTAAAAAAGTGGGCTTTAAGATAAATGTGCATGTAATAGGGAACAAACGGTGGGGGACAAAAAAGTTATTATTTTAAGATTTTAAATAAAAATCAAAGTTTATATGTCCGAGCGTTTTTTATAAACATAGAATAAGTGAGAACCACACTGTATATGTAAGTTACATCATGTAGGTATGCCGCGAAATTTAAAAAAGAGAAGCTTAATTATTAAAAAAATAAAGATAAACAAAAGTATTTTACAAAAACGTATTTTAAAAATAAAATATTTATTTAGGGAGAAATAGGGCACCATTATGAATTTTAGGGCCCTTTTAGGGACCTTGGTTAAAAATATGGCCAAATAGGGCTTTTAGGGCCATGGCTGTGAAGCCTGAACACTGTATCTAATAGACTGATATATTACACATATAAAAGTAGGATGTTAAGAAAACATGATTAGGATGTATTTTTGTTACTTTAGTATGAGTATCATATGTATTAAGATATGACTAAACCATATCAGCCAGAGTGCTAATATAAGTCATATATTAGGTATGGAATGAGTTAATAAGATATTACTAGGCAAAGCAAAGCGGGTTTTATAGCGTGATGTTACTCGAATCTAGATAGGCTACTACTGCTACTATAACTTCGTGTGTAGGGTTCTAGATTCTGTTAGCATTTTCAGTCTACATCCTTGATTAGCGAGGTTATCGGCTATCTCGTGGCCGGGAATATTAGTGTGGCTGGGGACTAGGGATTTCAATCCCGAAATCCCGGTACAAAGTTTTAATCCCGGGATCTTAATAATTTACAAAGAATAAAATATACTTAAATAATTAATTAACAACAGGTGTTATAATATTCGTTTATTTCAAGCGTAAAATAATTTTCATATTATATGACTCGTAATTATGTATATACAGGGTGAGTCATTTAACTTGAAACTTTGAAATATCTCAGTTAGAATGCATTTTACGAAAAAAAATTTAAAATAAAAATTAAATGATTCGAGGGGAGAAATCAATCATATATCAGTAATATAGGGGGAAATCAATCATATATCAGTATTATAGGGGGAACAGGAGGTAACTTTAAAATTTCAAATGGAACACCCTATTATTTATTGCAGATTCGGATCATTCGACAAAAAATATGTAGATTTTGTCTAAAACATTTTTTCATATTTGTAATAGATGGCGCTGTTATGACAAAAAATCAATTTTGTCCAATTTTTCTTCTGTATAGTAATATGTTTACCGGTGTTGTTTTCATGTATCCTCCTATGACCCTGAGTGCTTGGTATTGAATTTTTGATAGTTTTTGGATATGGCTCTTGGGGGCTCCAAAGAAGAGGTGGCTGCAAAAGTCCAGAAATTGCCTTACACATGCCTTGTATATTAGAGTTAAAGTGTTAGGTGTGACACACTGAAGATATTTAGCCGCTTGGATGCTTTAATACATGATATCTGCTATGTTCTTTGGGACATTATATTGGGTAAAACGGGGGTATAGGATAGGAAGAACCCCATTGTCAAATACTCCAGCAGTATTCAAGGTTGTTAGAATTGTATGGTTACCTTTTTTGACCTCTGTATGGACTTCATAGGTAGGTAAGTGGGTCTAGGAAACTTTTTCCTTTTCTGAAGCCAAATTAAAAAGGGTACCTATAGAATATTTTGTAATTCTAGTTTATAATCGTTTTTTTATGAGTGTTTCGAAGAGTTTTATTTAGTATGCAGGAGTTTAATGATATGGATATGTAGCTGGCTAGATCAGTGACCGACTAAATTTCAAATGTGACCAATTTTTTTATTTCGTGGGCAAATTATAAGGAAATTTTGTTTAAACCCTAACCTCAAAAGATTAAACGCACAAAACGTACGTTCTATTGAACAGAATATACAGAGTAGTCTCCTCTGTGGCAGAATCTATTCTGTGCGTTCTAGACCTTGTCTAGGCTTACTGCAGTCATAAAAACGGGTTTAGTTTTAAATTTAAAGGGTTTAAGGGTTAATGACAAGTAATTAACACTTAATTACTTGCGCAGGTGCCCCGTTTTTATTAAAAGCTCTATAACTTTTTGTCGTTTTGTCTACCATGCACTGTCGATGACATATTCAGTTCAAACTACTTATTTTGAAGTTATGGATGTATCTTCAGCAGCAAGATTGATTTAAAAATACTTGATAACTAAATTTAAATTTTTGATATGTAAGATATTTATAATAAAAAAATAGAATTAAAAACCTAATAATTGTTTATAAGAATACATAAAAAAACTGATTTCATCAAAATTAAAAACATTAAGCAATTTTATTATATTTTATGTTATAAAAATTGGCCCAATATTATTTTTTTTTTAAATACAAATACATTTTTTTTTAATTTGACAATGTCAAAATTTGGCGGTGTAGTTGTCAAATTCTAGGGACCCTAAATTTATAATTAATTAATTAATAATATTTCATCAAAATGCTGTTTTGTTTTTAAAGTTTCCATTCATTTAGAATTTTTTGTTATCTTTGCCATGGTTTATTATAATTTTAATAATTAATTGATAAATATCAAAGTAAACTGAGACAATTTTAAATATTAAAAAATACCAAAGTATGTTGATATGCAGTATCAAGTTGGTACCAACATAATTAAATGTGTCAAATTCCAAATAAAAAAACTTTATTAATATTAATTAATCATCATTTACAATTAAACCTGGTCATGAAAACAATGGGACTGTTCATTACATTATTTAAATGGTTGAATTTATGATAAAATCTTAAGAAACCTCTTTTGAACAGTGGGAGAATATGCATTGAAAATTGGTATATAAATTAAAAAAAAACAATATTTTTATTTATTTCAAACTTTGACCTCCAATATTATTTAAATGAGTGGTTTTAGAAAAAAACTAATTTTTTGTAAATCAGTAAAAAATATGTCCTGGATATTGTTGTAAGTCTATTTGTTAGTAAGTTATGATTCAAATTCATAACTTTTCCCATTTTATTAAAATGAAAAATAATCATCTTTTAGACATGGCATAAGAAATAACTTTTTTGTTTTAAAATTAGTTTTAGGTTATAAACAATAATTTTAGACCATGGCTTAGTAGGAAAAGTGACTTTGGGGAATAATGGACACCCTAATATGCATATATGGAAAACCTTTTAACCAAGAATATCTTGAGAAATCGCATTGTTATAAAGCACTTTTTAGTAAATCAATCAGAGCGCGTCAATTTCGAATAAATTTAAATTTTTAAAACATTATACATTTTATTATCTACCAAATATGGTAAATAAATACTATGTAATTTTAAAATAATGTGAAAATAATTTTGGAATTTTACAACACCATCTATCTCTGTAAAGAGACAGATTTTACCTGGGTTTCGGGTTAAATCTGCATATTTTGGGGTAAGAAATCTTTAGACCAAATTTTAATGAAACACCCTGTATATATATGATTTTACTTTTCAGATTCATATTAAAAAGTAATGAATAGCTTTAAAATTACAAATTATTAATATTTATTAAATGCCAAATGCAAATAAATATATTGTAATATTTAAAAGTGAAAATGCGTTTTCTTTTAAAATAATAAATTTAATTACTATTAGTATATTGACCTCAATGGTAAATAGGTTAGGCCTTGAATACTTACCTATTCATAAACACATCATAATGAACACAATATTATGCAAATAACTTACTTGAGATCAGATTCGGTTAGTTGAGCTGCACCATTTTTTCCATTGAGAAAGTCATCCCTTACATTTTCAGTTCCCATTTGATTTAAAGCATCTTGAACCAGTAGAATTTCCCTGAGTCTCGCCAATTCTGCTTGATTTTTGAGGGCTGCTTCTCTTTTTGCCTGTTTCTTTGCTTCTTTTTCAGTTACAGCCACAATTCCTGTATTGAAAACGTTTTTATAATTGTTAAACGTAAATGAGCTTCAACTTACCAATAAATTGTTTACATAAGTCCCTAGCAAAATCCAAGGTCTGAATAACTTCATTGAATTTGGCTACAGCAGTCTTTTGATCATCATTTAAGGTTTTTCCGGCATTTTGCAATTCCTTATATGATTCTAATTTTGACTGAAAAATAAACTTGTTAAATAATACAAATCTTCAAAGGCAACCAATGTATTGCCAACTAACTTGGTATTTTTTCTAATTAGGATGTACAAAATTTTGGAAAAACCATCAACATATAGAAATATACATGATTGCAATTACTTATATGCCTATATTGGCCAGACCAAATACATTGTTGTTAAAAATAGATACAGGCATATCTTGTTGTTGTTGCCAAGTAAATATGTATAATATTAAATAATAATCCCATATTTTTACTTAGCACAAAAAACGAGCTACACCTTTACATACTTTCAATGGTGATATGATGGTAAAAATTTAATGTGCCTATATTGAAAAGAACAAACAAAAACATGAATTGAACCTTTCTAAAGTGCAGAAGATAATATCAAGACTCAAACAATTCAATTAATTGTTGTTTTCCTACAAGGTAGAGAGTAGCTGTCACAAATGACTTTTTGCTATTCGTTGACTTAGCAGCCACCATGTAGTGACTATAGTCATACAAATTTGCTTGTATACAAGCAAATTTGTATGAGAATGTGCCTAAAAGTTAATATACTTAAGGACATTTATATAATTGTTTTTAGAGGTCTTGAAACTATGATTATATCAGATTATTTTGAAAATCTTAAAACAGTTAACTCGCCTAAATTGACATGTTTATTTGAAGGAGTTGTGTTTAAATTTATAAATTAAACACAAATAACACTTTTTTAGCTTTAGATCTCAAAATGAGGACGATCTTGCCAACGTTGGAAATTTTAACGGCAAAAAAATTACCAATTTAGTTCCGGCGTTACATTTGGTTTCCACTATATGTCAAAAGACATGATGTTTTAGGGAAAATGAGGGCGGTGATGCGGTGTATCGCAGTAAAACTTACCTTTCGTTTCTCTAAATTCCTAATTTTATGTTCTATCACCGTAATCGCTTGCCGCAAAGGCGTAGAATTATCAGCGAGGGCATTATCACTTATTTGTTTTTCTACTTTGACATTAGATGCAGCAGAAGGCATTGTTATAGTCCTATTTAAAAAATATCACTCACGAAATGTTGCCCTGTTCAAGTAACAGGGTTAGACGGGTTTTCCAATGAATTCTAATTTGCTTAGGCGCAATTACTTAAGCAAAACGTTATAAAACACTTTGACACAACACAAGGGAGTCATCCATTGAAAAAAGCCGACCGGAAATATTGCTCACCGTCATTTCATTGGCCAAAGTGACAGGAAGTGTAAATTTATTAACGCGCGAAAGTTTAAATTTTGCTCGAACAATCTTTATTTTATCTTTATTTCACAATATAAACAATTATTTGTGTTTAAACCTTTTATCTTTTAAATTTTAAATTTAATAAAACCAATTTACAACAAGCAGACCAATAAAATAATATTAATAATAATAATTAATAATAATTAATAATAATTAATAATAATGATTATTGATAAATATATTATAAACTTATGTTCACCATAAAATGTTTTCAATTGTATTCTTTAATTTTGAATACTTATTAATTCTTAAAGCTTAAAGCTGCTTAAGGCGGCTTTTTAAAAATCCCAATTTATGTTGGGTTATATTTTATTTCCCCAATAGATGGCAATGTGTTTTTTGGTGTTGTCTTCGGCTGTTGGTCTTTTTAGTATTAAATTACTTTCTACTTAATTAAATACAATATTATAACACAAACAACGCATAAAATTACATCAAAAATTTATTAAAAAGTAAATGCATCGTAGCTTTTCAATCAAAAAAATTAAATCCTAACCTCTAGAAATTTTATCGCGAAAATTATCTAAAATTGTTAGAAATTATGGAGCAAAAGATTAATTTATGTGGAGAGCAATACAATTTAAAATGGAATAGCTTTACCAAAAACTTAATTGAAGTTATACAAGAAAAACAAATATGTGAAGCTTTGACCGATGTTTCTATTTATTGCGAGGGCCAAATTGTGAAAGCCCACAAAATTATTTTGGCTGCTTCCAGTAGTATATTTGAGGTAATACATTTATAAATAATAAGACTACATTAGGCACAAAGCCTTTTGGATTTTCCAATAAATATATTTACCACCACTATGGATTTACCACTACTATAGATTATAGATTGTATTTTTGTTTTTGTAGGATATGTTTAAGTTTAATATAGAAAAACATCCTTACATTATATTTAATGGAGTGACCTTAAAAAATTTAAAGTATATCATAGAGTTTATTTATAATGGAGAAATTAAAGTTTTGGATTGTGACCTACAAGATGTTTTGAGCTTGGGTGAAACATTGCAAATAAAAGGCTTGAGCTCAGTTAAGGTTAAGGAAAATCCAAATAATAACACGGATGTTTCTACAAGTAATGCTCATAGTAAAAATAAGTTTTCTAAAAATGCTCGTAAATCAACTATCCATAGTGCTAAAGATGCACTACCACCAGAAGTGCCTAGCGTAAGTGCTGCGGCACAATTGAAATATGTTGAAAATAATTATTTCCAAGAGATTGCAGAAGGCGTAGTTAAATGGCAAAAAGTTGACAAAAATATTAAGGAGTTTGGCAAGGATTCCATTATTAATCTTAATGAGAATATACCTCCTAAAAAAAGAAAAATTGTAGAAGAAAATATTGAAAAACCTCAGGATTTGAGTAGCCAAGTAAGTAACTACAGGTTGGTTTCTGTTTATGTAGTGCAAATGGAGAGTGTTTATTGAAAAGGAATCAAGCGCCAAAAACTTTTTCTGGGGTAAATAAAATTATTTGCAAAATAACTCATTTTTAATGCTGCTCAAAAAATTAATAATGATTTGGGTTCGAACCCTCTCAAGTGTTATCCAAATTATGTTGATGTTTTTTAAATTATTAATGAATATATTTTATAAATTTTTCCTTTTCTATTATTATATTAAAATCATCAATCAATATTATTTACTATACAGGGGGCACCTCAAGGGGCACAAATTAATTGATGTGTAATATTTTAATTAATTAATTAATATAAATATGTAGTATTAATACATCAACATGTGTAGGTATTACATATATGTATACCTACCTAATATGGTAAATACTATGTATGGGTATCTTTTTTATTTGAAGAACTACAAGGTCGGTTAAATTTAACCCAATTTTTGCTGAAATAAAATTGAAATATAATGCAATAGTTAAAATCTAATGATGTGGATAATTATTTAAAAAACATCAGTGACAAGTTTTTGTGGGGGCTGCTTTTCTTTTCACCTCAGTCTTCGACACCAGTGCCAGTTTTAAATTATTAAATACATTTTTAGTTTATCTGGTCATTGCAATTGAGAAAAAAAAAACTTTTCTTGTAAAATTTTGTTTCTGTGACAAATTTTAAAAGTAGTCCCTGACTTGTGACAACCTGTAAAAAAATACATCTGTCAACCATGTTAACTTTAAATAGCTGCTAGCACAAACACTTTATTAAGAATGTTCTTGGCTGATAGATGTCTTGTTTATTTTGTTTCCATAAAAACCCTTCTTAGATTTTTTTTTCAAGGCCTGAATCTCTATTAGGAACATTTTTTGTTTTTAAATGAAAGTCTTTATACATATTTTGTTCAATAATATGAACGTTACAGTGGCGCAAAAAATCGACTATTAATTAGCGACCTTTAAAAAACGAAAAAAATCGAATTTGGACTTTTTTTGAAAGTTCAAAATTTGTTAGCGACCCCTAAAATTTTTTAAATCATTTTTTTTTTCGTAGAGAGCTCTAAAAACAATTGTTTTTATTAATAGTCGTTTTTTTGCGCCACCCTCCATAACTACAAAAATAAAGTACACCCTAATGAGGGTAGGTATACTAATTTGTACCACTTTTTTTTAGGTAAAACTTTCACCTGTTGTTATAAAACAAAAGAGTCCAGAAACTTTAAGTACAAAATCCAACACATCTTATAATGATGTAAGTTACAATGTATTATTATTTTATTATTAATATTATTATAATTATTAAATATTTCGATGTTAAAAGGTCTAACTACGAATTCGTTTTCATTCAATATTTTTATTTAACTTAATTTATAAATTATCGCACTTGTGACCCGGAATGACAAAAGCCGGCATAAATACCATTCACGACTGTAAGGATCGGCCTATATATGTAAGGATCGGCCTATATATAGGCCTTTATGTTTTAGGACAAAGATATCTGACGCTGTACCTGACTATTTATTTTTTATTCTGTTTTTACTTTGTACCTGGCTTTGTTTTTAAATTCTAAGGTTGTTTCTAGTCCTCTACTAAAACTATTATAATTTTTTGTATCATATATATTCTGTTTTTACTTTGTACCTGGATTTGTTTTTAGGTACTCTTTGTTTTATATTCATAGGTTTGTTCTAGTCACCTACTAAAACTAGTATAGGTACCTAAGTTCCATTTTTATAAATATAATTTACATTGTAATTGGCAACATTTTGTAAATAGTCCACACAAACCCATAGGGCTTAGGGACTGTTCTGTAATTGACAATTAATATTTTACATAAACAAATATATTATAAATATAAACAAATATATTATATAATACTTTTATCATTTAGCGGGTCATAAATACGCCGTTTAAATTTAAATGCTAAATCTACCACTTTTATATTTAAAAGTAGTAGATTTAGCATTTAAATTTAAACGGCGTATTTATGACCCGCTAAATGATAAAAGTATTATATAATATATTTGTTTATATTTATAATATATTTGTTTATGTAAAATATTAATTAATACTAATTACACTGTAGGGAGGTGAAAATATCACAGCTACACGCTAGCTCGGACACGTAAACTTAATTTTTGGTCGTAGATTACAAATTCGTGCTTGGTTTAGCTGTATCAGGTCAAAATTCAAAGATATTGAAAACACCCTGTATAAATTTTAACACCCTGGATAAATTTAGTAAAAAAATAATTTGGCTGGACCCTCACATCAGTTCCAAATTAAAAGAAAAAAAAACAAATTCTTGCAAATTTTATCCTATAGGAACTTATAAGTGTTTTTAGATAACACTGTAGGTAAATTTTTAACTTTTAAAATATCACAGCTAAACGCTCGGACACGCATACATAATTTTTGGTGGTAGATTCCAAATCCGTGCTCAGTTTAGCTGTATCAGGTCTAAAAAAGTTTTTCCTATTGGAAATCCGATCCGGGGACAGACTGTATACTGGTATATAATAATTTGTAAAATAATATAATTCACCTCTTGTGCCAACAGTTTTATGCTTTTTATTTCATTTAATATAATATCTTCAATAAAAAAAAATCAGCAAAAACCATTTCAAATTTCCTAAATTATCTAAGAAAAACCCTTAGGGACACGTGTATCTTTTGATCAATTAACTTCAAATTTTGCAAGAATTTGTTATTTTTTAAATTTAATTTAAAAAAAAATTATAAAGAGCTAGTGTTTCCAATATCTTTGAATTTTGACCTGATACAGCTAAACCAAGCACGGATTTGTAATCTACGACCAAAAATTAAGTTTACGTGTCCGAGCGTTTAGCTGTGATATTTTCACCTCCCTATAGTGTAATTTAGGAAATTCAAAATGTTTCTTAGCTAATTCTTTTTTTATTGAGTATAATTAAGGATATTATATTAAATAAAATAAAAAGCATAGAACTATGGGCACAAGAGGTGAAATATATTATTTTAATAATAATAATATACCAGTATACAGTGTGTCCCCGTATCGGATTTCCAATTGGAAAAACTTTTTTAGACCTAATACAGCTAAACCGAGCTCGGATTTAAAATCTACGACCAAAAATTATGTTTACGTGTGCGAGCGTTTAGCTGTGATATTTCAAAAGTTAAAATTTACCTACAGCCCAGCAAACCAAATCATGTCACAGTGATATAACATTTACATAAAAATTGTTCCTTACTATGCAACAGCTATGTCACCTATATGTAATGGCAATGCTCCTATGTCCGCCTCAAGACGCCTTCCTGGGTATGTAACTGTGATGTAACACTGTTTTATCATAGTTATGTAACTGTAATGTTACAGCGCCATATCAGTTATGTAACAGTGATATAACATTTACATAAAAATTGTTCCTTACTATGCAACAGCTATGTCACCTATATGTAATGGCGATGCTCCTATGTCCGCCTCAAGACCCCTTCCTGGGTATGTATCTGTGATGTAACAGTGTTTTATCATAGATATGTAACTGTAATGTTACAGCGCCATATCATAGTTATGTAAACGTGATAAAACAATTATATTCTATTTGCAATATTTATATATTATTTATGAAATATTTATAAATATAATTTCATGTAATATATTATCTTACTGGTATTAAAAATTTCTTAGCCCTAACTTGGTATTATGGCAAATTTTTTGAAAAAAAAAATGAACAAAATTTTAAAATTGCCATAATACCAAATTAGAACTAAGAAATTGTTAATGCCAGTTAGATAATATATTAAATAAATTATAAATAAATATTACATAAATAATAAGTAAACATTACAAAAATAAATGATTCTGAAAGAGATTAAAAAAAAACAAATTGGTTTAAATGTTTATTAAAAATTATTTTAATTAAAAAAAAAACCAAATCATTTCTTCTTTCTAACTTCTTAAAACAAACGAAAAGTTTTTCCAAACAAAAAAAAATCCCAAATACATTAATACTTCAAAGCTAAAAAATATATATAGGCCCTAGTATAGGGTATACCAAATCTTTTTTTGGCCTGCCGGAACCATTCGGAAACTATGCCTTCAAAATTTTTGTCTGTCGAAGTGCACACAGCAGCTTAAAAAAATTTATTTAATAAAAAATCCCATAAAATTTACATTTTTACCCTTCAATATTTCAACAGATTTTAAATTTTGAATTTTATTGTTGTTTCTTAGCCCCAGCCAAGAGCAATCTTTTGCCAAATTATTTGAGAAGATTTTCTTTAAAACTCTTACTGTGGCATCTTTCTCTGAGACGCCTCCAATTTTTGTTATATACTGAAACTGAAAAAAAATACAGTTTAATATTATTTTTGTTTATTGATTTCTTTTCAAAACAAAGAACAACTATTCTTTATGTGGGCGTTTCTCTGTAAACTGGGCAACTTGAAGTAAGAAATTGTCTAGGCAAGTTTTTTTGTTATATTTTTGTTGTATTTAATAAATGTTATTCGAGGAAGAAATATCGGTCTATTTATTAGTATACGGCAGATGAACCAAAAATAGTCCTATTACTTTGGAAAACATTGAGCATTTTCTGAAAAATCTATACAGGGGGCTGTTTATAAAATCCGGAGACAAAGTTTAGATGACTTTTTTAGAATTACAAAATAATAATTATAAAAAATAAATAAGTCACAGTAACAAGCAAACAATATTGCTTGAATAATTAAACAATTAGGTTGATTCCAATAGTTACTGTCTTTAATAAATTTAGTCTGAAGTGACCATTTTGCTTTGGTGACACGTCAGGGGACTGGTTTTTAAGGACTATAAAAACGATTTTGATACATTAAAGTTTATTTTATTGGATTTTGAACGTCGAGCATAGGTAGATTAGGTTATTATCTTTTGAAGTTATCTACGAAATATTTATGATCTGTTATTTTTCTAAACAATATTAGCTTGAGACAATGAGTTGCCCAGTTTACAGAGAAACGCCCATGTAGTTATGTAAATGATATTTGGTACAAATAATAATTTGTTTGATTTTATTTATTCAAGTCAAATGCACCCTGCAACCTTATAAGAGATATAAAAATAATGAAAAATATGGAATTTGCATAAAATTAATTTTCACAACAATTATAATAAAAAAGTTGGTTATTTAGCAAAATTATTGTATCTTTTAAGTACCAGTTGAAAAAACAGTATAAAGTTAAAAAAAATATAGAAATTAAACTCTTAAGTGTTATAAGCTAAGGTTGACTGAACCGTAAGCAGACACAGTTTTTGTTATTTTTGTTATTTATTTATGTAATTGTAAATTTCACTGCAGTACCATGGTACCGCCAAACCATTTTAATTTTCTTAATTTTTTTATATTCCACATTGCTCTTTTTAACATAATATTTATTACTATTAAATACTATATTTTATCCTTTTACAAAATTTTTGACTTTTGACATAATTACTAAACGGTGGACCGTAATCGCCTCAGTGAACACGTAAAGAGAACTAATAAACTAATTTATACAAACTAGCTAGAGTTGGGTACCGGTCCGTTATCGCTATTTAAAAATTTATTTCTATTTTTATAGATGTATAAACTTTCATAACTATCTAGCAGACTTGGTTCCCTAACCTCCTTAATAAGTTAACTTAGAAATCCAGTGTTGCCCAACATATACTTGATTATGGTCATGGAATAAGATTTGACAACCTTAAATTTAAGGTTGTCAAATCCTATTGTATGACCATCACCAAGTATATGTTGGACAACACTTGATTTCTCTGTCCTACCAAATCTAGCATGGGCCAAGACTCTTTGAACCTAACTTGGATGGATTGTTTAGTTTGTCCAAAATATTTCTTGTCACTTGTGATGGTGATATTTTATATAAATAATTTTTTTTGATAATATATATATTAGCATATGCTTTTTTCAATCAACCCAGGTCACAATTTTAAAAATAGCTCTAGATTTAAAAATTGCATTTAAAAATGTAGTTAGTGAATTATAATATTTTTAGGTGTCTCCCCCAAAAATTGAAAAACCTTTTTCAAAAGCTATAAAAGTAGAACAAACAGATCTAAATAAAACACCAGTTAATTTGGTTAAAAATAAACCTCAAAAAGATGTGCCACAGCCGCCAAAAAATGCATTTATGATATTCACCAATAAACAAAGAGATAAGATTGCTGCTGAAAATCCAAGTAAAACCAATTTTATAAATGATTGTATGGAAATATCTTTATCTTCTTTTTTTTAGATAAATCTTATAAAGATATATCAATAATGTTGGGTGATATGTGGAAATCTTTACCAGAATACGAAAAACAAATTTATTATTCTCAAGCAGATGGAATGCCCAGTAAATCAAAATTTTCAAAGTAAATTAATGTTGTTTTTCCTTAAGAATTATTTATTATATTTGTTGTTGTTTTAGCCATTACTATAGCCCCAAAGAACATAGAAAACTAAAAACTATAGAAAAAATGTCAACTACTACAGGTTGTGTGGAGGTAACATATTTACAAAATGTAACGTGAAAGGAGAAAATCACCCTAACCACTAAACAACTAAAAAAAATAGACTCCTTATAGAAACTTAAAGTGGTTTGTGCACTACTACAAATCCGAGCTTCGTAGACACGGGTCTTTGGTCATTTTCAAAAACGCACATATTATAACTGAATAGTGTAGTGGTCTTGCTACCTGCTTTCTAAACCTTTAAAGCTTTAATTAGGGCGGTTTTCTCATTTTATACATATAAAAACATTATTGTTCAATTCATAATAATTTTAAATTTTAGATTGAAATTCCTGATGACGATCCTGTAGAAACAATAGATGTTACAGGAGATACAGTAAACACTATTCAAATTGCTCCAGATTTTTTTTCTTAGTTGTTTAGTTAATTAATCCTTGAATATTAACTTATTTATTGTACAAATTACGTTTATATGAAATAATATAGTTTTTTTGTGTTAAACTTACGAAATAAAACGATTTTTCCATCTGATAATAAATTTTTATTAGATTCCAACAGAGTGTGATAAATAGCATATATACAAACCTAATTATTAATTAAAAATATATATATTACACCTCCGTAGTCATTATTAATTCCATTTTAATTAGGCTAAAAATACTACAAAGAATATAAAGAAGAATATCAAAACCCCGAAAATTTTTATCATAAGCCAACGATTGGAAGAAACTGATTGGAAGTACTTTAGTATTTGCGCATGCGCAGCTTCGATGTTCATTTCAGCATCTTCCACGTTGCTGTCGATTCTTTCCACCATTTCCTCTTGTTCTTTCACCATGTGTGCCAACTTAAAAAAATAAAAATACCTCGATTATCAAAAGTTTTGCTTAATCTTTGATTTAATTCAAATGACTACTATTAAATTTTACTTGTGTTCGATTTGCTATTCTAAAGAAATAAAACAATTATTTTGATATCAATTTTTCTCAAATTTTTTTATGTAACAATCCCAATATTTTTAAAATTTATTTTAGTTAAATTGTATGAGCTTTGTCACAATTTTACAGACCAAGGGCATTAAAGCTCTATTTAAGATCTATTTAAGTAACCTGTATCTCAAAATACTACTGGATTTGCAGAAAAAACTTAAAAACTTTTTAACTTCTCATGTAAAGGTTTAATTTTGCCGTAGGGTTTTAAAATTTCCGAAAAAATTGAGCAGGCGGAAAAAATCCGTTTTTTTCGGAAAAATACCGTTTTTCCGGAAATTTTCACTTATAATACCACAAGAGCTTCAAAATTATCGGGTATTTTTCCCGATAGGTTCGTTGCAAACAAATGAAGGAGTCAAGTTTTTCAGGTTAAAAAATCACGAGCGCGAAGCGCGAGTGATTTTTCCTGAAAAACTTGACGACTTTATTTGTTTGCAGGGAACCTTGAGGGAAATGCCAGATAATTTTGAAGCTCGTGTGGTATTCGGGGGATTATTTTTCCGTCCCAAATGTCGGCCAATAGAATTGCACCATGTACAGTTAACAAATAAGAATTTCATAATGAATAAAACAACATTTAATTAAGATTTAATTTGTTTTTTATATATAGCAACTACCAGAGAAAATTTTCAAAAAATTATCGCTGTAATTCGCTGTAGGTTCCCTCAACAACAATGCCTCAACAATGTCCCAACAATACAGAGAACTGTCAAAAAAAATAATCAGAAAAATTGACTTTTTAATTATTAAATTTTATTATTATTATTAAGGGTAATACAAAAAAAATGCAAGTCAATTTTTTTGAAAATGTTCAAATTTTTACGGATGCTATCCGTACACTGATATTGAGAAAAAATTTTCGACGCTACTTATAATCATAATATTATGATTATAATCAGTATTCCTTTTATGTTAATCCAGTAAGAATATTCTACCAGGCCGCAAAAAAAACATTTGGTGGTGAATTAACATTATTTTAAACACTTCGATTTATAAAATTATAATTTTGTAATTTAACTTTTTAAATCATTTACTACTTTGTAGTTAGATATTTTTAATGGACTCCTTTTTGCAAAAAATACCCAACTGACAGTATATTTCATGTTTACGTTTATTTTCTTAAATCAATTTAATTTAATGCAATGTTTGGTTAGTTTTATTTTTTTTGTTAAGTCGTTGCTACTTTTTTCAAATGTGTGTATTTTCCAAATAAATTTTTCCCAAAAAAGCCAATTTTCCGACAATTTAAAACCCTATTTTGGGGCATGTTTTGATGCCCTCAATATAGACTCTTTGGTAAAGATTATTTACCTGTTGGAATATGCCACCAAGTTCCACAATAGTAGTCTCAATGTTCTGCATAGTTTCCGCCCGATTTTGCAGATAATTGTCGGTCTCATCGAACATCAAAGCTGCTTGCATCTGCGATTGCTGCGTTATCAAAGGAGAGCTTTCCAGATTAATGCTCACGGAATCTTGTTCTTGGTACAACAAGCTGCCCTGCGTCGGCCCCGCCACTGCTGGAGGCGGCAGCCCCCCCTGAGAAAATTGATCCCTTCGACTTTTTTGGTGTCTCAGATTTTCCGTTCGTACTTCCAATATTTGCTTGAAATCCGTCGACATGCTGGCAAGTTTCGATTGCAACGCCAAAACTACGCTGCTCGAGTGTGATTGCAAGTGCTTGCCGTTTGCTTGGTTTTTCTGACGTTTTGATACATCTTGCAGTTGAGCGATTTGTTGGTTTAAACTGCCCAAATCTCCTTTTATTATGTAAGTTAGTTCTTGAATTTCTACTGTGCGGTCGTCGAAGAGAGACTTTCTTTTTGCCACTAGAATATAAACATAATTCTAATAATTGTTATGACTTTATTACCCTATTAAAAATGCCCTATAGAACCCATATTGATCCAGATAAGGAAACTAATATGGATTTATATGGTTCTATATGTCCTATATGGAACAACCTGGTTTACACTTTGGAATCTATATGGTTTAATATGGAATTTCATTTTAAAATGTACAACTTAGGGATTTTCTAGGGGATTTTTATATGGATTTATCTGGTTTCTGTTTTATGTGTATTTCCATATAGGTTTCCCTATATGATTGAATATGGAATTCCATTTTAAAATGTATATAAATTTAAACGAAAATTGCATATTAAACCATATAGATTCCCCTATATGGTTAGATATGGATCTATATGGTAATAATTTTTTCACACCCAAACCATATGCATATTGGGCCAGATAGAGCAATATGAACCTATATGGCAATCCATATAGAAATCACTTTTCTGTATGGTTTTCCAGGTATGGAATTCTATCTGGTTCAATAGTGCAATGCCTATTTCAAATTCCTATATTGAACCAGATAGATTTTTATTTTGTGTTTCTGTATGGCATTTTTATAGGGCAGAAATTTTAATTAATTTACCGTGCACGTGCATGTTTTTATGAGTGCCAGATTACACAGTCCAACACAAAATTTTAGTAGACGTAAAAAAATCTGTGCAGCCCCAAAATATATCCTACTAAATACAAAATCAGATTTTTTTGCAAATGTTAAAAAAAAACTAAAGTTAGATAAAAACATTGCGTTGACAAAAAATGCAGCCCCTTTGCCCAACGCGAGTACAAGTGATAAAAGAGAAAATAAAAAAGAAAAAAAAGAGGACAAAAAATAAATATACTACACCATTTATAGATAAGAATTGTTAGTTTTAAGAAATTTCTTTATATAAACTTGTTTATAGCTCCTTAACTTGAAAAAATCCTTGGAATCCCTCAAGTTTTTGGGGTTGCACAATTATATATTTTTTTTAATTACCCTCAACATAATTTTTTGATGAGAATTTGTTTTAAAAGAAGTAACATTTTTCATTTAAAATAAAGATTTATTTATTGTAAATCTAAGTAATGCTTATAGATGAAATATAAATTAATATATTTAATATAGGTATTCAGGGTGTCCCAAAAATCAACAATATCCTGATAGACCGGCTCATGACAAATCAGAATGTCAAAACACGTTCTTAGTAAAAAACTGTTTGTTTTGCTACTAAAATGTAGAGTTTTATAAAATTCATAGTGCCAATATCTTAAATAAAGACGATTTTTACTAAGATCATGTTTTGATATTCTTATTAGTACCATAGATTAATAACCTCTTGTATATACATGTATTATATTAAGTTTTTTAATCAAATTTGAGTTTTTCACCAAAAATATTAGAAGCACAAATGATATTTGGCAAGATTATATCCAATCTATGTTTTTTATTTCAAAATGTTGAAACATAAAGGGGAAATATTAATACCAATATCTATAGATATATACATTGTTACACAAACAAAACAACATTTATTTATTAAATTTATTCCAAAATCATATAAAAATTCTAAAATTATAAGTGCTTATATACATCTGACCAATTTATTTGAAATCATAAAAAAGGTTTATTTAATTATTTTTTGTGGACCTGTGCTATGGCTAAAATATTTTATTTTACAAGGTTCACATTTTTTTTAAATTGTCTAAAAATTTAAATTTTGATGCTTAAACTTATCTTATATAAACAAGTTAAAAAACTAAGTGTACTCACATAATGTCAGTTTTTCAAGCTTAGTGTAAGTACTAGCTATATTCTTTCCAATATTTTTAGCAATTAACATAAACTCAGAATGACTCTGAATAACCTTGGATCGTTTTGGATCTCTAGCTGCTACCCGCCCTTGCTATATTTCTTCCCTGTAACGTTTGTATTGTATTTACAAATTCACTAGTTCTATCTCTGGCTGTCATTATGAATTCAGGTTCTATATCCTCAATGTGATCCTCTTAAACAGAATTTATTGTTAATGAATGAATTAATTAAAACATTAATCATGATTTACCTTCTTCTAGATAATAATCTGGTGTAACATTGTTTGGATATGCTGAATTTATGTACTGTAAATTGTTCTGCGGCGACGAGTAAAAACTATTATTGCCGATTAATACTGATTGATCGCCTTCAGTAACTTTTCCTTTTCTTCTAGATAACATTTCATATTTGGAATACAAAACATTAAATCTATATATGTAGAGACCCTATTGTCCAATTATTTTGGTTTCACAAACACACACAATTTTAATGCATTTAGTTTAGCAAACTTTTATTTATCACAGCACTAGAAAATGCCTTAATTATAGTTTTTCCTTAAATATGGGACAAAAATTAACAACTTTCTTCGAAAATGTCAGAATTGACGTTTCTGACACGTATTTACAGTGTACCAACATAAATAGTAGGTCAAACATTGTAACAAGCTAAGACATATGTTTTGATTTATCTTATATATAAAAAAAAATTATTTCGAAAAGAAGAAGAAGAAGACTTGGTTATTTGAACTACCTATTATCTGGACGCATGAACGTCAAAATTGACAAAATAATAAACAGAAAACACTATTTTTATCAAATTTATTTTCTATTTTACCCAATGTGAAAGAATAAAAAGGCTCGCATATGAATTTAGGAATATTTAACCGTATGAACTTAAAAGTAAGTACTTCCTGTAAGAATAAAAAACAGTTATGTATGAATTGTGTAGGAGAGCAGCGAAAATAAAGGAATGTACTCAGAATGGACATCATTAAATTTAATAGTACAACAATCCGGCGAAGAAAATCAAAGTGTTCTGGAGAAATTTGGTTTGACTACAAGTAAAGAAGTGACTTTGGGATTGGTGAGGCAGCTTGCTAATAATCTTGGTATTACACATCAACCTGAGAAGAGTTTATTAACCACTGACAAAGATGTAAGTAACTAAGGGCCGGTTTTTCAATCATAGTTTAAACTTGGTTCAGCATTTGAACTTGGTTCAAACAAAATATACCGTTTTTCAATCAAAGTTCAAGCTTGAATTTGGTTTAAACTAAATCAAAAGATGAACTGTCACTGTTGGCCGTTTAAACGAAGTTCAACTTGACATAACTTAATTTTTCTCTGCTTTATTGTGTATTACGTTGTTTATTTCTTGTTTTATAATCTGCTGTTATAATAAACCAATGGATATGTTTGAGGTAGTTAGTGAGGATGATGAGAAAATTGGCGAATTCCTAAATAATATTCAACTTTGTGTGCACAGGCCACTGGTAAGACCGAATCATTTTGAAAGGTGGATTAATGATGAATTTTTTGCCAGATTTCGGTTTTCCAAACCTTTTGTACGTAGGATAGTGGATTTAATTAGACCAGTTATTGCAAATCCGACCAATAGGTTAGATATAAAAATAATTACTGAATAGGTAATAGATTTTAGTAAAATTCATCACATGTAACAAAAAACGACAAATTCATTTTATAATATAAAACGAAATACATACAAATAATTCCTCCTTAAAAGAGGTAAAGTTGGCAGCACGATTTTTATCCATAATAAATAATAGTTATTGTTCTTTAACAATATTAAATTGTTTTAAAGCACCCTTTCGCACAGATTAAAAACTTTTTAAAACAGCACAGATAAACAAAACTCCAAAAGTAAACACAAAATCCTCTTGTCAAAATGACAGTTTTAACTACTATTAATGTAGGCGTATAGTAAGTTCGGTTGTACCAACTTAACGTTGACACCGCTGATCTAAGTTCAACAGAACTGCTGTTGAGTCGACATTGAAAAACTCATTTGACTGTGAACTGAGTTCATTAACTGATCTAAGTTCCCCTGAACCAAGGTTTAAACCCTAATTGAAAAACCGGCCCTAAGTAATACAGCAAACATCCAATCCATTAATATATTTTTATTTGTCCAATAGTCCACTAAATTTAAATAATAATAGTTCACTGGGCAAGTTTTTTCCCTATAATCCTGGGTTAAAACCCTATCCTAGATAGGTATCTCTTTTATCTATGAACCCTATATTTATTGTTTTTAGATTGAACAAAACTGATTAGACTGGTCAACAACTTTTCTAGGGTAATTTGCTTGCGCCGAATCCAAAAATTACGCGTAATTAACCCTTGTTTTCAAGATATTTCGGAAAAAAACATTTTCTTTGACATGCAAAGTGCATTGCAAACTTAAAAATTTGTATTTGTAAATATGCAGTATGTCTACGGATGGACTTAACTATTGTAAAAATATTTATTTTCAATTTTTCAAAAAAAAGTCACTCATAATTTCTTCTGCTTGTTATATAAATACGATTCGCGTTGAGAAACATCCATTTTGTTGTACAGGGTGAGCAAATATACTGATTTCCAAAATTAAAAATTTTTAAATATTTTTTTTTGAAGCGCTAATAGGTATAAAGAGCTGGTAAGGAGAAATCAAAAAGTCAAATGAAGTTTTCATATGAGTTTTTGATACTAATTTATTTGATATTGAAAATTTAAGATATTAATTTTCAAATTTTACAAATAATTGTAGACATTGAAGACATATCAACTGAAAGCAACAACCTTGATTCATAATCACAAAATGAGATAGCAGTCAATTTCTACAAAATAATAGGACCACTCAAGTTAGGACCTGAATTGATTTTATTTTTAATAACAAATATCTTGGTAACAACTCACATGAAAAAACTTTATTTGGCTTTTTGGTTTCTCCTTACAAGCTCTTCATATTAGATCTCCAAAAAATATATTTAACAATTTTTAATTTTGCAAAATCTACAATTGTATTTTTTTTTGCGCACCCTGTATAACAAAATAGAAGTATCTCATCGTGAATGACATTTCTTCAAAAAATTTAAAATAATTTTTTTTACTAGTATAGTTATAACTTATAACTTATAAGTTCATCTGTGGCACTCTGTATATTTTGTTAATCATAATTTTTAGCCTAAATTTGACAATTTTAAAAATTTAAAATGTATGTATCTTCAACTATCTTCTTTATGGTGTTAAAATTTAACACAATCAAATAAAAATTGGCAAAATGGCACTAAAAACACCGCGCGTGTCAAAATTTATATTTTCGATAATTTTTGCTCCTAGCGCTTGTACGACTCTTTAAATAAATTCTGTAAGCAATAATGAAATAAAATGTGTAATTACATATCTCCGGATTAAAAAAACAATGACACTGTCTAACCAAATGTTAAAAAAAAATATTTAAAACGTTCTTGCACGAGTCACTATAGTATAAATTTTGACACGTGCGGTTGTTTTTTAAAGGTTTTATAAGTAGCTCAGGCTCAAGCGGATGTGGCTATATAAAATATTATAGACACGTCCGACGTGGTTGTATAAACTGCCCTAAATTTTAGGGCCCAAAACTATAAAATTGTTTTATTTCCACCTTCTTAGTAAATGACATTTTATAGGTTAATTTTGTTGTTTTTGTATTACGGGAACAGACCTGTAATATTTTACTTGTATAAACGACCTGTAAAGTTTTACAGGCTTGTAGAAAAGCAATTTATGAAATGAATGCATACATTTGACACATTAATTGAAATTTTAAATTTGAAATTCGTTATCTAAAGGTGAAAATAAAAGTTTGTACGTGTCACGCTTTGCAATTGAACCATAGAAAAAGTATATTGAACTTTACTAGGCTCACTGGATTATAGGGTTTGCTCCTGCGTCGCTCACCCCACTAACTTCTAGCTTGCCAACTTGTAAAGATTTATTTACAAAGCTTGACATGTAAATAACTAAAATTGGATTGTTATTCAACTAATTATCTAATTTTTTGATTTTTTATATAAATTAGAACCAATATAATTTTCTATCCACTACTGTTAGACATTACCACATGTATTATTTCTTTATAAGGTTCAATGGTGTATGGAGGTATTATGTTTTGGTTTATCCTTACCACTGTCTGAACATGAAACTATTAAAGATTGTGTAAATGTTTATTGTGAATGGTTGTCAGCTTTGCTACCCAGTCCCAAGATATGTGTACCGAAACCAATTGTGGATGATCCAAATATATATGCTAGGAAAATTATATCACATCTACATTATTTATTTATACCTAGAAAGGGCGAAGGTAAGTTGCTTTGAATTAATTAATTGTATGCTCAATTGTATTCTTTCCTTACAAGACTGGCCATTTTTGTATCAGGAAATAGGTAGAAGTTAAGCTTTAGGCAAAGAATATTTTGTAATATTTTATTTTATTAGGTATTGATACAATCAATAGACAGGCAGTATTATGTCATAGGGTTCTTAGAACCCTGCAACAAATTGCACATGAGTCCAAGCAACTGGAACGTGAAACTTGGGAAGCTCTATTATTATTTTTACTAGCAATAAATGATACCTTATTAGCTCCACCAACTGTTAAGGATGATGTGGCTGATCAACTTTGCGAAAGGGTTTTAAGTGTTTTATTTGAGGTATGAAACTAGCTTAATGTCCAGTAAATTCCCCTGAACCCTTGAAAAAATAGGTTTATTTTGTTTAATTTTTAATAGTTAACTAAATTATTTTAAGGTTCATGGAAAAAGTGCTCTGATAATTCATATAGTAATATATCATATACATATATATGTATATACAGGGTATATCCTTCTATACCTATATAGATATATTTTTTATTTAGCTACAAATTTGTTTAACTTGGAGAAAGTTTCGTTATTAAAAGGCTATCCATTTTAAAATTTAAAAAATTAGAAAAAAGGTCTCAAATAATTTGAAAAAAAACTGAAAACCTTTCAAAACCAAAAATCGTTAAGGGAATTTTGAAAAAAGTAAGTTTCACATGTAAACGTACACATTTATCTACATTTTTATAAAATTTGTGATTTTTTTGCATAGATTATGAGTTACCACCACCATCTTTTGTCTTTCCTATGGCCATATATTAGAATTTTACATGGTTAGATAGAAAACAAAATCAAGGAATTCAACAATGTATTAAACTACATGAGTAAGGGCGTCCATTATAAAACAAAATATGGTGATGGTAACTCAAAATATAGTAGCAAAGAAATTGGATGAAAATGTAGACTAAGGTGTATGTTTACATGTAAAACCTACTTTTTTCAAAATTCCAGGAATAACGAAGTCATAACGATTTTTGGTTTTAAAAGGTTTTTCGTTTTTCTCAAATATTTTGAAAACCGCTGGATTTTTTTCGATTTTATAAATTTTATTATAATGGGCTTGTAATTACGCAATTTTTTTTCTAATTTCACCGACCTTGTAGCTCTTTAAATAAAAAAATACCCATAATAGATTAGATCTAGATCTTTTTTAAAACATAATAATACCTTTCTTTTTTTAAACATAATAATAACACGATAACTAAAAGCGATGTTTTTTGTAACAAACTTTCGTAAAAAATATTTTTCTATGTAGAGGGGGTGGAATATTCGATTTTTTCGAAATCAATTTAGTAAAAATATTAATCTTTGAGGCAAAAAATTATGTGCAAAAAAACAATTTTTGGTTGTCCTGCAATGGAAAATATTTTTTACGAAAGTTTGTTACAAAAAACATCCCTTTTAATTATCGTGTTACTATTATGTTTTAAAAAAGAAAGGTTACCTAATCAAAATATTTTGTATACTCAAAATAACCTCCCCTATTGCTTGGTAGGCACCAGTGTGGACCCTGTACAAATATTCCTGTTTTGAAGTATAAACTGCTTTGTACCTTAAAATGCCAATGCTATTTGTTCAGCAGATTTCAACCATAAATAGTGATTGGGTCATAATATTATGACCATATGCCATATGGCATTTTTTAAGATTATTTTTTAAATTACAATATTTTGTAGATTTGGTTGATTGCTTGTGCACAATGTTTCCCGTCTCCACCATTGTGGAAAACATTAAGGGAATGTTGTATGAATTGGAGACACAGGGTCGCCTTGATTGAGCAATGGAATAGAGTTAATTTAGCTTTGACATCTAAAGTTTTGGTGTTTATGTATGGGCCAAATTTTCCCGAATTGAAAATTGGTAAGATAATTTAAAAAGGATGTTGAAAAAGAAAATCGACCTGACGACCGACACAGATTATAGCTGTAAAGTGTGTTGAAGGATTTCTTGCTACATGCTTTTTGACCCTTGCATTCTAAATCAATTTTTAAACAGTTTTCGATTGTAAGGTCGATTTTCTCGCTCCACATTACATTTATTTATTCTTTTTTACTAAAAAATAAAATGAAAAATAACCATTTACAGGGGAGGATGACATCATACCATATGGTATGAGCAATGATTGTATAGCCCAAAGTTGGTACAGATTTTTAAACACCATAGGAAACCCTGTTAATTTAACCAAACCAGGGGTAAGTTTTTTTAATTTGTTTTAGAGGTATATTAATGTTTTTATTAGGTTATAAGCCAAACACAAAAGTTTCTGCAATTTGCCATTAGCACAGATGGCGTTGTCGACCCCTCTCAACACCCTTGTCTACAAACTTTGCCTTTAATATTTTTAAAGGCCATTAAAGGCATTGCTGGTCAAGTTGATGCCTTCTTGGGTAAGTAATTTGCCTATTTTCATTTCTATATTATTAAATTAATCTGAATCCTTTATTTAGTCAAATTTTGGATAAAAACATTGTACTTTTCATTTTCCATACTAAATGATCAAGGTAGTAAATAGTCTATGTATTTTTGTATTGTACACTATTGGTTAAAAGTAGAACAATATTTTAAAATGTTTAAAAGTATAATTTTACATATTTAAAAGCAGTCAAATAATTATTAGAAATTTTATCAAATAAATGATTTTAAAACTCTAAGCAATGATTCCTAAACTCAGTTACAATATTTTAATTTAGACTGGATACTAATTTACCAAATACCTGAGGAATGATATTGTAGACAATTATTATTAGGTTCAATGGCAATATATTGTAATTTTTTTACCTCAAATTGTGATTTGATTGTATATTTTAACAAAATATTGTTTTTTTACTTGTGCAATATAACAATGTAACAAATATTAAAGAACCTATTTTTCGGCACAAAGATTCCAATAGGCTCAGTAAAAACTATGTTTTAATAACTTACAAACCGTTTATCGCACATATATATGCAAAGAAACGCAACATTTTTTTGTAAACTGATTTTCTCCCTTCTTTCCCCTTTTGCAATATTTTTTACTAAATTCTCTTTTGTGTGGGACTGGAAAATCTCGAAGTCGCGTTTTTTCTTTAATTATACAACAATTGCGTTTAAAATAGACATATTTTTAAATCACTTTAGTTTTTTGGTGACAGCCATAAAGTTAAAATGTTATTTTTTAAGAAACGTTGAAATGTTGTATATTGTCCAGCCTACACTGGACCAAATTACTTACGTAAAATGTAATTTTATAGGAAGTTTCTAAAGGTAAAATTGGAAATATTTGTTTAAAAAATAACACAAAAGGGTTAAAAAATGGGAAAATCATTTACCAAAAAAATGGTTGAGTTTTTTTAAGTGTATTTAAGCAACAGCTCAACGGAGGGCAAAATAGGTATTATAAAAAATGTAGCTTTAAATTACCAGTATTTTAAGACTTATATTTTTAAAAACGGGGCTTGTTCGGATCAATACGTAAACCAGAATACATACTATAATAGTATTACTATTCAATTTATGCTCTTGATTAAAAAAATAAAATTCCAACCAGTATAAAAGTATTGACTTCCCTACATAAAATCTTACTCTTTGACTGGCCTTTAATAGAACATATGATGTTTGTCATATTTAAACAATTTTTCAGTTGCTCCACTTTTAACAATAATGTACGTTTTCATTGTTTCTATTTAAATTAGAAACGTTCTTATTGTCTATAAAAATAGTGTTGATTTTTGTACAGTATGTCGTTGATAAGTGTAAGTTTGTTTGTTTGTCTGTCTGTTCGGATGATGCGTACGCAGGTCTAGCGCAACCGATCTGGTGGGACTCGGTGGTGACAGGTAGCAGCACGGACAAGCTGAAGGAGGCCTCCCCTTCAGTCACGCACTCGCCCACGCCTCCCACGCAGAGGAGGCTCGCTAAGAGCTTTAGTGTTGCACCAACTTCCAATCACAAGGGTATCTTACGTTCTATCTTTCATTTTCATTTCATCGTTTCAATCTTGCAGTTGTAATTTAAATTAGAGAAACTAAATTCGGTTAAATATTATACCATAATATATTGATGAATTCTATAAAATTTCAGGAACATTATAATACTTTTATAATTGTAACTTTTTTATTAAAAACTATGTAATTTGGTATAGCAATCTAAAGCATTTAAAAAGTAACAGTATTATGTTGTATGGATATTATTATATTGTCACAAACGCGCTCCGAGAAAAGGGTTCCAACGGTAATTTTAGAGGAGGAAGGAATAACACAGCCACACAAAAAAAGAAAAGTATCTTTATCTGGGGACGAGACGCATGGGTTTAGCGATTTTGACGTTATTTTTGAGGTTAGGGCTAAACCAATGGGCCAATTCTAATAGCGGATTCGAATTCAGTGCGTAGGAATATATGCGTGTCGTCCCCAGATTTTTTGTGTGGCTTTGTAATTGAAGAGTTATAATTTTTTTACGTGTTATAAAAACATTATCAGCGTATTTTAGTATGAAGTTCCTAACATTATTTTAAAAAAATTCTTAGAAAAGTCTAATGGGAATTTGTCAAATATTCTAAGAATATTTCCTTGTGAATGTTCCAAGAATATTTGGTACCTAGTAGATACCGAAATGAACATGCTTTTTTATTTATCAATTTTTCTTTGTAAATTACCAATTTAAGAAAAATCATAAAAAAAATTTAAAAAAAGGACTTGAACTTTTATTAATCTCACCGATTCAGTTAGACTAAATAAAAATGGAACAATTGAATATTAGTAGCATATTGTCGGTATGATTATTACAAGAATATTAGGATTATTCTCAAACTATTAAGTAGATTTAGAGAATATTCTTAGAATATCCCGTGCTGTTTGGGTTAAGAACAAGAAAAATTTCCTCGATTTTCAAACGATTCGAATACTTTAAAGAATATTAAACATAGAAACCATGCTAGAAGCAGATGTTGGATTCATTCGTAATTCTTGACACATCTGTTAGTCACGATCTCTCTTCAAGGTCATCGAAGCATTTTTAATCTTGCGGTGTTCAAAACGCTGTAGCTTTCTCAAAAATTGTTTAAAAAACGAGAACAAAAATTTCATGTCCCAACCCCATTGTTAAAAGTAATAATAATTAAAATTACTAATTATTGTAGATACGGGGGTATAGCTTAGCACGGCATTATGCTGATTAATTAACTGAATTTCAGGGTCTATATGTAATTTTTGAAAAAAACGTAAATTTATTTCGATAGATTCGGCTTTTGTACACTTGATGCCATAACCAGCTCATTTTTTCATATACTCACCACAACTGTTTTTAAATAAAAAAAAATCATCGACAGAAGTACCTACCGATACTAACCACAGTTAAACAACTGGCCGACAGTCCATCGACTTCAACCGCTTACACGTTAGGAAGGTCATGGCAAACTTATTACATGATACCCTGTATAATGTAAAGTCACGTGATTATACCTATCAAAACTACACTTAATTTCAAACGCACTTCAGGTAGGTTAATTAATCTATAACGATCATAATCCTAATTTATCATAATCATAGTTTTAGAGGAGAAAGGAACCTTTTCTCGGAGCCCGTCACATATTATGTATTATAAGTTTCTAAAATTTTAATGAAAAACGTTAAGAATATAACATAATTATAATTTTTAATGTATTTATTGCTTAAGGGTGTATTATATTAGTATACAATTAGTTATTCTATTTCTATAAATTGGCATTACTATTCGTTTCTAAGCACAAAATTTACGATTCTATTACGCTAAATATTTAGTAGTCACACGTAAAATACAATGTATATTGCACTTTTTTACCTATTTAGAAAATTTATAGGTTTAAAATGTTGTTGATTATTCGTCAAAAACTTTTATTATTTCAATTTTGTAAGGTGTCCCAAAATCAACTCTTATAAGCCTAACTACAAGCAGAAGTTCTGCTATACCTGTGTCGACACCAAGTTCTGGACCAAGTTCTACATCAAGTATATCTTGTAAGTAGCGTTTAATATTTTATTAATTCCTTCAATTTTTATTTTCAATTAAAAAAACTAGTTGACGGTAGCCATTTCAAATCTTTTCGCTAGCTTTTAAAACTGCCGAGATAAGATAAGCGAGATGCCCAGGCTTAGAGGCCTATTCCCTTTCATTGAACATATTTGCCTATTCCCTTTCGTTGAACATATTTGCCTATTCCCTTTCAATTATTAAAAGTACAAAAAGTATAAAAACTAATAAAATATGCATCTAAAAATTTATCTCAAATTTTTTCTTCAAATTGGAGCTAAATTTTTGTTTAATTTTATAATCTCTTCTGGGTTTTATCAATACCTTTTAAAACCTCTACACCTTTGCTACTCATCAGAGTTTGAATTGGACTTTGTCTTGGCCTCTTTTTGCCTCTCTGTTGTAGAAGGTGCCCTTCCACACAGCCTGGACCATAAACGCTGGCCAATGCAGAGTTCAAAAGATGGTAGTCCCTCCACAATTAACTTCCCTGTAAGGTCTAGTAATTTATCCTCCCATGTCGTTGTTTTATTGACTCCCCGACATTGCCAGTCTCCATGTGAGAAATGCGTAGTTTCCTTGCCCTTTTCCTTAATCACTAAAAGTCTGTGTAAAAATAAGTGACAAATAATTATTTTAAGATATTCTTAGATTACCCTTTTCCATTTAAGGATAGATTTAATGGCCCCAACAGAAGATCGGTTTTTTGGCTAGTTTAGAATGAAACGTTTTTTCCAAATATTTTTAGAATTTGTGGAAGTTGTTTTTAAGTTCCTTTAATATATTAAATATCACCAATGATTTTTAAAATAATTATTTAACACTTTTTTAACATTTAGGTTTACGATCTGCTACTTTTAGTCTATAAAACTAAGATACTCTCTGTCCTAGAAACATTTATCGCTGTTCAGAAAGATTCAAGGTAAAGCCTTTAAACATAATATTATTCTAAACGGAAAACCCTTTAACATAGGTGATGTTTGGGTTGTCGGGTGAATATTAAGAAATCGATGTTTATGAACAGGAAGAAAGGGAATAGGCCTGCCTCTTGGCTTCGAAAACGGACCCTTTATAACTTTTTTAATAAATATATTTTAACTAAATATTCATTTTGAAGCCTTGACCTCTTTTGGTCCGGACTCCAAAACCCCTTTGGCCCCTGGACGTCCAAAATGCAACAGCATATTTCATCTATTTGGCGAATGGCTCTTCGAAGCTGCTTTTATCGGATGTGATTTGCCGCAAAGTAAAATTACAATAAAACGAAAATCCTTAAATTTACATTAAACGTTTTTTAGAACAACACGATCTGAAACGCCCCAACTCCATCGTGATGGACAGCAAATCGTCGCTAAATTACTCGCAACCGGGTTCTTTAAACGACTCCGGGGAGTTCAACTCGAATCTGCCGATCGAACGTTACGAGTCCGGCCGAGCCGAAGCATTGGGCGCCCTCTGTCGGATCATGTGCGCTAAGAAAACGGGGGAAGAGATTTTGTCAGTTTACCTGGCTAGATTTTACTTGGCGGTGTCGCAGGGCCTAAAGCTCAACTCGTATAGAGAATGCGGAGAGACTACGGTTGCTATATTGCTTAATTCCGCTGATTTGTTCAGGTAAAACCTAAATAGAATTACAAAGTAACCTAAATATTCTTTTCGTCGTTTTTTACAAAATTTTCTAGGTATGTATGTTAAATAAAAAATAGTGGTAAACATGTCACTGGAAGGTTAAACTGCAAACTTAGGATATCGACTTAAGCGTGATAATGGTACATATGGATATCCATTAATTACGTGAGATAAAAATAGGGGGGGAGGGGTCTAGCAAAATCTCACAAAATCTTTTGGGTTTAAAGAATATGTATTATAATTCAAATTTGTCAAAAAAAGTAATCAATTTTTATTTTTTGGGTTTATCATGTTGTCCGCAAAGAAAGTTTAATGGCTAGAATCTCACGTGAGGGATAGGGGGGGGGTCTACCACATCTCACCAAATCTCACCAAGGGGGAGGGAGGGGTCCAAATTATCAGAAAAATGCCTCACGTAATTAATGGATGTCCCCTAAACTATCTTAAGAATGGAGTAGACATTTTTCAAGTGAGCCCATGATTTTCGACTTTGTCATGAAAATTAAAAATAAATATTAAAAAAACTACTAAGTAGTAGAAAGTCACCACATACAATTTTTTGAAAAACTTTATTCGTTTATTTACAATTTATAAAAAATTAATGAAAATTTGTGAGAATATAACATTTTCAAAAACCCTCTATTATTTTTGTTCTACTTTTTTAATCTTTTTAATTAAAAAATTGCTAATTTGGCCCTGTTCGTCCTAAGAAAATTGAAAAAAATAATAGGTAAAAGAAGCCAGGGGCGGCTCGTCGTATAAAGCAACTGAGGCCGGGCCTCACATGTTAAAATTATAATATAATGTGAAATTTTCGATATACCTATTACTTATTTAAATATAAAATGTTTTTAAACTATTTTCCAGTCATTAAAAGTATCAAAACATTGAATAACCATCAAAGTTTAAAATATTTCCTTTAAATTTAGCGCGCACCCCTTCCAACTTTAATTCTAAACGCTTAAATCATTGCCCGACCGCATAATAGGGATCCCAGAAATTTGGGCTTCCTATACGTCACACATTGCCAATCGGACTTGAGGATTGATCACAAAAATGCGGTTTCTTAATCTTCTTTTATCTTTTTAAATTTTCTTAGGGAGAACAGAGCCAAATTAGCTTTTTTTGTTAAAAAAGAATAAAAAAGTAGCAAAAAAAATAATAGCAGCTTTTTGAAAATGTTAATTGCATTTATTTTTTACCATCCTAACAAATTTTTATTAATTTTTTGTAAATGGCTTACAAGAAAATAATTTTTAAATCAAATTATACATTGTGAATAATAACGAATAAAGTTTTTCCCGAAAATTGTATTTGGTAACTTAGTAGACTATGAATTAATATTTATTTTTAATTTTTATGACAACGTCGAAAATCATGGGCTCACTTGGCAAATTTCTACTCAATGTCAACTTTGTTGATATAAAGCAGACTTCTCAATAAGAAGATATATAAAGCTATCTCAAGAATGTATATAGATTTAACTATACAGGATTGAGTTACAAAGAGGAATTTTTTTTATTTTGTAGTGTTTTTCCATATTAAACTAAATGTTTGCTACTTTAAATAATTTTTAATTATTGTATTTGTTATAGGCTTGATTTAGATGGCGTCAGAGTACTTATACCAGCTTTTATATCAGCATTAGAGTTGGTATTGCCCAACAAAGATTTAAAAGTGCCACCTGGCGTCAACAAAGTTGAACTAAGAAGAGCTTCCATCCACTTACTTTTATCAATGCTTGTTTTACCTTTGCATTTTCAAAATGTTCCAATCAAGGAATTAATTAACACAGGTAAATAAAAACATTAGCAGTATGTTTTTTACACAAATGTTTAAACAATACTTATAATATACTATTACCATACCATACAGTTATTAGGAGGATCGTTTAAAAGCTCGGTCTGAAACAAAGATGTCGCTATAGTATGATCAAACATGAAAGTCCCAAAGCGTTATTAAATCTTTAATAGAAAAACTTTTGAGATTTCATTCTTGATTGCTGATTTTCCTGAAACTTCATAGAATGCCATTTAAAGTTTTCTTTCATAAAATATATATTAATACGATATATCACACACATGCTATTGGGCGGTTTATTTTTGTGCGTTCAGGATTCGTATATATCAATTTTTAACTATAGTATACTATAAACCTCAGTAATTTGAAAAAAACTTACTCCAGTAGTTACAACAAATTTAAGGCAATTACACAGATATGTCTCTATGTGTCTGGGCAATTAGTACTTTTAAATTGATGTTTCAATACATAATAATGACATAAAAAGTACTTTTATAAGCAACTAGTACAAGTACTTTAAAAGGCAATTTTTTGTTGTTATGATAATATTTTTAAGAAAAATGTTACTGAAATGGGTTTATATGTATAATAATATTACTGTTTCCTAGGTAACGCTGATAAACACTTGACATTTGGCCAATTAAAATCGAAGATGATGAACCTTCTGACCAATGGATTGCAAGTTGAATCCGATCCGGTCAACACACACATGCTATTGGGCGGTTTATTTTTGTGCGTTCAGGATTCGGCTATTTTCGAGAAAGTCGAACAAATTCAACAGCAACCCACAGATACGTCGTCAAATTTGTTGAGTTCCGGTAAGTACCAGTAATCCTAAGCTTTTCAGTGCACTAGTTTTTAAGATTTTAAGGGCTAGCTATTTTAAATGGACTTAATTTTTTATCTCAAAAAATACACCGTTCATTTTTTTACACTAATACCTATTTTAACATAAAATGGGTTTTGCATATAAATTTATTTAGATCCATATGGGGTATTTCCAAATCGTAAGTTTTAAAGGGCATTTTTATTTGGCTGAAATTTTTACCAGTGGCGGCTCGTCAGAGTCGAGGGTTAGATATGTTTTCATTAAGAAAGATAGAACCGCGATTGCGGCGTTGCCAAAATACCATTATACAATATGAACTTGGCGACGAAAAAATCAAACTGAAACTAACTTCAGCACGTACTCTTATAGAGATCCTATGTGTGAAAATACAAAATTGCTCTTTTAGTTCACCCTTACTTCCTAAGATGTCCCAGAAGCCAACTGAAAGGCTTGTGCGGGTTAGGGGTAGGAACGGACCGCGGGCTTAAAGTACCCTCCGAAGGACTATTACATAATAGGACAAACACAAATAAACAGCCATACCCCTGGTGGCGAATAATTTAAAATAGTTGTATGTCAAGAGTTATGGGAGAGTTATTGGGGTAATGAAAAAATAAAAATTTCAGTCAAATAAAAACGGTAAATTTGCCATGCCAAAACACTGTGTCAAAAGTTATCTGTTCACCATAGCTAACTATGTTATTAATGAAACTACAAGTCGGTAGTACAATTGGCAAATTTTCTCCAATTTTCACAATAAACATTTTTTTAAATGACATCCTGAATATTTTTACATTTTTTAAAAGAAGATTTAATTAGAATAAAATCGTTTTTGCACTACTACCCTTGGGCAATGCCTGAGAGTACTGTCAAATAAATAAAATCATACAGGTAACCTTAGAAATAAGTTATTTCAAATACTTAACATAATTAAACTCTAAATCTGTCACTTCAAAATTGTTTATAATAAAATAGTTATTTATCTTCAAGCGGTCTATAAAATAAAGTTTATTGTCGTAAACATCGAAGTTATTGCCCTAGTAGCAATTTGGAAAAAGCCTTGTGCCAGCATGGGTCAAGATACTTGGAACAGATTGTTGATCAAGAATTGTACAAGAATTGGTCCAGATTCTTGATCAAGATCATTGGGCAAGACTTGGGCCAGACTGTGGCAAGAATTTGTCAAGAATTTGACCAGAAGTCTGAGGCCATCTGTTACTAAACTTAGGGACTATCCTATAGAGTAGAGGTTCTCATTTTACACTACATAGTTTCATTCACAATACTCTGGTCGAGAAGTGTGTGTAAGAAAGAAGGATAAGGTGCGCCTTACTCTCTCTGTCTAAGGTGAACCGAACTTTGCCGAAGCTAAAATTTCCATAACGTGAAACATTTTCAGTCCCAAGGGCTAAAACTTCTAGCCGAAAACGAAATATTCTTCTAAATGTAAATAATAATTAATTCATAATTTCAGGTGATTAATTTATATGGTATAAAAAATTTGACGAATTTTTTTTGTGAATAGTTTAAAAAAATTTAAATTTTTCAAAAGTGTGATAATAATTTTTTCAATTTTTTCCACTAGTTACTCAATAATAATTTCAATAAATTTCATTTTTTAAAATAAAAAAATAACAATTTTTTTTCCCGGAGTTACTAATTTTTTTCAACACATTCGTTTATTACTGACAAGGTAAAAATAAAAAAATTCTAAAATTTTTGGAGGCATTATTTAACTCAACGCTAAACTGTAAAGAACTGACGTTTTTAAACTTATTGACTACATTATAATTGAGAACCACTGCAATGCTATACTTTTCACTTTCAAGTGAAAGTAGGGAAATAGGAGGCGCCAATAATAAAATAAGTACTTATATAAAAATATATAGGGTCTCAGTTAAAAAAAAATTATTTTTGTGAATATTTCGGAAATTACGTTCAATTATTTTCTGTTTAACACCAGTAAAGAAAATTTGCTAATGTAGAGCCAACATTAACTGTTTTATTATTTACTTAAAAAGAAATAGTGATTTATGTCATTGGGGAAAAGACTTCTTGGCCAAGTGGAATAAAACATTTTATCTTAAAGGCACATTTTTTTTGTTGGATACATAAAACGTACAATTAGAAAGTGAGGTTGGATAAGATCTAGAAGTCGATTTTTTTATTGGTCCAAAGTAGTAGGGTCTAAACTCTAGGCCATAATTTTATTTATTATTTATTTTTATTACACCTTTTTAATCTGTAAATATTACACACGTTTGAAAATTATTGCATAGCATTGCATTGTTAACGAACCATTTTAAAATTAAAATATAGACATTGGGAGTTGCTTGTTCATTTGTGGTAAAAACAGCATTTAATAACTTTTTATATTTCTCATTACTTTAATTTTACTTATTAAAATGTAAAATGATAAAGTTAAAATCATAAATTATGATATTTTTTACAATATATAGGTACAACAACAACAACAACACGTATCATTTAAGCCTAGGCTTGAAAGATGGTTGTAAACTTTACATTATTACAATATAAAACGAATATCATGAATTTAACTTTATCTACTTCTTTAATTAATTTCATTAACCCGGCAACGGACAGGTGACCAAAAGTTACGAGATCGGTCAGGTGGGGTCCAATGGACCCCAAATCTATCTGCGTGTATTTGGGGCCAAATTTAATTTTTAGGTATTTTTTGTTAAAAATTAATATCTTAGGATCATGTCAATTAAAACTATATCGATCATGGCTTAAATGTTTTTTATTAAAAAATATATATTTATAGTTTTCTTCAGATCTGCCTTTTTAGGCTTTTTTGTATAGGTATAGTATATTTTGTATTATTCTTAATTTGTAACTTTCATGCTAACAAAGTATTTTTCTTAAATTTTAGTTAAAGAAAACCCTGTAGATTTCGGAAATAAAATTACAGACATCTGCGTTAATAATAAATACAAAAATTCAGTACACTCATTTTTAGGAAAATATCATTTAATTTTTTTTTTAATAAAAACTAAAGTAAATCTGATTCATTACAAATACAATGAATATGCAAGGAAAAAAACAAAAACTTGGACACAAAATTCATTATAAAAGAACTAAAAACGAAATTAAAAATTATACAGCAAAAAATAATAATTGTATTCTTTTTCTTCATCTAGCTCTGCTCAAAGTTCTAAGAGACGCTTTTGTTCATTTTTGTAGGTGTTACAAGACATAATTATTAAAAACAAATATTGAATTGTGAATTTTGATCATATTTGTGATACATTATATCACAAATATGATCAAAATTCACAAAATGACCATCCAGAAAAGTTCTATAAAATTGTCACGTCAGGTGGGGTCTATTAGACCCCAGACGAGTTTAAAACGAGGTGCACTCGACGAAATCGCAATAACAACTAAACTGCGCTACGCATTAGCTAGAAGGATACCTAAGGGGAGGCTACTGAAACGCGTAGGCGCACAAGCACAAAAATATAGAAATAATGGCGCCTAATATTAACGTGGGGTCCATAAGACCATACCTGTTCGTTGCCGGGTTAATAAAACTTAAGTTAGAATATAATTTTACACTTATGTGTTGTGCATTTTTTTATAATTTTTTGAGTGTTTTTTTCGCTTTTTCATCCACCTATCCGCTTGTATCGTACAGCTTCGGACACGGCAAGTACCGTTAGCATGGCTAGCAGTAATGGCCGCAGCACTACGCCAGATCATTCAGGATCACTCGATTATGATCCACATCTGTTGCCGCTAGGTACGTTTTTTGTTGTTTTTTTTTTGTGTTTTTAGTTTTATTTTGCACTTTTTTATGTTTTAATTGATTAACTGGTTGTTATAATAACATTGTCTTGTGTAGGGTGTCTCAATTTAAATTCAAAAAATCTTTTATTTATTTGTTCTATTTTTAAAATATATATCTACACTTTTGAGTCGAATTTTATGAAAAGAATAATACTGCATTAATGTATACAAAATTAAAGGACTTAAATAAATAAAAAAATACTTAAACTCTTATTTGACTGACAGCTCTGTGAGACACCCTGTATGCAATATACTAATTAATTGTATACAGTATCATGTTATTTGGTTACAATACCAAAAATTGTATTGGACATGATGATTATAGATTCTGCGCATGCTCTGTTCGTCAGAGCCACCTACCTCGTGTGTCATCGCTTGATTTCGTCATGGAAAACGGACCTAAACATATCCTTGGCCGCCTTGGAATTGTTATCTGGTCTTGCCAGGATAAATAAACAACGATACGGTACGTAATTTATTTATTTTATCTACACAAATTAAATAAAAACATAACCAAAAAAGACTTGGCCGCATTAAAATTATCAAAATATATGTATATGTTTATTTTTTTCATTATCATTCATTTATTTTTAATAATTATTAAACTATTTTCTATGCAGCTAGAAAACTTACAGGTTCGTCTATAATTTTATTTTAATAAAAACATGAAGAAATTGAATCACTATCTAGGGTGTTTGAGAAAAATAAACCTTTGAAAGTGGAAAGATTTATTATTCATTAGCAGTTCTCGTTAGATCTCGGACGCTATAACCCTAATAATTAGATTGTTGTTATTGCGCATGCGATAGTAGTCCGAGAACTGAAAATAACTGCTTGATGAAACTAACCTCACAGAACATAAGACTATAGTCTAACAGCGGTTCTCAAACTTTTTTTTCGCGTACCATTCATGTGCAGTGTGGATTAATCGAGTACCACCGAACTAAGTAAAACAAGTTGTGCTGCGTGTACGTATTTACAAGAAATATTGATAACCGTGAAACAGAACCAATTTTTATACTATTAAAACAACAATTTGTCAGAACAAAACAAAATACGCATGACTCGTCACGATTTTAAAACAAGCAGGGGATTACCCGTTTAATAAACACCAATAACAGTGTTGCCATTTACAATATAAAATGTGGAAATGATAGATTATCAATAAAATTGAGCCAACGATAATTTTATTTGAAGGCAAGTACATCTATTATCTATTCCCGTACCACCTTTGGATGCCTCACGTACCACTTGTGGTACGCGTACCACAGTTTGAGAACCGCTGGTATATAACCTATTATAAATACAATGTTCCTATCAATATATTTACGATGTGGCTCCCGTTCCGAGGCGGGACTTAACTTCGATCCCGACTGACGTCACACACTGTAAATCCGTTTTTATTCCCCGAGCTTTAAAAATTGGTGTCAAGCTGGATGGCTCAGATGGTAGGGCGGTCGCTTGGCATGCGAGAGGTACCTGGTTCGATTATACTAGAAGTTGTCAAACTTTTTTTATTTTATAAATTTGTTGTTTCTTTGTTAAAAAGTGTTGGGTAGGGTTGGGTTGGGTTGGTTGGTTTGGTTGGTTTGTTTTAGTTTTATTGTAACATAACAAATCTTAAAATTATGACGTCAATCGGGACTGAACTTAAGTCCCGACGGGAGCCACAGCGATATATATAATAGGCATAAATCAATTTGAAATTATTTTTCCCACAAAATGGACATGCTGATATAAACTGCTTAGGCATTTTCGGAAACCTACTCGGGGAAGTGAGTCACGGACCGTGACCCTTGTAAATGAACCTGACGTATGTTTACTTTGATTCTTGTTCGTATACTTAAGTTTACGGGAAAAAATATTTGCGATCCCTTACCCATAGTGGCCCCCAGTATCATATAGGGCAAAATAATTTAACACGACAAAAACTTTTTGGATTTCAGGCAATATTAATTTTAGTTAAAATAAAATCGTTGCTGAATTTTCCATTATTATTTATATTTATACAATTTTAACACAAGTTTTGTTCGTTAATAACCTTTATTCTGTAAGTTAGTTGACAGTTGTCAAATCGTTAAAATAAAGTGCTTTTCTTGAAAAATAATAACTAAATGCAAAAATTATTTTATTATCAATACAAGAATAATTTTGTATTAAATAGTTTTTTGACACCAATATTTAAAAAGATTATATGGACGTTTGTACTGACCTTTTGATTTCGCCGTAGTAGTGCAGTTAACTAGATTTGTTAAAAAATATGCATACAGTGCCCAAAAACATTCTCTTCTCTTTTACTGTTCAAAACTGCTTCTATATCGATTATGAAAAGGTATTTTTGCCTCATTCTTGTTTGACTTGCACCATACTGGGGGACACGGTGCACCGCGGTGTACCCTGGGGTATAATTACTGGCCAGTAAATAAGGGATCGCAAATGTTTTTTCGCCATTATATTTTACTTATTCTTATTTCAATTTGTACTTTTCAGAATCGTAAAAACACAAATTATAAAGGTTTATGGTACATGTTTAACATGATTTAAATATTTTGTAACCCAGCACTCGTTTACTAAAGTGATCGTAAGTAACCTTACCTAGTTCTGGTCACGTTATTTATGTCACCCAGAGTATGTTTTCGAAAACGTCATTTGTCGTATTTAATTTAAGGGGCCGTCCATAAATATCGTGACGTTGGAGAGGGGAGGAAGGGTTTGAAGGACCGCCATCATTTGTCACGTCCAAGGGGAGAGGGTTTTTTAAACGCCACGTGATAAAGTAAATTGAATAAAATTGCTTATTTGTTATATTTTTAGTTGGATAAAGTACAAACAAAAAATCGGAAAAAATAATTTAGGTCAATTTTGACCATTTCTAGAGTCGCGAGATTTATGGGCGGTCCTAAGGAATCTTTTCACTGTTGAGGGTTGTTTATTTGTAAAACTCTCTTTTAAAAATAGTAAAAGACTAAAAATGGGGATCTCAACCCAAAATCTGACAGTTTGTTTATTTATACAGCGTGATTCAAAACATTTGTCGGAAAATGAAGGGTGTGTCTTGGCTAATTGTAAGAAATTTGTTTTATTAACATGCGTCCGGAAACGCCAATTTGTAACAGCAAATATTTTCTACACAAACTGAGTTAAAAAAATGGAAAAAATCTCCGGCACTGGCATGAGAAAAAATTGAATAAGCGCTAAAAAGTACCCAATATTAATGATGAGATGTGTACATAATCTGTATCTCAAACGGTTCCTGAGATATCGTTATGTTAATATAAAGTTTTTTTCTCAAAAAAAGCCATGGAGTTACACCCTTTAGTTTCCGACAAATATTTTGAAACATCCTTTATATTTAATTATTACATTTCTTAGATGCATTGGAGTGCAAAAGAACAGTTAAATGGCTATGCGACTACATTATTCAGCAATGTTCCAAACCTCCGCAAGCGCACTCCAAAGATCTACATTCCACCATTGTTGCCGCTTTTCAGTGTTGTTCCGTTTGGTTACTCGAACACCCCTATTTACTAAGAGATAAGGAATGCCTGACAACAGTAAGATATTTGAAATATTGTAAAATACTGTGAAGTAATTTAAAATATAATATGCGCATTATCTCAAGTGTTATCAGCTTTTTCTACTATTATTGCATAATTTTCATTGGGAAAATTAAAAAGAAATAAAGGAGAAATTAAAAAGTGGGGTATGATGTTTTTGTAATTGCAACCACCCAATCACAGTAAATAATGAAATCGGCCATTCACTGCCTTACAACTGAAATAATGAGTTCATTATTCCCGTTGTTAGGCAGAGCCGGTTATACTGGTAATCATTGTATGGGGGAAACAAATAATGTCAATATTATGCAGTGGGAGTAGAAAAAACATATTTTTCTACTACCTTAATGGAAAACTTAATTTTCCACCCCCGAGCGAGGGAGGAAAATGCCTCTTTTCCTCCCCGGGAGGAAAAAATATTTCCTCCCCGGGAGGAAAAAATATTTCCTCCCTCTATTTTTTTTAACAATTTTACATTAGCAAGAGTTTTGTACCTTGTCTAGCCTTATTTGATTTTGTACGAAAAAGATTTACTCCGCGCTTGTTCAACCATTCTTTGTTTAGTTTAGTGTTTTAGCAGTGTCAACGTTACAAAAAAAACACATGACTAGGTACATTCCTTTTTATATCGCTTTTTCGATTTTTGAGGAAGAAGATTAATTTAAACTACTCTTGCCTCCAGCAAGATCTTGCGGCAGGTCTTCTTCGCTAAAACTCATTTTTAAAACGTAGGAAGAATTTCAAATTTATGATAACCTGACAGCTTATAAAAACTGTTATGTTTGTTTTACCAAAAATACCATAGCAACAAAGCGTTGTCAACACAACGTCGGCGACGCAAAACCTACTTAATATTTTGTCATAATAATTAATACCGGATTAGTAAAAATAACCCTTAAAATGTCTTTAAAACCATTAAAAGGTAATAGAAAAAACCATATACATACCTCAGGAGGAAAATGCGTTTCCTCCCTTGAATATTTAATGCCCTTCGCTTCACGTCGGGCATCAAACTATTCACGGGAGGAAAAGCATTATTTTCCTCCTATGGTATGTAAATAGCTATTTCGTATAAGGGCAATAATTATTATTGTCTTTATTATTATTATTCTAAAAATGTACAAATTTTATTTTTTTATTATAATATAATTTCACCTACGGTGAGTATACCACGTTGTGGGGAGGTAAAATACAAAAAATGTTCTGACAAATAGAAAAATTATAACGCGATAGAAAAACAATAGAGTAATTGCATCAAAAATGAAAATCCCTAAAAACCTTTTTAATGTAATCTAGAGGTAAAAACACATTGCAAAAATATTTTTTTATATTCCAAAAGTTCAACCCGGCCCCAAAATATCAAATTAAAAAAAAGGTACTTTTCAAACGTTCCGAACTCCCGCCATATTGCATGACGTCATAAGCTCCAACTGTCAGAAATCAAGATGTCAACAAATAATAAACACCGATAAAGTTTATGTTTAACATGGAAAACGCGAAACCAAAAATTGGTTGTAAATATTGTTTTGTGCCTTGTTGTACAAATACAACCTGGAAAACTCCTGGGAAAGTTGTCCCTTCAATTATCAAAAGCAAAGTTTATGACCCTACACTGAGAGTAGTTACGGCTCAGCCGTATTTTCTTGGGTTTATTAATATTTAACATACCTATTCAAACCATATATATATACCTAGTAAACGACATTTTATTTTACTTACATTAAAATGATCCTTAAAATGATCAATAAAATGTTGACTGCGGTGACGATGTTTTGATATCGCGCCGAGCTATTTTAATCCACTTTATCCTTATTTTCCCTTTTGGCACGGTGATAAACCTTTTCCCAGGAGTTTTCCAGGTTGTATTTGCACAAGGCACAAAACAATATTTACAACCAATTTTTGGTTTCGCGTTTTCCATGTTAAACATAAACTTTATCGATGTTTATTATTTGTTGACATCTTGATTTCTGACAGTTGGAGCTTATGACGTCATGCAATATGGCGGGAGTTCGGAACGTTTGAAAAGTACCTTTTTTTCAATTTGATATTTTGGGCCGGGGTTGAACTTTTGGAATATAAAAAAATATTTTCGCAATGTGTTTTTACCTCTAGATTACAATAAAAAGGTTTTTAGGGATTTTCATTTTTGATGCAATTACTCTATTATTAAACGTATTTTTCTTAATAGGTTTTAGAAGTGGCGGAACTAGGAGTTTCCGGTACCAAATCGGTTGGTAAGCCTGGCGAAAGCGTTAAAATGAAGGAGGAAAAGGAGCTAAAACCAGCTTCGATGCGTGTTAGAGATGCAGCTGAAAATTTATTAACCTATATTTTAGAACAAGTTGGGTATTTTCCCAATGAATGTGGACCTGAGAGTATATCATCTTTGTTAGGTACGTTTTTATTGTTTAACTAAAAAATTGATGATTGATTATGTTTTTTTAGATGAGGTGTCACTTTTACAACACTGTAATACTTGGCCAACAAACTGCTCTGACCAATCAACTGCCGTTGAAAGGTTTCGTTATTTTGTCACTGAAGGTTCTGTAATGATTGCATTGTTAGAAGAACCCTTGGGAAATGACCAGGTAATAATGGACTTATTTTATTTCTGTTTTCTTTATACAAAAGTTTTAAACAACAAAAAATGCAACTTTAAAATATTTTCTTTAAAAATCACAATTTATTCCTAACATAATAATTATTAATGTTTCATGAATTACATTGTTTGTTGAATTAAAATGTTAAATTAATTGTTTATAATTTTGCGCTAGCGTATGCGGACGAATTTAGAATTTTCTACTATTTCTTTTTTAAAACAACTTATATCATTAGAAGCATGTGTAACGAACGGGGCTAAGGGGGATACTGTTATTATTTAGGAACGAATATTAAAACCACAAAAAACTACCTTTGGGAAAAATACATGATCGTCATAAATTAATTTAGGGCCCCTTTTTGTTGTGAATACGGTTCTGGATACGTAAGTACTAAACTGAAGTATTAAATTAAAAATAAGGAATTAGGAAAAACAATTTATACAAGAGTTATTATTATTGCCACTGTACATTAATAATATAAAAACATTTATATTTAAAAAGTATCATCGATTTAAGTAAATAAGGTAAAACCTTAAAAACCCACATATACAATCCAGACATGCAAATGTGTCGCACATCTCAATAATATAACACAGTATATGAATATAATCAATTGCTAAGAATATGCACCTACATAAATAATAGGCTTGAACGGGTAGAAAAGCAAATACCAATTGAAATAATAATCAGTCATAAACAACTATAAGAAATGGTAGTGGTAAATAAAATATATAAATAACAAGTGGTATAGTGGTGGACAAGAGTAAAGCAATAAAAGTGGTGTACAGTCATAAATGATAAATACAATCAGGTATGATAAAGTTATGAAAATATGTCAGTGCAAATCAAATGTAACAAAATAAAATGATTATCAATAATATTAAAATAAGGCAATGTCACAAAAACTCACATCACGGGCCCTACCTAGCATTCATTGTAAATGGGTTGATTGACTAGTAATTCCAGGCTCGACCCCTTTGACCTTATCAAAGCCGTTAAACAATAGAAAGAAAATATTAACGAATATTTATTGTGCAGAAATTGAAACAAAGTCTCAACATATTAAATAAAGAATATCAATTCATCAAATAAATAAAATAAGATAAACTGTACAAAATAAAGTATGTTAGATAGAAATATGGTATATATAAATGGTACATTACATTACAATATAATATGTTTAAGTTAAATGTAAATATTGGAATAATAAACATAAAATATTGATTATAATAAATATGTATTTTGGTTTGTCCAACCAAAACTCTTAAAATACAAATACAAGTCCAGATTATTCATTTAGCTACAAGGAACAAGATGAAATAATAAAATATTAACTAATTAACCCCTCAGTATGATATTTGTGACCTAAGATTATAATAGTTACCATAAACATACCTAGTTATTACACCACTATTTATAACATCAACAGATTTTACATTTAAACATTGAACTTTGTTATTAAAGAGTTAAATTCACTCCCTTATAAAAATTAAACTGTCTCCTTTAAACATCTAGTTGTAACTGTCTGAAATCTACTATCCTCTCTAGAATTTCTACACGCTTTTTTATGTTTATTTTAAGACTAGGAACTGTACCAACACTTGCTTATTTGGTATTTCTGTAACGACCCCTCAAGTGGTCGGCCAGATGAGAATAATAAATTACTATAGAATAATAAACAAAATAAAGACTGTATCGAATTCTAAAGTGAAAACTTATACCTAACTACTAAATGTTAAAAATTAACTGCCCCATATATCGTGTCCATTACACATGGCAAAGGGGTTTCCTAATTTTACGTTTTGACTGTAATCCACGAAATGATTTTGATTTAAACTAAAACTAATCTTTAGGATCCTCAACCGACAGTGACACTTCTTATCCGCGGACCGTTCGGCCGTCATGCGTGGACTTTGCAGCTACGTCACTTGCCACGCCACAGATCCGGTACCAAATACCATGCCCCCAATCCATGCAGACCTGTCGTAATGCAAGACACGCCAGTCAGACCTCAAGTCAAGCAAAAATACTTCCCTGACAGCGTGGAAAGAGTCACACACTGCAAAGTGTAAGCAAAAAATAACACCATGTGATAATGAATTCATGTATTGTTGTTTACAGTGATCAATCAATTCCAACAATAGAATCAGTAATAGCCAATGACGAATCGGTAAGCGGCGAAACTTCTCTACTTTCTCAACTGATTAACAGACAAAGCGTGGTGGAAAACAACATAGCAACCACACAATCGTCCGGTGTTTCCCCGGAATGCACGCCACCTCCAGTTTGTCACGACTTCCAAACGGCCCGCTTGTTTTTGTCGCATTTCGGACTTCTTTCGTTGGACGATAAAGAAGACAAATCGTCAGATGCCAATTTGGCAACGCTAGACAGCAGTGCCACGGATTTCTGCAAAGATTTGATGATGCTGGATAACATGAGCCCGAGAACGTGGGACACTGTGCACGTGTTTTACGTGAAGACTCAACAGACACAAGCCGCCAACATTGTCGACAATGTTTTGAATGAAAATTCGCTGTCGCCGTTTTTCCTCGAGTTTATACATTCCTTGGGGTGGCCCGTGGAAGTCAACAAACATCCAGGTAATATAATCATAATCATTTTATTTAATATATTTTCATGACACCTTTGATTTTTTTGCTAAAATTAGGCTCATTTCATATTTAAGCCTCAAAGGAGATATAATAATAGAAAACGCAAACTTTTTTATTTCCACTAGGTTTTTCAAAAGTATTTTCCTCCATACAAACCATGTCGACGTCGACATTCTAAAATGCATATAATGACGTTAATTTAATTTGCTGTCGGGTATTCTCTTAACCCATTTAGAATATAATTATATTTTAGGGTTCTTAAAAATTAAAAAATAGCATTTCAGTTTGCATGCCGAGCTTTTTGACGACACGTTGCGACGTCGTGAAGTCTACATTTAAGTCAACTTGAACGTCAATATCTTCAAATGCCTCTAATAATAATGATAATAATAATAATAATAGTAATTTATTTGAACAGAACAATACATTCCAAATAGAGAACATTAGGTTTCAAATATATATTTAGCAGTAGCTAATAAATAATTTGAGCTATTAAAAAACAAATCACATGAATGGCTTATTAAAGTGTAGTTGTAAGTTATAACATCATTTTCTTGAAAACAATTTAGGTCAATATGGCTTGCATTATGATTACTAGTATTTATAGTTATGATATTGCTGTCAGAAATCTTATAAACACTTTTAAAGAAGTTGGCAAAACCATCCACTATTTCTTCAGCCGACTCATGAGTTTTTGCTAAATCATCAATTTCAAAAAATGGAATTCGCGAGCCTCCTTTCTTCGATTGCCTAATTGTGTTAATTCGCAATGATTTTGCTTTGACAGTTAGGTTTTGTCGGTACAGCATGTCGAGCTTTTTGTAGACTGACAATAAAAATGGCCGTAAAGTGACCGATGTCGCCTATCGACATTTTTATCAACATTTGCGCCGATAAGGTTTGTAGGGCTCTTAAACAAGGGTTAAAAAATTAATATTACAAAAAATATACTGTAACCCTGATTACCTTTAATATATAGGTATTATACATATTAGGGTGTGTCATTTTTAAGCAACTTTTTTTTTCAACTAAAAAAGAAACCTCTAAAAATTTGAGTTTCTTAATATTAACATTAAGTTAGCATTAAGTAAGCCTGTTCCTAACTTTCCATTTTCCATTTAAATAACATGGAATTTTTTTTCTTTTTTCTTATTTTTGTAGCTTGACATTTGAGCATTGTAAAAACGAACTGAAAAATTATTTTGGAAGGAAATTGAACGCTCTACAAAAAAATTTCAATATATTTTTTCATAGAGTGAGCCGTTCTGAAGGTATTCAAACTTAAAGTTGCCTTTAACATTTCACATCGCGGCACGTTAGCGTGCCTCTAGTCACTGTGTAATCCGAACGGTAATATACCGACTGAGCCGATATAATCTTTTATCAAAGTTATCGACTTTAGTTGAGGTAAAATTATAAAAAATAAAGAAAGATTAAAATTTCAATGCAATAACAAATTCATTGTTTTATTTAATCTATTATAATTATTGAACAAATTTATTGAACACAAATAACTTTTTTTTGATAGTAAATAAAATAAAATAGAAAAAAATTGAGATGTATGTGTTATTTTTTTTCTATTCGAAAATAATTATTTTTTCTTAAAATAATTTTTAAGACATAAAAAAAGTATTAGTTTAATAAAATAAAAGTCGTAATTTTATACATTTGCAAGTTTGAATACCTTCAGAACGGCTTACTCTATGAAAAAATAAATTATAACTTTTTTCTAGAGCGTTCAATTTCCTACAAAAAAAATTTTTAGTTCGTTTTTAAAATGCATAAATGTCAAGCAACAAAAATAAGAAAAAAGAATTTTTTCCCATGTTATTTAAATGGAAAATGAGCTCAAATTTTTAGAGGCTTCTTTTTTCACCTTCCTGAAAGTTTTTAGCCTGTTTTTTAGTTGAAAAAAAAGTTGCTCAAAAATGACACACCCTAATACATATGTTAGGCTCAAAGACCAAAAACGCCTATCAAGCGAAAAAAACGACCACAATGCCATCCTGGCGCGCGGAATGGTTTTCAGGCACTGACTAAGCCCGCCTAAGCTACCTATATTAAAGTTTAGTTTAATAAAAAATTTCTAAAAAAGGTTGCTATAGAAACGAGGCATCTAGCATCTATTTGAAGTTAACATAGTTGAATGATGTATTTTTTTACAGTTTGTGTCACAAGTCCAAGACTACTTAGATTTTCAATATTGCCGATGTTTTTTGGATTGTGTTCCCAAACCATTAAATTTAAATATTTCAGAAGCAAAGCCCCAATTAAAAAACTTCCTTTAAATGTATTTTTTATTAAAAAATACAGTAAATAAGGCATTAGCCATTAGATTATACAAAACTGTCAAAAAATACATCATTCAACTATGTTAACTTCAAATAGATGCTATGAAATCAAGTAGTTTAGAAGTTATGATGGGAAAACTAGTTTTTTTCTTAACTTATCTGTATTAGAAAACATTTTTGAGTAATGTTTTTTAATAAAACTCTATCTTGTTTTTGATGCTCGTCACCTCTTAAAATTAATGACGAGCCATTCCATGCCAAATCAACACACTTTAAAAAGAAATTTTTCCTCACCATTTCAGATTTTCCTAAAATTTGGTATACTTATACTATGTACTAAGACTAAGAAAAATACCAATTTTTAAATTTTTATCTCACACCGTTTCCGATATATGGCTATGTAAAGTTTTTAAAAACTCGCGAAAAAAGTGTGAACGTTTATTTTTTAAATTGCGCTGGAAGCTGTCCTAATTTAGTTAGAAAGCTGGGAGAGGTGTCATTTTGCAGCATTTTAAATGCTCTTTCAAATGACATACGACTGCCAAGGGTATTAATGAAAAGATTTTGTTCAAAATCCATATATATATATTTTGATTCAATTTTTTTTCAAAAAGTACATAATTTAAAATTCTCAAAATATTTGTATAAATACTTAGTACTGTTTTAAACCATATGGTAAAATATAAATGTGGGGTCTTAATGGGTTCATGTAAAAAAAAAATATTTGTGATGCTGGTTTTTCACTTTTAACTAATTTTGACATTATTCAACGTTTATCAGGCTTAAGCTTGTCATATTAAGCCTGACAATTGTATTTTTTTTTATAATATCGGCTGTCATCATTCCCGACTTGTGTAATTTAATTACTGTGATACGCTTGTTTTGGCGATTCATATTGAACTAAATTTTAAACAAAACAACATAAAATGAATATTTTCAAAAATATAAGGGTTCTAAGAACCCTAATAATATCGGCTGCCTACATTCCCGACTTTTTTAATTCAATTACTGTGATACGCTTTTTTTGGCGATTCATATTGAACTAAATTTTAAACAGAACAACATAAAATGAATATTTTCAGAATTGAAAGGGTTCTAGGAACCTGCTCGAGCAAACAATTTCCGCGAAAACCTTATTGATAAATTTTAAACTCGCTTAAAAAAAAATTCAGGGAACTTTTATCGGACCCTGTATATATTCGTAGTTTATTTAAAAATAAAACTATAAATGAGGTGTGTTTAAAGTGATTTTGTTGTCAACATGGAGCCTACTATTGTAATAGTGCAGTGTTATAATCCAATGAAAAAAACAAATCATTTTATTAGAGACAGAAAAAAACTGAGAAAAGTCCCAGCATGGATGACTGGATTATTTCCACAAATGCCTATTGGCTCCATGATTTGTCATACCTGCAGGAAAGATGTAACGAAAATGTCAAAATTAGTTAAGTGAAAAACCAGCATCACAAATATTTTTTTTTAACATGAACCCATTAAGACCCCACATTTATATTTTACCATATGGTTTAAAACAGTACTAAGTATTTATACAAATATTTTGAGAATTTTAAATTATGTACTTTTTGAAAAAAAATTGAATCAAAATATATATATGGATTTTGAACAAAATCTTTTCATTAATACCCTTGGCGTTCGTATGTCATTTGAAAGAGCATTTAAAATGCTGCAAAATGACACCTCTCCCAGCGTTCTAGCTGAATTAGGACAGCTTCCAGAGCAATTTAAAAAATACACGTTCACACTTTTTTCGCGAGTTTTTAAAAACTTTACATAGCCATATATCGGAAACGGTGTGAGATAAAAATTTAAAAATTGGTATTTTTCTTAGTCTTAGTACATAGTATAAGTATATCAAATTTTAAGAAAATCTGAGGTGGTGTGGTAAAATGGGTGTGTTGAGTTGACATGGACTGACCCTGACGTTTAAACTAGACCACCCTGTATATACCTGGAAATTTATACTGTTCTATAATTTGATTTAACTAAGGATCCATGGATAGTTTACTTAGTTAGTACTGATCTAATTTTATTGAGGAATATGCCTTCTAAAAATGTTGGTTTAGTTTCCGAAAAAACAATTTCGTAAAAAAATTCTAAATTCCAATTTTTTTCGATTTATAACTTTTTAGAAGTGACTGGTGACACTGTTACATTGTTCAGGGTCCTGTTTTGGACCTACTCTTGTCCGCTTACCTATATTGTTTTGTTTAGGTTGGACTGGTCACATGTCGACCAGTTGGAAAGTGTCTCCAAATGCACAGGCCACACCTACACAACCATCAAGGTCTTATGATGGTTCGTCGCATGTTCTCTATTGGGCCGACGCATGCTCAGAAGTCGCCTTTGTCGTACCGTCTCATTTAAAATCCAAGGAGAGCCAATCGGATGCTTCGTCGTTTAATGCTAACAGTTTGTCATGTAAGACTTGATCTTCGAATTGACTATTGATTTTAAGTATTATTTTGTTTAATTTTAGCTTGGAGTGAAAGAAGTTTGTCTTCAGACAGCGGTGAAAGAAACAAAAGGACTTTAAGTTTGGATCTAGATAAACAACCTGTTGCACCTAAAAGGTCGGGTCCTAGATCTAGTATGTATACTTATACGAATACCAAAATTATGGTTGTTTGGCTTGAGAGCTTTGAGGATCATTTAACTCTTCCTGTGGGTAAGTTTAATTTTAAGTAGTATTATTTAGACTAATGTGTTGGGTTATCTTTACAACAAAGATTAATTGTACAGACTTTGATGTAAATTTTAGACCAAAATAATACGATATAACTAAATTTACCTATATAAAAATTAATAACCAAGATTAAAACCTTAGTGTTGTCACGTTTTAATAAAAATATTAATTTTTTCATCTTAATTACCCAAAAAAGGTACACCTTGTAAATGTCACTGCAAGTAATCATTTTCAATATATGCATTTAAATGGTTTAGTGCACCCCTTTTTATTGTGATTAATTTTTTAAAAACATAAAATTAAAAAAAAACAATGAGGAAGTTGAACAGTTACTAAATTTGTAGCGTCTCTAAATTTATTTTTTTAATTGTAACCTACTTAAAAAAATTTCAAATTACAATTAATTAAATGGATGCACTGAACAATTTAAGTGCAAATATCTTGAACAATTTTAATGCAAATATCTCGAAAACTCGCAGCTACATTTAAAAAGTGAACCTTTTTCACGTAATAAAGATATAAAAGTAATATTTTTATTAAAAACGTTAATTTACTAAGGCGCAAAAAATATGTGACCATTTAAACAGCGCCCTCTAAAATATACATTAGTTTAAAAAAAAATTATCTTGGCCTGAAAAATCCCCAAAACTCAAATTTTCAACTTTGCACCCTGTTTTTTTCCAAAGTTTATATAACTTATTAAATATGAAATCGAAAACAAACTTTTAACTTTAAAAGGGATAATAATCAAGAACAGGGTGTTCTTGGTAATTATCAACTTTGTATAGAAGTAAATTTAGTTCTATCGGATTATTACGGTCTCAGGAATATGTGGTATGATTTTGTATAGGCATTTCAGGGTATACAGTGTGTACTTAAGTTGGCAACATATTGGAAACTTTCTTATTATTAATTTTACGAAGAAAAGTTATTCTTTATAAAAAGTTCTGCATGTTCTAAAATCTAAAATAACATTATCAGATTCAAATTTTTTTAGTCATATACCAGGTTTGACAAAAAATATGAATTTGGTACAAGAGTAAAGTAGTACCTTTATTTGTGACAATATTTAAAACTGCAGTTTTCAATACATGTGATTATGAAAAGTTGTTTGGAATGAAAAACTATGTTTTAATATGCAATTACATCATTTTTCTCAAATTACCGATACCTAACATTTATCTTTTTTATTTATTACAAACATTAGGGTGAGCCAAAAAAACTAACAAATCGGATTTATGGGTTAAAATGAACCTACATACCGAGCAAAAAATTTCCCTGCAAGGCAAAATTTCTGCTCAATTTTAAAAGGTGTTGGTGAGCATTTTAAGTTTTCCATTCCAACTGCAGTTTTAGTGATTTTTTACACTTTTCAAAGCTTTCAAACATACGAATTTTTAGAATAAAAAAAAATAATCCTAGTATAGATTCTTTGGGAAATTTTATGCTCTACAAGAATCCGCGACGTAAAAAATTTTATCTCAAACGGTTCAAAAGTTATAGTCTTTTTAATGAAAAAAGATTTTTTTACGTGTTATTTCAATGGAAAACTTAAAATGCTCACCAACACCTTTTAAAATTAAGCAAAAAATTTTACCTTGCAGGGAAATTTTTTGCTCGGTATGTAGGTTCATTTTAACCCATAAATCCGATAGGTTAGTTTTTTTGGCTCACCCTAACAAACATGATATCCTTTCCATTCTGTAATAAGCAAATTCTGATGTTTTGACATTCAATGTCAAACATTTCTTGTTATCAACAAATCATTTGTTTGTCAGTGCATCCTAGATTACATGTAACTACAGTTACATTTGCATTGTTATTGTAAACAAAAAAGAAAAAATGATTTTTTCTCTATGTAAATGGAAGTAATTGCATATTTAAACGTAGTTTTTAGTTCTTATCAACTTTTTTTAATAAGAATTTTCGATATTGTCAAATATAAAGGTTCTTTACTCTTGAGTAAGATTAATATTTTTTGACAAACCGCATATACGTCTGAGATTTTAGAACACGCAGAACTTTTTATGAAGAATAACTTTTTTCTTAAAATTAATAATAAAAAAGTTTCCCTTATCTTGCCAACTTAAATAGACACACTGTATAACAATCTATATCTAAAAAAATACATTTTTTAATGCGGGATATAAAATTACTGGTAAAATATTTTTTGTATTAAGTAATTCTAAAATTTAAAGTAAGGGTCAACACATGTCAAAACACCGAGGTTATATGCAAAATTGACCCTTGGTTCGCGATTTTTAACGAAACTGGGTATATTGCTTAATTTTGAAATGTGACTAAGGATATGTTCCGTAAATACACACGAGTTACCGGTCTGGTTACTGAAATAAATTTCTCGGTTAGTTCATATTTACGGGACACCTTTATTTAAAAAAAACATAACCCAACTTTTATTTGTGTCAAAAACTACAACCTTCGGTCATCTATGACTACAACTTGCATATATTTTTAATAATATTTCTATAGTTACATAAACAAACCTTAAACACCCTATATACTGAATTCAATTATTTTTGGACAAAACGTATTTTGTATGCGAAGTCTGCTCCTGTGTTAAATTTTTAGGTTAGATAACCAACAATAAACAGTAATTTTGTTTAGGGCAACACTGTTTCCATTTGGTTTGCAGCACTGGTAACCGATTTAACCGATCATACAGCGTCGGTCGTTTCGGTAACGATTAGTTAACCTATTTTTCAGGAACCGCGTTTCTTAACTACATAATTTTCAGGAATTTTTCATTTACGGGACACCTTAACCGAAACCAAACCAACCAAGTTGATTTACGGAACATACCCTAAGATTCTCTAAGAACTTTCGTATCCCCTAAAACCCCCCGAACGTTAAAAAAACTAAATCCAGAGAAAAACCCATTGTTCAATTTTACGAAGCATGTTCAAAAATAAGTTCAAAATTTTCAAAAAATTATAATGTTGGTTAAATAAAAAACACCTATTTTTGAGTTTAAAAATAAATTCTGCACGTCAATATCTTAAAAATAAGCGGTTGTTGATGTCCCACCTCAAATAATAGTTTACGAGATATGAATGATCTTTGAAACCACACTTTTATAATGGCGTTGCCCGTTATTCTGCAAAACCGTTTAAACTAAGCCGATGTACTGATACAACTACCCAAAGTGATTTGACATGGATTTACTCCCAAAGCAAATTTTTTTTCTCCAAATTTGGGCAATTTACTTATTATTTAAACAGTAATCGTTTTAGGTATTTTACCAATATTAATAAAAATAGATTTTGTCTTGCTACAATGTTTGTATTTTTAGATGATTTATTAAACTACATGAACACTGGGTTAGAAAAAGGTGCACCTCCAAAACCTTCAGAAGTTTTGGTTATTTACTTACATCTTCTTTCCACCGGATTATTGCGCGTTAAGTTACAGGGTCCCTCGGCCAGAGTGGGACTTGCTTCGCCCTTAGTGGATGGTATGATAGTTAGTAGACGCGCTTTAGGACCTTTGGTGAGATATACCGCACTGAATATGGCTCGAAGAAGAAGACTGGATTCTGATAGGTAAGCAAATTGAATAGTATTGCTTGAAACTTTCAAGTTGAAAGGTTACATTTAAATATTACATTTTTAGTTATCAACCACCTCATGTAAGAAGGAGACTTAAAGTTCAAGAGATAGTACAAAAATACAAAAGGGAGATGACCAAACCAGAGCTTCTCACATACTTATTTAGTTCCACTTAAATAACAGTATTTTAGGCATTAACTACTTAATGATGGTATTGTTTTTATTTAATTAAAAATCTATTTTTAACCATAAATATTTTATTATTTAATTTATTATAAAAATATTATACAAATAAACCATAAATTTTCCTGATACAAGTCAGTCTTTCAATTAAAGGCCCTGTTGAAAAAGGATGTATTTTCACAATTTTTTAAGGAGGTAATAAAAACTGAACAAAGTCACAGAAAAATGTGTTGCAATAAAAGATAACCCAAAATGGTCAAAAATTACAGAAACATCATTTTTACACTAAGGTCCTTAATTGCTCAAAACCTTGTTTAGGATTTTTAACATAATCTTTAAAATTCAAAAAAGTAAAAAAAAAACAAATATAATATATATATATATGTTAAACAACATAAAGTTACATGGCCATTAGGGTGTGTCAAAAAAGGTGATATCATTTTCATTCTACTTACTAAAAGACTTCGAAAATGGAAATTTCTAAAAATTAAGCGTTTTTTAGATTTTTAAACTAAACTATTGATGATGGGCCAAAAAGTTTAATAGCAATTATATATAAATATAAATTTTTTCGTTTTTCTTCCTACCCTATGGAACACATTTGTACAACTCTGCCGTGCTTAATGAAAACGCCGTAACCAACAATTTTGCGATTTTTTGTTTTGCGGCATTTTCTACTAGAACAATTCATCCTGTGTCTATCCCCGGTACTCAAAAAACCGTATATATATAGATACGGTTTTTTGTGTACCGGGGATAGACGCAGGATGAATTGTTCTAGTAGAAAATGCCGTAAAACAAAAATCGCAAAATTGTTGGTTACGGCGTTTTCATTAAGCACGGCAGAACTATATATATATAAAAGGTTTCTCTTTGGTATATTTTTAGTATAACCACCTTCATCAAATGTAAAGGTGGGACTTTTAGCTGAAGTTAATGATGCACCTCTTAAAATTAAAATTAAGGGTTGGGATTTGGACAGAGTTTTTATTTCGACGTTTTCCATGGAATGCTTATATGGAAGCGAATCAAAAACAATATCGCCTTTTTTGGTACTCCCTAAAGGCCATAATCATATGCTAAAAACTACCCCACATTGATAAATAAATGTCTACAATAAAAATATTTAAAACGTTAAACACATAATAATATTTTAAATATTTTTATTTAAATATAATGTAAAACTGAACTCCTGCCAATATGTAATTACTCCATATTAATTATTTTAAAAAGTATTAGTAAAAAAAACAAATAAATTCAATTTAAAAAAAAATACATAATTTTACGAAGTAGTTATGAGTCAGTGATGTAGACTTATAATTAAAAATAAAAATTTTTTTTATTTCACAAACGTTGGATGACAATTTATTATTATTATTTATTATTCCATCCGTAGGCACACTGTATCAACGTTTGTGAAATAAAAAAAATTCTATTTTTAATTATAAGTCTACATCACTGACTCATAACTACTTCGTAAAATTATGTAATTTTTTTAATTTTAACAACAAAACATAGTTATGTACATCCTAGTGTACGAAATTGAACTTTGGTGATTGAGAATGATGTTTATTTTTTGTTGGGGCGGCAGCCTGTAGAAAAAGTTATTTCTATGGTTTTGATGCAACTGAAGTTTGTAAGATTATAACCTCCCAAACGTCATATTGAAAATGGAATGGGATTTTTAAATAATTTCTATTAAAATTAAAACAACCCAATATTTTATGTCCCTTGTAGTGCTATAAAATTTATATTTAATATATAGTGTGTCTATGGATGGACTTAACTATACTTGTAAAAATATTTATTTTAAATTTTTTGGAGAAATATCTCATTTTGTGATTATGAATCAAGGTTGCTGCTTTCAACTGACATGTCTACAATGTCTACAATTATTTTTTTAAATTTTAAACTAATATATTTTCAATATCAAATATCTTAGTATCAAAAACCTCATTTGACTTTTCGATTTCTCCGTACAAGCTCTTTATATTTAGCGCTTGAAAAAAAATATTTAAAGTTTTTTAATTTTGCAAATCTATAATTCTATTTTTTTTTGCTCACCCTGTAGAACAAAAGGGAAGTTTCTTAACGCAAATCGTATTTATACAATAAACAAAAGAAATTACTTTCCCTCGAAAAATTGCATACTTGTAAAAAGATTTACTTTCATGAAAGTAAATCTTTTTACAAGTATAGTTAATTCCATCCGTAGGCACACTGTAAATATACTATAATATATATTATAAATTGTATTAGTTCACAATTTTACTTAAAATTGATTTATCGTAGGTATATTTATATTGGCAAAACAATGTCAAAATCACTTTTGCCCTTCTTACTTTTGTCAAAACAATTTATAGTACAAATAAGTATCTATACTATAGGAGATAATAATTATTTTACTCCAATACAATTAAAATAACCTTTTTAAAATAAAATGCGGTGGGAAAGTCATTTTTTTTTAATTAAAAAAAATGCCCATAGCTTGACAAGGTATAGGCATTTTTTTTAATTTAAAAGAGTGTATTGTGATATAAATTTATATCATGGCTGTATAATATAAAAAATCTCTCCAGTAGTGGTATCCTTACAAGGATTTCTAAAAAGTTATTAAATCATTCCCATATCCAATTTTGATCATCTTTAGTGACATTGTTAACAAATCATTGGTCGCTTTTTCTTTTGTATCTTGTGCACTGAATAATGTTAAACCATTGCTTCCTTGCAATTTATAAACTTTTGGGTTAGGCTGATAACAGGTAATATCAAATTTAAAACCTCGTTTTGACAATTCCCTTTGCAACTCAGAGTTTGTCATGTTTTCATTCTAAAAATATAATAAATATTTATTACACAACAAACTGGATACATGCCAAACATTAACAATTTTGTACAAATATTAATTCTGCATATATTATTATTATTATACTTACAGAACTGTTGGTAAGTGGTATTAGTTCCGGAATTAAAATATCCTCAGTAAATTTTGGGTTTTCCCGTTCGTGAAATGTTAATTTTTTAAATGCCCTTATTATTTCCGTGTTTTCATTTTCATTTAATATAACTTTTTTAATCGGTATATCGATTATATTAACAACTCTAAAATATTAAAAACATTTGTTTATTATTTTAAGTTTAAGTTACTTAAAATAAAAAAGACAACCCACTGGGAAAGAAGCCTTACAAAATATTGCTGCAATGTTCGCCGACTTTACAAATAAAATATTTCCTGTACTACTTGCATTAACATAAATGAAATGTTACATTTGAAATATTGCATATAATAATTTCCAACAACCTTAAATTTGAAACATTATTTAAAGATTCACATGGAAAGTTTTTACAATGTTATATTTGTAACATTTAGTATAAAATGTTGCATACAAGTTTTTAAACATTACAATTATAATATTGCAGACATAACTTTTTTTCAATGTTTCAATTGAAATATTAACACAAGTTTCAAATGAAAAATGTTTGCAACTTTACTTTAAATATACAATAGAAACATTTATTTTGAAATGTTTGGGAATATTTTTGAAACATTGCAATTATAATATTACATTGATAAATTTTGGGCAATGTTTCATCCGAAATATTACATTAAGATGATTTTTGCAATGTTACTTTATATAAACAATATAAACATTTCATTTGCAAGATTTTTGGAACATTGCAATTATAATATTACATTGATAAGTTTTTAGCAATGTTTCATCCAAAATATTACATTAAGATGATTTTTGCAATGTTGCTTTATATAAACAATATAAAAATTTAATTTAGGCAAGATTTTTGGAACATTGTAACTATAATATTACATTTATAATTATAACTTTAGTTTTGGACTGTTTCATCCGAAATATTGCCTTAAGATTATTTTTGCAATGTTGTTTGCAGACTGACTTGCCGATGCATCTCGCCGCTGTCTTGGTCATTTATATCTTTATAAGTAAACAGTGACGAGCTTAATGCGTGTTTCCAGTCACCGACTGCCTGACACTGATATCATATGAGACCAAACAGGTCGAAACAGTCTGTCTGTCAGTGTTGGTGGTGGGTATGGTGCATTATTCATTGGACCATACCATTCGGGAGACGCGCTTCGAGCTCGGCTCGGTGGCGAGATGGAAAGGCATTTCAATCTTTGCAATATTAGTTGCCTACTACTGGCGTAAAGTAGAAAACCTATTGTTTTTGATATATATATATATATATACATATATATATATACCTATAGCTTAGGGATAAATAATTATAATTAATTATTATTATAATAATTCATATTAATTTAATTGCAATGTTCCTGTAATGTTGCAGGAACCTTTCAAAAATAACATTTAGTAACATTGCAATTAATACATTTAAGCAACATTTTATTTGTAAATGTAATGTTCCTGAGCCGGACATAAGGCTTTGTTGCAATGTTTCTGCAACATTGCCACAAGGATTTTTGTAACATTACATCCAACAAATGTAACGTTCAGTAACATTGTAAAAATATTATTTTTCCCAGTGGGAAAACAAAAATTTTAAATACATTATTTTAGCAGAACTTTAAACTTGATTGCAATAATGTGCATTAAGATGACATTTTTTTTTAAACTGTAGATTAACTCTTCAGTAACGCTGCTGTCGTAAAAAATTGTTTTCTAATTCATAGACCAATCCACAATCCGCACAACAAGGTCTGTTCTATCTCGTACTAAAAATACAAAAAATCACTGCAACACTGCACAGTTTAACGGCGGCCAGTTTTGTTTTTTACAATTTTTGTGCTTTGGGTTTGTGCTCTGTTTATACAGATTAATAATCGTTTTAAACGTTGTTTCTCATAGTAAGCCTTAAAAGAGGCCTTAAAGTGCTAAGAACAACCATTTTACTCCTCTATTGTAAAAAATAAACTTTATTCTATCAGGGCTGTCATAAAACTGTCAAATGTCAATTTTAAGGTTAAATTATAACCCACAAATTAACCTTCAAATTGTCATTTGACAGCCCTGATAGAATAAGGTATATTTATTATAAAAGAGGAGTAAAACCCTTGTGGAAATTTTTCTCTGAGAAAGTCTTACTTTCTCTGAAAAAGTCTGAATAATACTTATTAAGTCGGAAAAAGTCAGAATAAGACTGATTAAGTCGGAAAAAGTCTGAATAAGTCTTATTAAGTCAGACTAATAGCAAGATTTGGGAGTCTTCTGGAAGAGTTAATAAGACTTTTTAAGACTTAATAAGACTTTTAGTAGAGAAATGGTAGGTACCTATGGCGATGAAAATAAATATCCGAAATAATTCATAGAGGTTGTATTTGGTTATCGTAAAATAAAACACATAGACAAGTATTTATTAACATTTTTGCTGTTGTTATAAGCCAAGTTTATTGCATAATTACCTATATACTAACATAGGTAAGATGTAATAATTATAACAATTATAATTTTATACATACGATACACTTAACATGCTTTTATTGTTTCCAACATAGAAAAAGGAGTTAATATCAAGTCTATAGACATGATATTTTCGATAGACTCATAAGACAAATATGGTTGATCTTCGTGTTTCATTCATCTTTGTATCATGGTTGATCTTCGTGTTTACGTACAGTGTTGCCATAAAAGTTCCTGACCATAAATTACAAAATACTAAAATAATAATAAAAATGTAACAAGATAGAATAAAATAATTGTGCATATTTAGTAAATATACAATTTACAATTACAATATACAATTTACTGAAAATTTCTTTTGTTATTATTTTGATAGAAATTTGCAAATCACGCGCAAATATTATGAAAATACCCGATTTTCGAGTAAAATACTTGCAAACGGCAACACTGTGTCCCACTGACAGGTAAGCTGTGCTCTAATTGGTCAGCTAGCTAAGCTGGTCTCTCGATATTACGTCTTACGTCTATTGTTTGTAACAATGTTTAGATAGGTAAATATTTGCGTGTATCAAAAGAAACTATTAAAATAAAACGTACAGTGGCAACTTCTTTTTCTATGGTGGAAGCATGCATGTCAAGCGCATCGTATGTATAAAATTATAATTGTTATACCTAATTATTACATCTTACCTATGTTATTATATAGGTAGTTATGCAATAAACTTGGCTTATAACAACAGCAAAAATGTTAATAAATACTTTTCTATGTGTTTTATATTACGAGAACCAAATACAACCTCTATGAATTATTTCGGATATTTATTTTTATCTCCGTAGGTACTTACCATTTCTCTACTAAAAGTCTTATTAAGTCTTAAAAAGTCTTATTAACTCTTCCAGAAGACTCCCAAATCTTGCTATTAGTCTGACTTAATAAGACTTATTCAGACTTTTTCCGACTTAATAAGTATTATTCAGACTTTTTCAGAGAAAGTAAGACTTTCTCAGAGAAAAATTTCCACAAGGGAATGGTTATCCTTAGCACTTAAAGGCCTTATTTGAGGCTTACAAGTGCATCTGTAAGAAACACAACGTTTAAAACAATTATTAAAGAGCACAAACCCAAAGCACAAAAATTGTAAACAACAAAAATGGCCGCCGTTAAACTCTGTGCAGTGTTGCAGTGATTTTTAGTATTTTTAGCATGAGATAGAACAGACCTTGTTGTGTGGATTGTGGACCAATCCACACAATTGGAATCATATGATATATACTGTATACAGTATGATTCCAATTACATGTATACATGTAATTATGAACTATAGTTCTATCTCTACCTTCTAAGATCTCTACTAAACATTTTGTTTGTTTATTTACATTTATGTTAAACAAACTTTGTTATTGCATGTTATTTTGACATCTATCACCTGTCATTTTGTCATCTTTTGACATCTGTTACAGTGATTCCAATTACATGTATACATGTAATTATGAACTATAGTTCTACCTCTACCTTCTAAGATCTCTACTAAACATTTTGTTTGTTTATTTACATTTATGTTAAACAACCTTTGTTATTGCATGTTATTTTGACATCTATAACCTGTCATTTTGTCATCTTTTGACATCTGTTACAGTGGCGGCTCGTCAGGGTAGGTCTCTGAGGCCGCGCCTCACCATCAAAATGAAGGAACATATTTAGCTTTTTACCTATTACAAGTGTACTTTCTACACAATAAAAAGTAAACAATCAATCAAACATACTATAAGCATAAACGGTAAATTAAAATCTAAGCACAAAAACCGCGTCAACCCACTACAGCGTTGAGAGTCAAGCGAACAGAGGCAAAATATTTATAGACTGTGAAGCTCCTACTTACCAGCAAAGAGCGTAAACCATTTACCTACTAATATATCAGGCGAGTTTTTTATTAGTTTATATTTGCATAGTGCGTGCATAAGGTATGCTAATAAAAAAGTTATTATATTAATAAACTGCAGTTGTGTATGAACAATTAAATATTAAAAAAAAATTCAAGTGGCAGAAAATACCTAGGTACCTAATCTAAAATATCCAACCTAAATAAAAACCTGCTAAACGTAAGGTAATAATAAATTCCAACCAAATTACACAATTTACTTAAAATAGAATGGTAATACAAATAATAATAAACTATTACAATGTAAAAAATGCAAACTACTCCTATTTCTAAATTTTCAAAATAATATTAATGAGAAATGTTGATTGTAATAAGTTAAGCTACATATATATATATATATATATATATATATAAATGCATGAATTAAATAACATCATTGATTCTAAAAACAATATTTATTTTTACTTAATAAAAAATGCTTATTTATACTTAATCCATTCACTTTTGGTAGCCCAAACTAACTAACAAACTAAGTAGTTGGTATCTCATTCAATTTTAAAATTTGGTGACGGCCATAAAAAATATTTTTCGATTGCAATTTCGAAAATGAAACTTAAATTTAAGCGGCCTAGTATTTCCAAAGTAAAAAACATTAACCAAGCTTTCCATAAAATTCTGGGAAAATATGGGCACGCTAACGTGCCGCGATTCGAAATGTTAAAGGCACGTTAGTTACATCATAATTTTAAGATTTTATATTACGACAAAACTAAAACAAATTAAACAAACCAATCAACCCAACAATTTTTAACAAAGAAACCACAAATTTACGAAATAAAAAAGTTTGACAACTTCTGAGTATCGAACCCCGTACCTCTCGCATGCTAAGTGACCAAAATTCCAAATTCCAAATCAATTTATTTAAATATAATACATTATAATTTTGTAATCAGCCTAACTATAAAAAGATATAAAGGTATATAAAGGGAATTTTGAAAAATTTAGAAAGTTTAGTGAATTTTGAGGCAATCCTGACAAGGATAAGTGGTCGAAAAAGGGTATGAAAAAAATATAAAAGTGAAAAAAAGTGGAGTGTTAAAATTTTGTGGTGACAAAAAGGTTAAAACGTAAGTAATTAACCTCCCTGTCTAACTTTATACCGCATAGGGGCCCAGATTATTCAAATTGTTCGGTGCTGTTCCACTTTTACTCGCATAGCGATTTTGGGGAAAATTTCAAAGAAAAGTAATTAAAGATAAGGTGAAGGTATGAATAAATAAAGTTGTGAATGATTTGAAGGAAAAACAAGTTAGAAAAAACCTTCTTTAAAATTTTGATATTTTACAAAAGAATAAAGAGGGGATAGTACAAGAGGAAAAAGGAATAATAGAAGTGCCGAATATGTCTAGGAAAATTTTGAAAAAACCTAAATCTGAATATAAGAGGAAAATTAAAATTAATTAATAAAAAACCTCGCTGTGAATGGTAATTTTGGATTAAAGGCAAGCGCGACTATTGATTAAAAGTGACCGCCCTACCATCTGAGCTATCTAGCTTGACATAAATTTTATAACGCTTGGGGAACAAAAACGGAATACTATGTTGTAACTAACGTGCCTTTAACATTTCAATTCGAGGCACGTTAGCATGCCTCTAGTCACTGCGTATCAGAGAAAAGATAAATTTGACAGATGACCTAACCTCAAATTCAAAGACCCTTTTGGATCTTACACCGCAGAATATTAAAGAATGCAAAGCACGCATCACACAACAAAGGTAACTAGGTAACCAGAATCTAGTTTGGGCCACCAAACGTGAATATCTTGGAAAAGGTAAAATAAATAAAATAAAATTACAATTTAATATCATTTAATTTAATTTATGCTGGATTTATGCAGCACAAATTAACATTAAGTTAACATTAAGATTAACATTAACATTAAGAAGTTAAATGAACGTAATCCATTGGAAGCTTTTATGCAACACATTAACATTAACTTTAGCATTAAGTTAACATTAAGAGATGGCCAACATTTATCCTCTTAATGATAATGTTAATTTTTATTCCTTCTGCGCAGGTTTGCGGCGCAATTTTTAAATAAACCGTGTCAGTAATGCCAACATACCCGAAAATAAATGAAACTTACTGCTGAATGATTGATTTTTTATTCAATGATTGTGTTCTTTGGTTTATTGTTTGACGTGGAGTTTATAGTTTTCATTTATTTTACTTAACAGATGCTAAAACGGGATTAATCAAAATTCAAACAAACCAAAAATGCCACATGTCAAAATTACTTTAGCTTATACGCATGCTTAATTTGCTACTAATTTTGCTGCATAAATACCCTCCTATTAATGTTAAATTAATCTTAATCTTAATGTTAAAGTTAATCTTAATGTTAATTTGTGCTGCATAAATCCACCATTATTGGTTACAACCAACATTTTTATTTGTTTTTCAAAATTTAAAACAATTGTTTTAAACTTTATAAGCATGCGCATGTAAACTTACCATATACCTATAACTATAGTTATAGGTATATTAAACTTACTAAGCATAAGGTTTAAGTTTCTTAGTTATTACACTGTAATTAAGTACATGTAATCTCTGCGTCACCGTAAAAAGCGTAATAAACAAAAATTAACGAAAATTTGTAATTTTATATGGTATTTATACTTCCGCATCCGCTGTTCCGATTCCGCAAAAATTTACATTCGACATCTTTCTGCTTCAGCTTCCCTTATGCACACTTCCATTGATCACTTAGCAGTATATTGACATTATTGATTGATTGATTGTGTAAGGGCCCCTTAACTTAACTTTGTCACTTGCTTATTAAATTTTGTAAAATATTTTTAATATTTTAAATATAACTTTATAATATTTTAAGATTCATTTAATTTAAACAAATAGTTTTAAATAATACTTACTGTTCATACATGAGCTGAGCAGAATGTTGTTTTGAAACCTTCTTAGTCGAACCATACCCCTTCGTAGTTTTATCCATAAACTTGCAAAATGTTGTAAATTTGCCATCCCACAAAGCCCCATCAGAATAAACTGGTTGAAGTTGTCTTTGTTTGGAAGCATATTCATTTAATTTGCCAATATAATTATCATTTGCATTTGGTCCTTAAATATTCAAGCATATACCTATAGTCATACGAACAAGATAGGAGTTCTGAACATACCTACTGCTTGTAGTTGTGTAAGTTTTATGACAGGTTCGGACATTTCCAAAATATGTAAGGCCTTTTCCGCTGCTCTTTGTTTGGCTTCTTTTTTTGTGCTTGCTACAGCGTCTGCATAAATATTTTCACCACATGAAACTTTGCACATAAAACTTGGTGCATAAATAGTTCCAACTTCAAAACTTTCATAGCGGGGCAATGATGCTTGTTTACTAGCGTAATACTCTTGCAATATATTCACGTATGATACCGAAGACATTTTAATTTGCTAAAATTAGTAAAGTAACATAACCTCACTTTTAGTTTAAAAACCAAGAAATTTTGATATGATCACCTTTTTTTTACAAAACCAATTAAATGATAACAAATGATAACACTAAAAACATCAAATAATTTATCACATTACTTACATGCTTTTATAATCTGTGCTTAGATGACAATTGCACAGATAAAAGAGGAACTATGCACAAACAATTCTTTACATACAGGGTGTCCTTATTATTGAATATATTTATTCGTAATATGCGACTTGCATCACATTTAACAATATCTTGGCTAATTCTAGAAATAAAATCCCTTTCCACTCGGGGAACCACCTATCGCTTTTAAGACACGTCATTTATTTGATTTCATTGTTGTCAGATTTATTTTTTGGTTTAGGGGATATATTTTTAGATGTATATAATAACTTTTATCTCCACGCGGTCTATAATTTAAACTTTATTGTTGTCAACATTCGATAAAGAAATACCTTGTTATGGCCTAGGCCGATAAAATTTTTTATGAGGCAAGTAATTAGTTCGATTTTTTCTCGCTAGGGGTATTGTTTTGACAAATTAATCCTTTTCTAAGAAATTAACGTACTAAACTGTTTTAATTTATTTATAATAAGCACAAATTTGTTTGTTTTACTGTTAATGTTTAATATTTTTCATTAAATTATTGTAAAATTAAATATGAATAATAAAACAAAAAGTGAGGTTAGGCAACCACGAAAACGCACGATTCTTTTTCTACAATTTAAATTATCTTTAAGTTTTAATTTGCTTTAAGTTCTCAGTGAAATTAAATGTTAAACACGTGTACAGCTGTACAGCTTAAACATTCCAAACTACCTATTTATTAAACAATTAATTGAATTCAATGTAATAGCAAAAATCCATTTCTACTTAAATCATGTTGCTAGGTATTGTCAAACTATTACTGCTTCTAAAAGCAATAATAATTATTGTAAATTTAATGTAATTTTTGGCTAATATATTAGCCATGCATTTATTATAAATAAATGAGATTCTAAAAAAGTGAGGTTAGGCCGCATTGATGTTGAATTAAATTGACCTATATAGTGCTTTGAAGATAAAATGTTGTATGCCATTCGGCCAAGAAGTGCCTTTTTGTGCTAAGCTCATGAGCTTAGCACAAAAAGCCTTACTTCTTAACCTAATGACATAAATAACTATTAAAATACTGCATAATAATAAACTTTAAAGGTAAATAAAACACTAATTTCCACTGGAATAAATAATTTTATTAAATAAAAATCAATACACGGTGTGCCAGAAAGGTTGGAAAAAATGTTAAAAAAAGTGCATCGCTTAGCGATTAGTAAAAAATATATTTTTTCTTCATATAATGCTATGCTTTACTGGTTTTCGTTTTCAAGTTACAGGGTGTTAAAAATATTTAATTTATTTCCTGTTATTACGTAACAGGTTATTAACTAATTAGGTAGTTGAAATAAAGAAAAATATGGTATTACAAAATAAAGTCGCAACTTAAATTGTGTATACCTACCAAAAGATAATTATAATTATCTTTTAGTGTCGTATGGGGCGCCGTTTTACCCACACAGAACACGCTATCCAATGGATATCCAATGGCTATCCCAATGTCCATATAACATCCATGCCTTTTACGATATCCATTGTATATCCAATGGATATCCATACTAGATGTTCAAAAAAAAACAAAAACATTAAAAATATTTTTTCTTTTTTAAAATAGCCCCTTATAGGATAAATTTATGTAATGATTAATAAATATGATTTAAATCGTTATTAACCCAATTTCAACAAAGTATCTCTAATATATATCCAATGGATAACTAATGTATGTCCAAAGTATATCCACTGTACATCTAATGTATATCCACTGGATATCCACTGGATATTCAATAGATATCCATACTGGATGTTCAAAAAAAACAAAAACATTAAAAATATTTTTTTCTTTTTTAAAATAGCCCCTTATAGGATAAATTTATGTAATGATTAATAAATATGATTTAAATCGTTATTAACCCAATTTCAACAAAGTATCTCTAATATATATCCAATGGATAACTAATGTATGTCCAAAGTATATCCACTGTACATCTAATGTATATCCACTGGATATCCACTGGATATCCGGTGGATAACTGATATGGATATCTTGCAAGATACATGTATATATACTTGTATGTATACATGTGGGATTTTGTGATGGTTTAAACTTTTGAAATGTTCACTTTACCCAGATAATAATATTTATATATTAATAATATTATTTCTGTTAATAATATGACTATGACAGTCTGCAATACAATAAAAAATTACTTAAAAAAGTCCCTTTTGTTTATTATTGTATTTCATAGTACTACGCACGCGCTGAATTTGAGAATCTTCAGTGTTGCCGGTTATAAGCAAAATAACTAAACGAAATATATTTCCGTACTTTATTAAGTTTTAATAAATAAATTAAATAAATTTAAAATAATTATTCACCACATTTATGTCAAATAGGTATACTAGGTATACTAATTAATTAAGTATTAAAGATTTAATACTATAACCGCCATTTTGATGAGCTTTCTGAAATTATTTAAACGTCTGCCAAAGCCGCAGAAGATAAAGAAGCGTCCTTTTTCTATGGTAGCGTCCGTTAAATATGATGCCATGATTGTTAGGTACATGCAAAGGGTTTTCATGTTTATTTGCCTGATTCCACAGATTGTAAAGGTTCATTCGCCATCATTGCTATTTGTTATATGTTTGTCATAAAGTTTATTGCCAAGTTATTGTGTTTTGTGGTTATTTGTTTGAGGTCTATATATATAGTGGTAAGTGAATATTTTATTAATTTTCTAATCATAGTTATCATTTTAAATTGTATTGGTCTAAAACTAATACAATTTTAAATTAAATAGGTACCTATATTTAAGTGCAATTTATAAACTTTCGGTTAGCATTGAAGGCAAAACATTAAAGGTGAATACATGCATGCATTTATATACCGTACCTTTATTTGCAAGCTATACATAGGCTCGAGGGTAACAAATGGGCCGAGGGGGTAACAACTGCTGGCAATACATGTACAAATTGTGAGGCATTACCCCGCATTACGGCGGCATTACATGACATTACCGGCATTATGTGGCATTATGTTGGCATTCCGCAGTATTACGCTGGTATTAGGCGGCATTACATTGCATTACTTACAAATTTCACGGCATTACGTACGAATTACGGCATTACGCTCGTATTTTATGGCATTAAGGTTGATTTTTTGGTTGTGAATTGCAGTGTTTGTTTAGTTAGGTATTTAAATTTAAGCTCGAGGTAAGTGAAATAAAATCATTTATAGGTATTTTTAATTTTACTAAGATATTTAGTTTTTGCTCATCATTTAGAACATTTGCTAAAAAAGGGAATTACCCCAAGAACCACAATTCTCCTTAAAAATTTCCTGAAATTTTTGAAGAAGCGTTTCTACCCAGGATGAAGTGTATTTTTATTTAACAAGAACTTACTGTAGACTCTGTTCACGTGATTGACGAAAACAAGGCCGTATTAAAAGCTAAATATCCATACGGGCCTAAGATTTTTGTATTTTAAATCGAAAATTGGCATTTCTGCTTTAAATAATTTTAGATTATAAGATTTCCATACATTTGTCATTCTGATAAATTCTTTAAAAAATTAAAACAAAACGTATTAAATTACAGTAAAACCACAATGTAAGTAAATAATTTTACATTTTTCCTGACTTTAACATTAAAATTAATTATAGATTAACATTTTTAAGAAAAAATGTATTTTTCTCCCAATATTTTTAAACTTGTGATTTAAGTTTTTTCTATCACAAGTTGTGATAGAAAAAACTTAAATCTTCTGGAGCTGGGTGGTAATATTATGGCTTATGCATAATTATGTGTACATATTAGTTTTTATTTCCTGCGAGCTTAGGTACTAATTCTTTCCGCACTTTTTCGTCAACATATTGGCAATCGTTGACAATTGAGCAAGAAAAGAAATTTTTGTAATTTTTGCAAAATTTAATAGAATTTAGTTGTCCTTGTTTGAGTTCTTGCTAATTTTAATATTTTCCATCTATTTCAGTCCATATTAGATCTCGAAATCAACCAAAAAATGGATACTTTTTTTCCCTTACCAACTTTGATTTTGATGATTTTTGGTAAATTTGTTTTATAAAAACCCAAATTTCTTTTTTCTTCGATGAAGTGTTTTTGTTTTTATTAATTTTTGAAAATCGAAAAATTGCCGATTTACAAAAATAGCAATATATGTCAAGTAATTGAATTAAAGTAATTGAAAATGTAATTAAATTACTTTACAGTAATTTAATTACTTTAATTAAATTATTTTTTTTAAAATAATTGGCACTTCAATTACTTTCTAGAAAGTAATTGTAAGTAATTGGTAATTGTTTTTAAGATATTTGAGAAATTTAATTATTTTTCAAAGGATTCAATTCCTTTAAAGTAATTCAATTCCTTTATAGTAATTCAATGCTGTATGCTGCAATAAAATATAGTTTTCTTAAAAAAATAAAAAAGGCATTTTTGACATATTTAATTTTTTCTCTCAAAATGATGAAAAAATTAGTCTATGTGATATATCATAAAAAGGCCCCTAAAAGACCTTTAAAACAGGACCCACCTTTTACTTTAAATAGTACTTGACATATTGCAATTTTTTGATTTTTAACAAACTTGTTATTACAAAAAAATGGATCTTTGAGTTTTTTAATGATTAAAACAAATTTACCAGTAATAATCAAAATCGGAGATGGCGAGGAAAAGGCCTTCGGGTGATTTGATATGGACTGACCCAGCTATTTCTGTCCCTTGTTTTATAGTTTATTTGATCTTTTAGAATATCTTGATCAGAAAAAGAATCAATTTGTCTAGTTAATGCATGTATTAGTAAAGTTCAACTACATGGTTTTCAGTTACCAGTTTACATGTAAAAAAACCTT